GGAAGGGACCGAGTAGTGGCCGTTGGGCCCCATTACAGGGAACTGTGAATGGGGCGTGCGAGACCCGACCGCAGATCGGGGAGATGCATAATTAGAGGCTGCCCCGTTACCAATATTGGTATTCAGTGAGAGAGTTGAGAAGGCAGAATTAAGCATGTGCGGGTTAGTCGGTTTTTTGCCGCTCGGGTGGCTTGACGAGCTGTTCAGATACGCCAGGGGATCCTTGAGCAGATCGCCGGTATCATCGTCGGTACCATCTTCATTGATCACCTTCTTTCCACTGGCTCGAGGGCGATCGGCCAGACCGCTCGGTACCGGCGATTGGGGTGAGAAGATTGTCTGCAGCTGTGAACTGGTATCTGACGACACCAGTTCTGGTGGAGATCCCACAGGAGGAGGAGATGTCTTGTCCATGGACTGAAAGGTGCCATTGAACCGTGAGGACTTTTGAGCACTGGTCATGGATGGTGACACCGATTGGCCTAATTTGCGACTGGCTAGGGGATCAATAGTATTGCGTCGAGGCACTGCGGCCAGGGACGGACTGTTCGTTATTTCCACGATCATTTTGGCCTGCCCGGCCGTGTTCGGCTTGCCATCAAGCATGGTTTGTGCCTCAGTTGCCCCGGCCATGGAACCAAATCGAGCAATCGCGGTGGTGAAGCCAGCATCCTCCTCATATTCGTTCGGAATGATCTCAGTGTCCTGTAGGTCTTTGGCAAATAATAGCATCGTGCGGACTGCCTCAAGAGTCGTATTTCGTGGCAAACGTCGCAACAAAACTGTTGGCAGGCCCATGATGGCAGCTTCATTCGCGCTGGACAACCGCCTATCGACGGGCGCACCTTCGAACCCTGAAGGAATCACAGGCATTGCATATGAAGCCGACAAACCGGGATGCAGTCGAGGTTCTGGGAAATTGAAAGCAACCACACTCATGCTTTAAACGCGCGAGGAGGGGGAAGAGGATTCCGGACCTTCGTCGACCACAAGCCCAAGCTGAACTGGAAACGGCAAGCCTCCGTTTGTACAATGTCAAGGATGGACTGGAGTAACACTTTGCTTGCAAGGGTGTTGATTGAGTACTATGCAATTACTCATTCAGATTCGAAATCGATTTATCGCTCCTGACTTTGCGGATGTGCTGATCCCGAGAACAGAGTCACTCGCCAGATTGCTGTCCGAAAGGGCCTTCGAATACGGCACCGACAGATTCCGAAGTCGGTGGGGAGATATGTGTGTCAGTGTCTGAAGTGTCAAGACCAAGGTGATACTTGTGAAACCTGAAACGACGAGAGCAGCGGCTCGGATGGTTTCCGGTACAAAATAGTTGAAGTGGTTATCAGTCTCGAGGGTGATGCGACAAGTATCGGTAAGTACTAAAACGATACGCAAAGGAAAGAGAGGAGTATCCACCAATGGGTTGAATGTGCTTCGGCCGTCGCAAAGAGAAGTGGCCAGCTGACACGAGAGAGAGCGAGGACAATGAAAGTCCAAAAGTAGTCAGAGGTGATGGCAATATCCTGAGGGTGTAGCGACAAGGTGTGAGAGAGAGGTGTGAAGAGCAAAGGGCGGGAATGGAACGGAGAGAGCAGCTCAGTCGGAAAAGGGCTGAAGATTCCAAGAAGTTGAGAAAGATGCAGAGGTGGGATAGCGATTCTAACGACGCGGAATAATTTGGCGGCGACCACTGACCCTGTCGATAGGGAGCGATAAAGAACGGCTAGGCCTGGGGGGAGCCTTTGTTTGGCAGACGCCAGGATGATCAATCGTGCCAATCCGACACCGTGGTGGCTTTCAAATGGGCTCCAAGACGCCTCACACCAAGCTCGAGGCGCAGGGTGGGCAGAGAAGATACAAATCGCGATCGCGCGGCGACCGGGTGGTGGGGTTGGGAGCCGGGCAGTAGGGCCTGGTACGTACCACGCTAAACAGGCCGCAGTGCCCAAGCTGCTGAGTGGTTCAAGCCGAGAGGGGGTGGTTTGGCTGCTGATATTGGCCCTGCCCAGATATGTAAGCTTCCACCGTGTGTCCACCGCGAGCAGAGATAAACGCGGAGAGCTGATCAGTGGGTACCAGAGAAGGGGAGCACTCACCCTACTGCACAAAACCAAAGACACGGGACAGGTCGCTGGAGAGATCGAATGGTCGCGGGGGAGAAACGAATCCGGATCAGGCTGTGAGGATTGAGGCGAGGACAAGGGAGGATCCGGCGGTCTGGCCACGGGGTTTGATGGATGGCGCAAATCTAACGAGCACTATCGCAAGCTGTGGTTTAATCTTTCACCAAGTGATCCCTTAAAGAGCCGGTTGCGGTTGGACATGGAGATGGGACGAACTTCGAGGAAAAAGAGGGTTGCCGGTTACGAGTAACTCGGAACGACGCCTGTCAGTGGTTGTACAAGTAGGATCAGGGTATCCGGTGGGCGGTTGGGGGGTGATCTTGCTAGTACTCGATGTTGTTCTGGGAGCCAGTATGAGTCCCAAGGATCTGGTGGAGAGTTTGAAGAGCGAGTGCGAGGTACTCGTAGGAAGCGATGCTGTCCCCCCGGCTGTAAGTGGCTGGGCGCTGTAGGGGGAAGAGTCTTAGGTGCGCAGCCAACAGGCTAGTGGTGATGGTGAACGTATCCTATCTGGTCAAGGGCGATGAAGTCTGATGCCTGAGGCAGCCGAATAGGAGACGCCGAAGATACAGAATGGCACCGTCATTGGATCGCCGTCTGAAAATCCGGGAACCTAGACAAAGGTAGCCGACAGGTCGAGGAGGAGGACAAAAACGATACTCCGGAAGTTGGTGTCCTTTCTGAGGCGTTTCTGGGTGTGGAAGCTTGGTGACAGGAACAATCGAGCACCAATAACAGCCTGTTGAACTGCACCACTTCTGTAGCGACTGGTTTGGGCCAATGTTGCACCTTTTGAAGCCCGTGAGTGTGTGCGATCCCTGTGTCTGTGTGCGCTGTGTGTACCTCCTCCTTTGCTCCCTTCGTTGACCACACTTTTCTTGCTCTTTGAGGACCCTGTCGACTTGGACTTGAGATCCACGGGCCGGCCAAAGCTGCGCCAAACTGAGTTTTGGAGCTCTTCCGGGGGAAGCAATAGCTCTCGGAGTTCGGAGGGTACCTAGTGATAAGCATCCAAAACGCACGTCCCTTCTAGCCCCGTCGGTTGCCTCCCAGGCTTTCCAGAGTTGACAGGGTCAAGGTAAGTCTGGCATATCCCTGCTTCCCGCCCATAAGGCTAGGGAACGTTTCCCACTCCTTCTTTTCCTCCTAGGCCTGGTTGACATGATAACGCGGGATGCTGACTCCGTAAGGGTTTGACTCGATCTTTGAGTGGTTCCGGCGAGTGTGTATTTTACCACGCCAGCTGGGTGGCACCATCGACTGTTCTTCCTCAGAGTTTGGGTACCAATGACCCTGAATGACAGTGACTGCACTGCCTGAGCTTGTGATTATCGACCCCTCAATCAGCCAAAATTCGATCCTTTACCCACCGCCAGATCAGCTTTCCAGCTGCTCCAATTCACTAGTATCAAAAGAGGGGGTCTCTCGGGTTCTGGATTTTGGGCGACCAAAAGGGCCATTGGGTGCTTGTCGTGTTAAACCTCCGATTGGGCGACTCCCCTAATGTGAATGGGAAAGGGGGGTGGTGGTGGGTTTGTGGGATTCATTCTGAACCATCCCCCGGATGTCCACCAGTTACTTCTCGTAGCTCTTGTCTGCTAACCAACAGTGGTGGCAGTCAACCACGTGGGGTCTCGTAGGAGTTTTCTCATGGTTCGTTTCGTCGTTGCTGCTCCGGATTGACATATGGGTGCTGGGTCTGTTTTAGTAGGTAGGCATCAGCATGAGTTTTGAGGCTCCTGGAATCTCTCAAGGATTTGTCCAGCGCACCTTCTTCTTCTCACGACCACAACCGACACTGTATTCCATGACTGTAGGTATCCTGGTCGCTTTAGCCGGAGCCGCAGCCCAATGCTCGGTACCTGAAACCGCGAGGGGTAGCGCTGAATGATCTTCCTCAACCCGCAGTTACTGCTTGGTTCTTAGCCTGCAGCTCAGGATGGGATGGATGCGGCCACTGATAGGGCCCGCGGCATCCCCCAAGCTGCATTCCCGCAGCCCCGAGTGTCGAGAATGGGAAAGGACCTCTTTGGCGCGAGGCGGAGACAACAGCATGTCAGCTTGGACACATTGGAACAAGGGTGTGCTGACTGGCCACTGGCCACACGAATGGCGAACCAGACAGCGTGAAGAGTGTCTGTGCCGTGTGTCAGTACGAGGGCTCCGCTGCGATCCCAATCGTCTTCAACAAGACTTTCACCACAACTGACTGGTTCGCAAGTTTACTAGCAATGCTTGTAGTGGAGGGGTGGATGGGGCACCGAAAATGGTATTTCTTGAGTCGTAGTTGTCGTAGTTTCCTTGAAGACGGCAACATTGCCCGCTGTTGAGTTTCGCTAGTCGAAGAGACAAAAGAGTCAAAGTTGCGCCACGCAGGCCTCCGTCCCTGCCTTATGCCTCTCTCTACAAAAATCGCCTTGCTTACTGGTACATCCATGGGGCCCGAGCAGAGCCAATGCTGCAGTCATGTGCAGATGCTCTGGAGGGTCAACACTGCTTCTCATTCTCCTCCCCACCTCAAATGTAGTCCAAGTACTGCCTGTACCCTTCGGTATTATCCTGGCAGTTGGATTGGCAAGCCACCCACCCACCATCACATGGACCAGCGATCAAGGGTTTGTTGTGTAACCCAAGGGCTTGTGGCGCTCAAAAAACGGTCCATCCCTTTCCCCGTGCAACTTTGCACTCCAGAAGTGACAAACAAGAGAGTGCGAAAGCCCGTATCCTTGAACCTTGTGTGGCATGAACAGCTCTCGAGATGCATATTCAAAAGTCCACCAGGAAAACATTTCCCCCTCCAATTGGGCATCGTGTCTGGGCAGTGAGAGAACGTCCAACATTGGTATCGTGACATGGCTTCTTTGGGCTTGACATCTCCTACACCGCATTCGCATCTTCAACTTCCAGAAAGCCACCACCAGATTCATTTTCTCCCTTACCCCTAACGGCATCCGACCCGTATCTCTGCAGCATCTGCTCGGCGTATAAGCCAATCTTGTTGCCCTTTTTCTCCAGCATTTCCTGCTTGCTGATGCTTTCCTCGTATGAAGGTGGCTGTTCCAGCGAGTGGCCCGAACTGTCTTCTGTTACGCCTCCGGGTGAAGCGTGGGCAGCCTCCTCGCGCTCGGGACTGGAAGTTGACATAGGGGTGAGCTCACGCACCGAGCCGCTGGAAGCTGTCGGGTCGATCAAGGGGATGTCTTCGAATTCCGTCTCCGCTTCATGATCTGCAGCTGCATCAAGCAGTGGACCTTCTTCTTGTTGCAGTTCTTCCGCAAATGCCTGGTTATCGCGGTCTACAAAGTGTCGGAGGGAGATACTCAATTCGCCAGGTTGAAAGTTCATTGCGTTTTCGTTAGCATAAACCAGCAGCACAGAATTGTATTCTTTCTTCACCGCTTCCAGCACTTCGGCTTCCTCGACCCTTGTGACAGAGTAAAGGTTGGTCTCCGACATTTTGCTCGCCTCCGCCTGGGCTCTGGTTACAGGGCCCACCATTGGAGGACTATAGATGGCCGGTTGGGCATCCTCTTGTAACCATGCTGTTCTCCACCAATCGCCTTGTACGCTGTCCGGGTCCAGCATGTCATCGTCAATCAGCAAGTCGGTTTTGGTATTGTGTACGCGGAAATAGGTAACTCCAGGCTTGGTCGCAACGCCCTGAAGAGTGTATTTGCGATGCGGGAGGTCTGGCATCTCTAATGTGGGCTTTGTGAGGCGCATTGTGATTTGACGGCTCCTGGACCGAAGCTCACTTTTGCGTAGCTCGAGAGAGTCCAACTTCTGCCGAATCTTTTGGAGCACCGATCGCACGGCAGAATCGAGCTCGTCCGCGTCGGCTTGTGTGACTGTGTCTTCAGCTTCAGATACCTGACTGTTAAGAAAGCCATTCGAGACGGACTTTTTGCCCAACACCGTGGTCGAGGCTTTGACCGCAGAATTGAGCACCTCGGCAACATCGAGAAGCCTGTTATCCGACGATTTGTAGATCTGGCAGCGCCGTTGGACGTGAGTGTATTGGTCAATCTCTCGACGAATAGACTGGAGCTCTGTGCGTATCTGCTGCATCTGCTCCCGGCACTCATACATGTACCGATCGGGATACCATATCGGATCCAATTGCAGGTCTGAGCTTCGAGACGTGCTGTTAGGGTCATGCACTCGGATAGTGAAAATCTCTGCGCAATGGCTGATCCAAACATCGTCTATATTTCCATGTTCGTCATCCCAGATCGTGTTGTCGAGCAAATCAGTCAACGTCTCTCCGGGGAAGTGGTTGATGAAGGGGTCGATGCAGTTGAGGGTTTTCTCCACCACCTCGGGGTCACCGGGACCTCCCGCTTTCGTGGCCACGGAGCTGAAGACTTGCGTCAGCTGTTCTTGGGGAGCTTGTTTCGAAGCTGCAGTCGTCCAAGCTTCGAGGAAACGGTGGAACGGGGTGGCATCGTTTCGACTGCGGATAGCTTGTAAATCAGCCAAAGCATCGACACTACCATAGGCGCGAGTGGTTCTGTCAAGGAAAGCCATCAAGCACTGAACTTCGCTAAGCAGATTGCAATCCTGCCGGTCAATGCGGAGAGAATTGTCGGTCGACAAGGCCTTGGTGTTCTCGTCGGTGGCGCCTGACCACCAGCTATTGTCATGGGCATAGGCGTGAACTTTGAGCGCTGGCATGAGGAGCGCTTGGCGTGCCAGAGGAATATTGTGGTAGATAGTGAGCAAGGATCCCAAATAGCCTGTCTCTTTTGAGCCACGTAGGAAAGCGGGTGCCCCGCCTATCCTTCGCCGCTTCGATGGTGGTGGATGTTCAATGATCTCCCGCGAAGTCGAATATGTGGTCAAAGCCCAGCTGCTAGGGTCGTAGTATTCCCGGTTGGCAGGCCCGAAGTTCGTCCCAGCCGTTGTCACCCCGTCTTCCTGTGCTGACAGGCCCTGTCCCAGTGACTCAGCCATTGCGCGTTGGAGGTCTGGGTCGTTCAATTCTTCTTGCTCTTTGAGGGATTTGACGTTGCTTGCCGAGGCAGTCGCATGCTCGCAGGAGAGGTCCATCATGGAGTTGTCGACTCGTGAAGGCGGGCGAGACAGGGCAGCAACTCCTCCCATACTCGCATCATCTTGAACTGCAGAAGATGGCTTTTGTCAACATTGAAACCCTGCAGGTGTATGTGTCCAGATCTCACATGGAATATTATCTTGATATTGCCAGTCGTTCGAAGCAAGCTGCCCTCACGCCCCCTATTAGCAAGCAGTCCCACGCCTGAGCAACGGTCGAAATGAGCTTACGGGCTCTTCCATCACGGACCTCACGGGGTCTTCGAAAAAGGCATTGATGGCGTTGTTCACATCGTTGTTGTTTTTCTGTCCCGCCTTGCGTCAGTCTCTGTCCCTTTATACATTTGTGATAGTTTTTTGAGCTCACCTTGAGCAGAACCCTTGCGCTTCCTTCATCTACCTGTGTTATGGCACAAAGCTGGGATATTTGATCCCTTGTCGGTTGTACGCCGGCCATCATGGGAAAGATGCCAATGGCACATTAATCGGTTCGTTGTCTGGGAACACGCGAGTCCAACGCAAGCCCGTGGGCTGGTGTTTGAGAAGAGAAACTGAGGCCAGGACAATGACAGGGCGATGCGTCGGAAATGTTCCTTCGGTCCAAGATGAATCCGCAGTCTGCGCAGCTCGAAGAAAGGTGTGAGCAGGGTGTGAGCAGGCACTTGTGAGGATGGTCAACCAGATGAAGAATAATAATTCGTGCTTCTCCAATTCTAGGTTGACGTATAAAGTACCGCGTAGCACTGGCACTTATTAATTCTAGGTTGACAATTAGCATACGGAGTAGAGCAAGCAGATTTCCCCGCAACCCGCCAATGCAAGGCCAGGCCCAAGGATCCATATCGCCGCCCTCTACCAAACTCAGCCTTGTGGCAGTGGTAAATGCTCCCTCACCCCCGAGTTACAGTCGTCTGCGGTCAATTGCCAGCTCGTTATCTCGCGGCGGTACGGACATAAGGAGCTTGTTGAAGAAGGGTGGCAAAACCCTTCAAGCTCAAGACACCGCGACACGATCCAGTGGAGGACGAATGTTAGTTCCATCACCAGTCGTGAGCAGTCCCCTCCATTTCTCTCGAGCAGATGGCCCATGCCCATCCATGCTGTTGTGACCAGTTGTATGCATTCGAACGCCGCTCCTCTCCACATTAGGTTGCATGCCATATATAGATTGTGATTCCTTCGAGACATCTCCAACCCTGTTATCTCGAGCCTAGAAAGGCGTATTAAAGTCGCTACACATGAATCTGACCGTGGGTCCGACAATATTCCCTCTGCGCAAGCACCACCCAACTCCCTTTTGTCTAGTCGTTTGCAAATCAGAATCCGACACCGTATGCTCAGCATTCAAAGCGTGGACCGATTGTATACACTTTCGAATTCCGCCGACTGTCCTCGTTTCCAACCGTGTCCCATCTCTTTATTGTGTCGTTACAAGTTTGGTAAAAGCCTAAAAGTCCTTGAACGCGTCTTCCCACTCTGTCCGTAGTTCATCCGTGTACCTCCCTCTTCCACCTTCGCTCTCCTCTCCTTCAACCGGGTCGGGATATTCATCGAAGTTGCCGGCATCACCGGCCCATTCTACCCTGGGTATAATTGGGCCCCTCCTCTTCCGGTAGTATATCTCGTCCCAATCAATGCCATCAAAGAAATAGTGTTGCATCACTCTCTTGCTCCCCCCTGCAATGTGCCCAAGTCGTTGTGTGGGATCCGTCTTGCACAGTGCAAGAATAAAGTCCCGTGCAGCCCTTGGTACGTGAAGGCTATGACGGTGTCCGGAATGAGATGGATGTGCGGTGGGGAAGCGAATGTGACCGGCAACAATCTGCTCGTAGATGCGCATTGGATTTTGGTCCCAAAAAGGCGGTTGGCCGATAAGCATCTCGTAGACCAAAATCCCCAGCGCCCACCAGTCCACTGCGGTCCCATGACCGGTGTTTCGTATTACTTCAGGTGCCAAATACTCGGGGGTGCCGCAGAGGGTGTATGTGACGCCCGCTCCGTTCGCCTGGGGTTCGGGGTGCTCCGTACCCAGCTTTTCGAGAGTAGGGCTCTGGCCGTCCTCACCGTGCTGCTCCGGGCTAGGTGGGAGGTATTTGGCGAAACCAAAGTCGACAAGTTTGAGATGACCGTCGACATCAAGGAGGATATTTTCTGGCTTGAGATCACGATATGCCACAAATTGCACCTCGTGGAGGTAAGCCAATATCAGGGTGATTTCGGCTGCATAGAACTGGACGGTGGAAAAGGGAAAGCGGCGTGCACGCCTAAGATACGAAAAGATTTCTCCGCCAGGCGTATAGTCCAGCAGCATATACAGTGACGTCTCGTCTGAGAATGATGCAATCAGGGTGGTAATGAAAGGGTGTCCAGCGACGGCAGCGAGGACGTCTCGCTCGTTTCGAACGTGCTCGACCTGTTTCAATTTGATGACATCCACCTTCTTCAAGACCTTGAGTGCGAATACCTTGTCCCTGTCTTGGGGGTGAGGATTGGCGAACCGGCACAGCCAGACACGAGCAAAGGTACCTATGTTGCGATTGTGTCAGCCATAGCCCATCGCATGATTTTCAAGCCCATAGAGGTTTGATTTACCCGTCCCAAGCGTCCGCATCAACTCAAAATCGGTGACTTTGAGAGTGCGGGATGACTGGCCAAGCTTCTTCTCTTCTGGGAGCTTGGAGACTTCCTCCGGAGACATGACCTCCCCCTCTTCCCTGGCTGGGGTCGGATCGCCGTGTTTCTGGCTCTGGTCCTTATCATACTGACGACTGGGATGCGGGTGGGAGGCGCTTCGGGCGTTTTGAGGGTTGCTGGTTCGTAGGTACTGTCTATGGCCTTGAGCTGATGCCGCTCGCTGGGGCGGCGGCTGTTGCTGCGGCGTCTGAAGCGTCGCTGTGCTCATCGGAACAGCCAATGCGCATCTTTTTCCTTTTCCAAATGGCCTAGGGAGCGTCAAGGGTGAAGGGCATCTCGATGCGGGCGATCAAAACGCAATGCGCGGCGCGAACTGGAGAGGGGCGTTGGTGGCAGCGTCAAAGGCACAAGGCGACGTCAGCGGTGAGGCAGTGCAGCGTTTCGTTTCCTTTTTTACTGCAAAACGAGTATGAGGAAAAGGAGAAGGTATTGCAACAGATGCTGTAGCGGAGTGAAGTTGAGAGAAAGCCTAGGGATTTCGAGAGGGCGCAGGCACAGCCCCAAAAAGTAGCAAAAAATCCTGAGGGAGAGTAGCCCAGCGAGAAATGATTTCAGGAACTTTGCTGCTGAGTGACCCTCCCCTCTTTTCCCCCCCCAGCCCCCAGCCGTTTGCTGGATCCCTGATTCCTGATTCCCTCGCCGTTGGTCAGGGCTAGCACGCATCTGTCGCAGTGGAGATCTCGTAACGAGAAAACCAGCCTGGTGGGCATGACGACAGCGGGTGGATGCGGAGCATTTTCAGTGGCTGACAGATGAAACCAGACCAGACACCAACCCGAGAAGAATGGCGAGGCAAGAAGAAACGAGTGGGAGATCCAAGGAGAGCTGCGGCAATCGTTGGATCGGCGCAGATGGTGTCTGAGCTCTATTCCTATTCCTTACAGCTACGTTATCCGCCCCAGGAAAGTTGATCCCGCAGATCAAATTGGTGCTACTGTCATGCTTCCGCTGTCCAACTCCCTGGGCGTGCTGTTTGCACAACACCACCTCATCCCTCGCTCGGAACTGTCGGCGGTCACGGTGCATATTGCGGGCATAGGGTCGAAGAGGAGGACACAGACACTCTCGGTCGGAAACGAACACGGGCCTTCGTCACAGAACCACACGCCCGCGGTCCGTCGTGGATGAAGCCACGACCAATCAACAAGACCTGAAGAGGAATCGAGACATGCATGGCCTGGGTCACACACAATCAATATTCGTGGCCTGTTCGAAGGTATATCGCTCTGTAGCTGAACTATGTATTTGCAGCCCTGTGTTCCAATGACTCCTCCAACTTGTCTATCTCACCGGATCTATGCGCGAGGCGTTCCAATCATCAATTAATTCCATTTTTCCACCCAATAGGATCGTGTGCTTGTCCCAGCACCTTTTTTGGAAGTCGAATGCAAGAGCGCCGTCATGGCCACGTTCCGGCGTCGCCGTGAAGACAACTCGTACTCGAACACGTAAATGGTATGTGCAAGAAATCGCTTACGGTGACTGCTTTTCAATTGTCCTTCATGCGCTCGTTTTCGGGCTTCCAAGACCCTATAGAATGTAAGTAGCTGCTTTTTAGCGGCGTCCTGCTCAAGGACCAGGGACCACATACCATCGAAATCATGTCTCACAAAGGCCATTGGGTGCTCAGGTCCTTCTGAGCCCATCTGACCAACTCCTGGACTGAAACTCGTGATTGGCAGCACCACGACGTCGCCAATCTTCTTGTGTTCGGTGATAGCAAAGAAATCCGAGTATGACACGTTCGTTTTTCGGTTGCTGAAATCAAAGTATTCTTGGTTGTTGAAATATGAAAACAGGGCATCCGTCCACACCCCGGGTCCCGTGTATTCCATGATGCTCTTGGCTGGTTCTCTACCCTTTCGCAGACGCCCGGCCTTTTGCATGGCCAATGTGTCTTCAGTAATAGTGGCAACAATGTCTCTCAAAACCGGGTGACCGGGCTTTGCCTGAATCGTCCATTGACAAAACTGAATTCTCCTCGCATACCACTGATTCCAGTCGGGTCTGTCCGGATCGGCCTCGATTCCCACCACCAGGCCAACTGTAGACTTGTCCAGGGTTTGCGGCAACCAATCCGTGGCAGACTGGAGAGCTTGGGTGTCGATGTCGCTGTAGATCCCGCCACGTGCAAGCAGAATCAGGTAGCGGAAGAAATCGGCGCGGATCACAGGCAGGGGCATGGCCTCGTATGCCTGAACAATTTCCGGCATTGAGGCATACAGATAGTTTATGAGGTGTAATGCAGCGTCGTCTGTCACCACCTCGTGGACGAAGCCGGGATGTAAATTTGACCACGACGCCTCAAACGGTCTTAATCTCTCCTCAAAGTTCCCCGAATCCGGGCCGTATTTCCATGTCTGCCATATGTATGCAGGGAATTTTGACTCCATGTCATAAGGGAAATGGTACCGTAATCTTTCTTGAAGAGGCCTGCCTTTCACATCTTGGACTGCCTGCTGAAACTCTTGAACGACATTTGGGGACTTGGGAGGGGGGTAGGGTCTCGAGGCCTGTTTCCCTTCAGCCGCACCTTCGGCTAAAGGAATGCTCGGTGAGAGAGACACATGTCGCAGGAGGAGAAATAACGTCAGGAGGACGACAGTAGCGAGGACTGCACGTCTCCAGGAGTGGGAGATGGCCATGACAGGTAACCCGTGTCGGGGATCGTTCCGGACTCGAAGCAGCTGCAATCAAATGTCCTGGGAAGTCCCAGTAGCCGTCCTAGATGGCAGTAGGACACTTCTTGAAAGGAGCTATACGTCGGGGGGGGAAATCCATTATCGTTACTCCAGCATTTTATTTTGTCCCTTGCGCCCCGTACGGTCCTGCCGCACCGATAGGAATGACAGTAGTGAAGTTGGAATCGAAGAGGCGACGAAGAAAGTTTCTCAGCTAGAAAGGACAGCAGGTAATGGATGGTCGGGTTGGTTTTGCGGCTAGGGTTCGGAGGAGGAAAGAGCTCACTCTTTGGATGGGGACAGTAGAGAGACAGAGTGAGTCGCAAGGAAATGGAGAACACGCACAGATGTGAAAAAAGACTGGGAGTGGAAACAATATACCGAATACCTAATGTATTAATTGAAGGTGGCACAAAACGATTGCGCATGCATGGCGGTTTTAGAGGCCCATCAAAGCGGCACTCAGGAGATGTTGAGGCAGGCACATGGGACTGGGGGAATCCCTGGGGACTAGTTACAAGTAAGGATTAAACGACCTTAGGCCCCTGGCTAAGCTTTTGGACATTCACGATTGCGCATTCATGGCCTGGGGCCACGCGTCCGGACCAAGTAAGTATTCGTTACCAGCCAGCCTTACCGGTTATGCTTCGACGCCAAGCTTTCTGCTAGGTATGTACCCGAAAGGCAGGTCTTCCGCGAGACCGTAGAGGTGCCACTGTGTGCTGCATGTTCCTCCCGCAACAGATGTTCAACCACCACCACCCTCCCAACCCACAGTGTCCAGACCTCAACCCTATAACTCGCTCGCTCGATACCACGGTACTCCGAGTGACGAGAGTAGACCTTGACTTATCACCAGCATACCACCACCACCTTCACGACGACCAGAGTGCTGAGTGCGGTGGGACAAGTCTAAAATCGAGCCGCATCACCATTGGGTTCATATCAAAATTGTGGGCGGGGGGGAACAAGGCATAGATGAGTTATATTGAGCCTAGCACCCCGTGCAAACAGCCGCTCTCATGGAAAACCACGTCAGGCACCCCAATGCCATGTATCTGCTTCCTTACCCGGTACAGCCCAAGTGAAGACAATAAATCATCCGGATTCTCTCCGTATCCTTTTCCATCTCTCTACCTCTTTCGCTGTATCCAACGGAGCCTCATGAACAGCCTAATAATGCCCTGCCCTCCCCCAAGCTTTCCTGCCCTGCCCACCATACCCCTAACCGTGCCTCTCAAAGATAAACCCAGAATCGAAGCGCAACAGTTGTCCCTGCTATCGATGTTGGTGCTTGTTCTTCTCCATGGCTTTCTCGAGAATCTCCAATCTCTCCTTCGTCACTCTGATCGCGTCCTCCATCTCTCTTTGGCTAAACTTTTCCTCTTTGATGCGAGCCTCCACATCTGGTCCTGCTGATGACTTGCTCCTCTTTGGCTTTCGCTTTTGCATCGACCTCTGTTTCGCAGGATCGCGGGCTTCGTCTCTGTTTGATCGGCCGAAACTGGTTGTAGACTTTTCACGCAGCGAGATAGTATCAATGCTGGCGCGAGACTCAAGCCAGTCCCAGAACTCGTTTTCTTCCCGCAACCACAGAGAGTCGTATGCTGCCAGGCGCTCTGTATGTGATCTTGACGGGCCGAGCTGATTTGTCCCGGACGGCCCACGCAGCCACAACATTATGACCATTAAAAAAAGGATCGCAACTATAACCTCCATTTTCACGAAAGATCTCAATGTGTCGATGACGGGTGACAATGGGCGCAGTGGCTCGAAAACTCCCCAATGTACAGCTTGTTTCTTTTCCTCTTCGATATTTTCCTCTTTGGTTTTCTTCTCCCCTCTGCGCTTCTTCTTGGGCAATTTCGAAGCCTTGCTAGCATTTGTCGTCCCCCTAGGACGGCCGCTAACCGCACCCTTGAGGATCTTCACCAGACTATCACCGTACTGCTGCTGACCTTCGTTGGCGCCCTTCTCAATAGGCCCTTTCAGCCAGGACTTGGCGGTCCATTCGACCGTGCAGTTCATCTGGAATCTTGTCGCGTTACCCGGAGCCCAGGAGAGACAATAGCGAGTTTTGGTACTGAATGCGCTGCCACTTGGTACATCAGGGGTTTGCGTAGTACATGTGATGCTCACTGACTTTTCCAAGTCAAAGAAATCCAAATTCTCGGTCGTGATGCATTTCGTTTGTTTAGGACCAATGCTTCCTCCTAGCGGCTTGATATAGGAGTACTGCCTGCTTTTGATGTCGCTGTTCAATCCCTTCTTGTCGTCCTCGAAGGCAATTTCCGTACATTTGCATTCATCGGCCAAGAATTTCCGCACAAAGAATCCGGATTCGGGACCGTACAATAGAGAATATATCTTGCCTAACGGAGCAGGAATAACCTCGTCCTTCATGATCTTGTCGTAATGTGTAGCACTGTCCGAGCATTCGGTCGGACTATGACTTGCCGGACCAGGGAAGTCATTTGCTGTCTCTGGCAAGCCGGCTTGAGCAGCAAGTGGTTGCGGAACAGTGGCCGCTGTGCCGGCGAGAATGCTGGCGGTCTGCGCGACAGCGCTTGCGTTCATACCGGATGGTTTCCTAGACACCGTCTTGCCGTCCACAAGCTCACTCCCCGCGTTGCTCGCACTGCTTTCGAGAAGACTTGGAGCACTATCATCGTCGCCATCTGAGCCTGATTCCTCGGTGGAACTACCATCACTGGGCTGAGCACTGGCTCCATTCTCTACCACAGTAGCTGCACTGGCCTCTTCCGCGGCTAATTGCTTCCCATTCATGCTCTTTTGAAAGCTTGCCGGATGACTCACGCGCCAAATCCCAATCAGAAGGTCATAAGTCTGCTCTCGGTATATTAGGCTTCGAAAGGTGTGGCGAGCGTGTAACGTCTGGATGGCGATGGCGTTGGGAAACACGACCGCCGTGTTTTCTCGCTCTATGCTGACAACCTCCTCAAAGGAAATGACCACCGTAGTCACCCACCCGAGGATATTGCTGAAAAAACATATATGGCCTTCAGAGATATAGATTCTCCCGGCCAGCAGGATCTCCTTCTGCAGAGCACAGCTGTAGTCTTCGATCAGATAGTCGTCTTCAGGGACACTCCGAAACTGTTGGTGGAAGTTTCGATTGCGTTGCTTGGGAGCCATTGTGAATCCCGTTAATCGAGGCCCCTTGGCCGGATTGGCCAAAGTCGCGGTGCTCGCCCCTATCATAGCACCAATTGCCGACTGCCCAGTAGCTGTAGACGAACCGCGAGATCTCCGTTTCCCAATTCTGCTGCGAACACTCCCGGTTCGTTTGATCGAACCCAGCTCGGCTTCAAAAACACTCCCGTTGGGAGGCGTCTTTTCCCCGCCAGTTGCCGCTGCGATCGCTTGTGCATGCCTCATACTACTACCCAAGGGATCAGGAATTTCTGCCACAGGAGTACCCATATTCGACAACTTTTCGTATGCAGCTGAAACAGCCCGTTTCGCCAGGGCGTCTTCCATTTTGGCAGCAACCTCCTCCTTTTCGGCTGTGGCGTCTCGTTTGGGATCCATCATATCAGGTTTAACGGACGAGAAATTCTTGTCCTCCGCGTTCAGGCCCAGGTCTTCAAAGTTCAAGTCTCCTGAGCCCAATGTCTCCACGGCCAACTGCTTGCGTGGGGCTTCGGGTTCAGGAGCTTCCTCCTCCTCCTCCTCTTCTTTGATGGGCTCTTCGGCAGGTTTTTGCTTGGTGGTAGCATCGGAGGCATTGGTACCTGCACGACTCCGACCCTGAGCCGTCAGGTTCGTTATAGTGGACGCGGCATTCTGTGCCGCAGAGACCCAGGATGAGAATATACCTCCGGACGGTGTTCTCTTCTCTTCCGATATAGACAACACCGGGGCAGTGACTGAAGTGGAGAGCTTGCTGGGTTGATGTGTGATTGAAGAGGTCGAACGGATCCTCCGGTGCGATATCATGTTTCCAGAAGGACTCACCACAATATTTGAGGCATCTGGTGTGATCTTGGGCTCTGGCTTGTCCGTACTTGGAGACGCAGTCGATGCGTCGAAACGATGGTCAGTAGGTGTAGGAGGAGTAACGGTGGTGAGCGGTGTTCCTATAAGAGCGTCGGGCGGTGTCAATGGCCGGAGAGTACTTTCGAGATTTGGCATTGAATTGGTATGGGGAATATTGGGGGTTGGAGGAACCACTGTCGTAACCTCAGATGGTTTTTGCTCTTCTGCAATCTTCGCATCTGTCATGAGGTTTTCGTTGCCAGCGGTACCGGCAATTGGCTCGATTTCCTTCCGTTCGGGGCTGGCTCTCGGGCTCTTACTTGGCTTGCCAAAGACATCTCTAAACCTCCTTCCCGGTGATTTGCCCCGGAGTCTGCCTAGACTGTCACGAGGAGAGTCTGGTTTCAGGGTATCCGCTCGGTCAATCAACCCAGTGGAAGAGGAAACGAGTGAGGTAGACTCAGGTAAAGGTGTAGTCTTGGGTGAAGGGGAGTTGTCATCTCCATCAGGCTCAATGAGGGTAGGGATGCTGCTCATCGACAAATCTTTCGTAGGACTCTGTATCAATTCACCATCGCTCCCGGTAGTCGTTGTAGATATCAACGGCGAGGACATGGACGCGAAGCCAGTATGAGAGTCGCGGGTAACCAGTGGAGGCGTTTCGACCTCGGAATCATCTGTAAGGAGACTGCCATCGCCATCGCGACCTTGACTGCTCCCCCTCCGGCTCAACTGTGCTGGAACAGATTTTACACTCAGCCCAGTACCCGTTCTTCCTCTTGCCAAATCTTCAACGGCAGCCTTGAGTTCCAGTTCGCGTTGTTTCCTCCTCTGTCGCTTGCTGTGGCCAGGCAGCAATTTACGGACTCCACTACCGCCAGATTTGCTGCTCCCATCCTGACTGATAGAGCGAGCGCTTTGTCTCGTGGGGGATTTGTCGAGGGTAACAGAATCAAGGGAGTCGGTACGCAAATCTTTTATGGTCTCGTCGCCGAGCAGTTCAGACGAACGGCGCCTGTTGGAGAGAACTTTCTTTAGACCCTTCAGCTGGGGAGAGGGTTCGGGCATCGTAGGGGCGACATGGGGAGAGGATTGGGCAGACACTGCGGCCATTCAAGGCAAGTCAGGGCTGAGTTGAATGCGATTGTCAGGCTGCGACGTGTGGCCAATGTTTAAGAGCAACGGTAGACTAATCCGCGTGATGTCACACGGACAATGGTAACGAACGGCATGTGGATCCTGTCACAAAAGGAGGGGAAATACCCAGCTGTTATAATATAAAAGATGGCTAGAAAATATCTTGAAAAATGGAGGAAGAGGTGCAGGCGACCATAAAGGAGAGGTAGAGGAGGTGTAAGTCGAGGTGGAAGCGGTCACCGTTAGTCGTTTAGTCGCGAATCGAGATGCATGGAGTTTTGGTTGTTGTGAGTTCAGGCTGCCACCTGAGGGCTTCGGTACGGGGGCGGGCCAGGGTGATTAGCTGGCTGGGGAGTGGTGGTTGACGAGCTTGGGGGGTTATTCAAGCCCCGTAGGAAATGCTCGAATGGCTTGCGTAAATCGGAAAGGCACCCACGAATGCGGCAGGCGATGGGCAAACAGTAATTAGCCAGGCGTGCCAGGCTGCAAGGGTGCAGGCATACGAGTACGACGTATAGGCGCAAGGATTTACTCCGCGTATTTGTGCGGCCCTCTTACGCGTTCCACTTGAGGACGCCGAGGTGCATCAGCTTAGGCTAGGCTAGCCTCACCCAAGTGACCTCAGCACCTCAGCTGCCCGCACCGCGTCTGGGTGGCTCGGGGACATGAATGTGCCGCACCCAGCAATCCAAGGCCGCAACGAGCACCTGCTTTCGGATGGTGCCACCAGCGCGGCCGCTGTTCGGCTCCCGTGTTAGGGGCTAGTAGACTCAAAGCTGGAGGATGGGTGCACCCAGGAGGTTAGGCGCAGATGGGGGGAGCCTCAAGTCCCCACCAAGATCTCCTCCCAGCCCGCGTCACTGCAGCCTTGTGACTTTTGATTTGCGCCATTGCTTGTTTCCCACCCGCGAAGAACCTCGAGTCAAGAGCATGCCGCTGACGCCTCACTGTCCTATAGTTTGTCGATGCACTGCAGATAGCAGCCCGACAACCTTTGCACACTTGTCGGCTATTGAACTAAGAATAGATGGAGACTGCACCACTGACTCTCGTAAGCACCATGTCGGAGATTGAGGATTCCAACGACACACATACTAATCTTCTCCTACCCAGGCTCACACCCATGCCCGAAATGCTGCGCTCGAGTCGCGCCGTCACAACCCTGTTGCTGCCAGCGAGGAACATGATCTGGCCGCGGCCGAGTTCGCAGCTGCGGCTCAAGAGACTTCCGACTCTGAAGCGTTGCGCGTGTTGAATCTCTTGGAACAACATCACAAGAAGCTGGGTCAACTGCTGAGGGCGGCTCACGAGAGACCGCCAGCAAAAGAGGTGCCCAACCAGCCATCAGCTGGCGATGGCGAAAATGCGCAGTCCGTGCCAGAGCGACAGAAGCAAGAATCCGATGGACCTGCTTCGCCCGGTGCCACCGTCCAACCCCCCAGGCTCCCCAGAGCCTTGAGGTCAAGCACTCGCGAATTGTCTTCCTCGATTGCAAGCAACCTGGCGTCTGCGAGAGGGATACCCAACAGCCGACAAAAGCGTCCTACCCCAATCTCGCCGCTTGTCTCGAATCAACATGCCGATGGACATAATGCTCAAGATGATCGCAGGAACAAGCCCGGACCCAGACCAAATACAGATTCCCCAGACGCTCTCTTGTCCATGTCCCCCCAAACAGATTCACGTCCATCATGGGCACCCCCGATGGCGGCCTCTCCGACAAAGGCAGATGCTGCAGAACAGCCAGAGGCCCAGAGCTCGGATGCCCCGTTTCAGCAATTCTACACGACTTTTGAGAGTCTTGTGTCAAAACTCAGTGCGCCGCTGGCATTTGCAGGCTTGCCTCTAACAACCACTACACCATCCAAGTCACCATCTACTCCCTCTCAAATACCCCCCAAAATCCCGAAAACTGTGTCCCGCCCATCACCAGCAGCACCGTCCGTCGACTACTCCCAGCTCATTTCACGTGCTGCCCTACGTGCTGTTTCTGGCACCGGCAATAGCACGTCGAACCCATCCGAGTCATTCTACGTTGTCCCCACCACCGGTGGCACAATCTCGTACGCTGAAATCATGTCCCGGGCCGAGCGTGAAGAGGCCCGTGCTGGTCTTCGTGGACATGGCCATCACCGCCAGCCTTCTGCACTCTCAAATATCTCCGAAGACGATTTCGTCGACGCACAAAGTACGATACTTCCGGCTCCGGCCAACGGGCCACCCAGCCGCTTTACCAGAGCCCGTGGGGTTACTGATGAGATCAAAGTGAACGGCAAGACGATGGAAGAACTCGCATTGGAGAATCAAGCACTCAAGCACCTCTCCGACACGCTTTCCAAGAGACTACACGTTTTTGAGATGTCCGCTCAAACTTCTTCTGCGGCGCTAGCGCAGAGCATTCGCTCCCTACACAATCGCTCGCCTATGCTTTCTCCCGAAAACTCCCGGGGCAAGACCATCAGCGGGAAGATGGGGCTAGACAGCGGCGCGATGGCTGGTATCGGCAATAGTGGCGGAGCGGGCAACCGTGACACGACCCAACGCCGAATAGCAGAATTGGAAGAGATTCTCCGCAAGAGTGATGCGCGGGCAAGAAAGCGGGAAGAGGAGAATGTCAAGTTGAAAGAGACCATCACCAAGTATAGAGAGAAATGGGATAGTCTCAAGGCGGGAGCCAAAGCGAGAAGGGCGCGTGAAAGAGCTGGCCGACCTAGCAACGGAGACAAGCCCGGTACTGGCGAGGAGACCACCACCGAAGGAGCCGAAGACGAGTCTGCCGCAGGAGGCTGATATTGTCTCGCGACAACCAGAATTGACAACGGCAACCGCAAGTCCGCGTGGTTGTGGACAAGATCGCGGACCCGAACAATGCAGAAAGAACACGGTGACGCAGATACAAGATGTGGGATGAACGTGGGCAACAAATGTCGTGCTTCGCCGTGCCGCCTGGTGGTCCGATGGCTACTGATGTAGACAATTTTGTATATAAGGGGATCCGATACCCGCCCTCCCCCGGCCCCTCCTGATGTGATATATGCTATATATACGATATAACGAAAACCCCAGACTAGTCCTAACTAGTGAGGCCTAACGAGTAAGAAGGAATTTACAATTGAAAAAGAGAACAAAGAAATGCCCAAAGTTTAAGGGAAACTTGACATTAATGTCCGGGAGCTTTTTTGATCTGCGTGTTTTTCCGAGTCGTGCCTGACGCATAGATAGCTCGATAGATATCTGAGATCGATGTCTACGGAGTATATAACTCTCCATATATAGATTATCAGACTTACAGAAGCGCGGCGACCAGGTAGATAGATCTGTTGTATATGTCCTTGGACAGGGTAAAATCTCATATTGACTCCGACATGCTCCGTACACGGCTTAGGGGGGGAATATTATATACTAGGATTACTCTACTATGACACGCCTTCAGCCTTCCTATCATGGATAGCTGGTCTTTATCTGTCCGCTGCACTATCCCTGGTGTCGTCGTCACCGCCATCACCAGCTGGTTCGGCTCGAAACACTGGGCCATCCTTTCCTTGGTCATGGCTTTCCTTCCGCTTCCGACCGGAAGTGCGACGACTCATCATCCCACTCAAGGTCTCGCTCAACGCCCGTAATCTGGTCTTCCTCTTGCCAATATCACTCTCTCCGTCGACGGCCAGATCAGGCTCGACTCCATCACCTCCATCAGGCCCTAACGGTCTAGCCTCATGCGTCTGCGCGCGGCTGAGATCTTGAGCGCTGTCGGCACTGCGATTCTGCCAGTGCATGTTCAACGCTGCTAACGGGTCGAATCCGTCAGTGTCTTCGGTCACAGCAACGGTTCGTCTTCGATCGTCGATGGAGTGTCGCCCAGAACGGGATCGGCGAAGTGCAGCGCGCACCGAGTGAGGTGCTCCCTCGCCTTTCAGCAACGAATCTGCGACCAAGGCGCTGAGCGAGTTCGAGAGGGGTGGCAAGAGCGGACCTGGGACGGGAATGAGGCGCGAGATACTTCCCCTGGAGCCACGGGCGAGGAAGCTAGGGACAGGAGAGTTGTCATCTGGGGTAGGTCTTGCAGAGCGGTCTGGGCTGGGTGGTCGAGGAGAATCCGACGGTTTTGAGGGTGTTTCCGCCTCGGCAGGGGACGAGGCGGATCGTTGAAATGGTCTTGATGTGGCCGGGGTGTAAAAGGGTGTTGATTCCTCGTAGGCTCCACTAATTCGAGGTGTCAGAGGTGGCTGTGAAGCGTCGATTTGCTCAGTGGAGGAAAGCCAGGGGTTAGAAATGAAGTCTTCCGCCGGTTCTGCAGGGGTCACTGAGATTGAGGGTAGTATTGAAGATGCATCTGAGAATCGTCGCGGCGTTTGCGGCATTGCAGTTGCGGATTGAGCCTGCTCTGAACTGGAAACCACTGGATATCCATCCGTCTGTGCACGCAGTGGCTGTGGTGCATCGCGTGTCAATGGTGTCCGCTCATCGATGTCCTCTCCTTCCTCGTCAAGAAGCTGTATCGTCTCCTCCTCGTCTCTAGTGGTTTCTTCAGTTTCACCTATCTCGTGCCGCTGGCTCGTGATGAGGTATACGCCAAAGAAGGTCAAGAGACATCCAATGACAAATTTGATTGCCTGCTCCGATGTCGTATGTTCAAAATCTCGGTACAGCACCGCGGAGCCGATGATGACAGAAAGAGTGAAGAGAACAAATTGGGTCGGTATAACCTGCGTCGAATCGTAGTGCTGTAAGGCTCGATTGAGATAGCGAATCTGCAGAAGCGCCGAGCCAACGAGAACAAGCACGAGGAAGTAGAAAATGGCATAGGTAAACGCTTTGTAAAGGGACACAGACAAAAGTGACGAGACGCCTTTGGTGGATAAGACGGTATAGCCTCCACACAACGCCACCAGACCAAGGTCGATGAGTATGGTCTTGCGGCCATGTCGTGGCTCGGCGTACATCAGAGCTCCGATAAGCAACAGCGTGATGATCACGTAGAGGAGGAATTCCCATCTCTTTATGGTCTTCCACAGTTCACCGGGCCCAAATTTGGCCTCACTGGTTTGGGCAGACAACACAACGGTGACAGCGCCGGCAATAGCAACCAATACTCCGTACAGGTCACGTCGTCGGAACCGTTCCTTGAGCATGAGTGGGGCAATCAGACAATTCGAAATCAAGGCGACAACCCCTAGCGGACTGACAATGGACGCGGGAGCAAAGCCATAGGCAAGAAAGTTGCCCGCCTCGCCTATGATCATCATCACCAGGCCAAGCCACCAGTATGGCGACTTGAGGTAGGATGCTCTCTCAGCATCGTTGGCCGAGTCTTTCTCGCGGCGATGGTCGTGCCGAGCAGGTCCCAGAGAAGGTTGTAATGTCTCTTCGGAGGAACGTTGCGCTGATCCATCCGTGGCTTCATCTATACTCCTTTTGCGACCGGATATTTCGAGATTTTTTCTCCTCCGCTCCTCTGCGATCTCTTCCTGTTCCTCATTGGCAAAGCCCGGTCCACGCCCAGAAGCAGCGTGACCATTCGCAAACGATTTCCTGGATTCGGAGTACTCGCGGTCTATCAGGATGTGTGCGTATCTCTGGGTGTTCAGAGCAAAGGAGATGAGGAGGTTCCCGACAACCGCCGCAACAATGCCGATGAAAGACGACCACTTTTCGTACCCGGCGCCGGGCTGTGCGCCGTCTTCAGAGGCAAAGAGGCGCAGTGAGGCTGTCGGGTGGGCATTGACCGTGAAAGTTGCAGCGGGTATGTGCATTGGGAATGGGAATATCGGTCGGTTCGATCAAGTCGATTTGTCTCCAGACGAGTCTGGGATCGGCCGGAAAAATAACGCAGATCCTGTCGAAGGTTGAGAGAGCCAACAGGCAGTTTGGGTGTGAGGGCGCTTCATCTAAGGACATCAGCGTGTCCATGCGAATGATACAAGGTGTCTCGGTATGTGAAATGTTAGAGCCATCACGGGCTCAGTTGTTTGGAAAACAAGGAAGAGGAGAATCAGGCCCATTCAAGTAGTCGTGAGTTGGAGCGCTGCGGGAATGGTCGCATGCAAGTTGTACGTCGTCGTGCAGCAAGCATCCGGGGCTTGGCAGCACAAGGAAATCGGTACGGAGGAGTACGGCGAGGATAACGAAAAGAGTTTCAAACAAGGCCTGCCCCTGCCGCCATTTTAGCTCAGTTGCGCTTAACTTGACCACACAGTCGAAAAGCAACTAGGCTGTTGATTGGGTGTTGGGTTTTGAAGCCAATAAGCTGCCGCTGGGCCTTCAAAGCGGCGCTGCCAAGACTATACTTACGGTTTAGATTCTGATTGAAGACTAGCTGACTAGGTATAGCCAGGATGTTAGTGATCGTGGCTCTTTACATGACAACGCGGGTCGCAGGGAAATCCCTTGCATCTTTCTCCGAGGGATCTGCAATTGTGCTTTCCGCTGTACCTAACAGGCCTGGAAGTCCTGTGCAGCATTAAAGGGAGAGAAAGGAAACCATCACCGCGACGAATTTCTATATTACCACTACAATTGACTTGCCAGCCCGAGTCTGATATGTCCCATCCCGCTGAAAGTCCAACCCATTATCAATCTCACGATTTCGCTTCTCTCCGGGAAAGCCCTGCAAAGGCTTTGCGGCAATATCAATTGTTTGAAGGTGGCACCCTCCCGCCTACCTAGGCCAGCCGCGCGGGTACTGGAACGCCAGGACCTTGTTAGCCGGATGGTTGCTTAGTGCCTTTGGGACACATTGAAATACTCCTGCGCTGACCTGACCGCAGTGTGAATTTCAGCTTCAAGCAGGATATCTTCAGCGTTCCTGCTAATCTAATTCGGAAACGTAATATTGACGTTACTGCTGCGCAACATGGTTTCCTCGAGCCCTCCATCATCACCACCGAGCCGTGGATGGATCGTCTTTATCCTGGTTGCTCTTATGAGTTGCGTTCACGCCACGGTTGTCTGTGATGGTTGCCGTCCGCTTAGTCTCCAAGAAGCCGCAGGTATGTGCTACGGAGGACCGCGACCTCATCTACCCCAATTCACAGAAGGAGACACTGAGGCGCTTTTCTCAGGTGTTGGCTTGTCTTTAGCACCTACTTATGGGTACGCACCGTCAGACAAAGGAAGTGCAAAGGAAAATATTTCTGATTGGTTCCAGCTCTGCAAGCATTCAATTTGCCAATGGTACGATCTCCGACGTTGCTTTAATACATGGGTCCGAAGCATATATTCGAGCCATGAAGCTATGGGACCATCTTGATGTTGACCCCCCACTTCTGGACCTCGAGAAAGAGTAAGTACATGCACTCGTACCTGGTCGAGGTGTCTGCGCCAAATGCTAAACTACCAAGTTCTGGGACGAGCAAACCCCCTCCTTTCCTACAGCGACTACGATCGTGGTATCAGGCGCGGCTACAGCACGGCGCTGAAACCTCGCCTCAGGCCACCTACGACGAACTCATCCCGATCGCTGAGATGATGAGCACACTTTTCTCCGAGGCGAATAAGTCGGTGCCCTTGTCGAATAACTTGGTATTCCTGGCGATCCCAGACTTTGAGAATAGCACCAGTGACACCTTCACCCGGCCAATTCGCCAGCTTGTCCAATGAGCTGGACTTGACTGCCTCGGTTTCCAAAGACAGAGTCAGCTCTCACTTTTACACATCTATGACCTGGACAACTGTTTTGGAATCTGGCTGGACGAGGTAACCGAGGTTCCTGATCAAGAGTGCGAAAAATACAAAGGCAGACACATACAGTCGGTACTCTCCGTCCATCTCGATCGATCCTCTCTGAATTTGCGGTCAATGATACGCGATGACGGTATATTCCCTCACACGCCGGGCTCCGTCAAAGTCCTCTGGGCGGATGAAGATGCCAAAGCGAACACCACGGATTGGGATTGGGTGGGACGTGCGCTTGAAGACTTCTTACACGACCACGATCTCATGTTTGATCTCCTGCTCCTCTCCGGCGCCCAGGTCAAGGATAGCAATTTCCAACAAATCATCCGAGATAGGTTCAAAGACAACGAGAAAATCGTACCTCAGGACTACTTCCGAGGGTCGAAGGATCACTTGTTTGCCGCGTCGAGGGGAGCTGCGGAGCTTGCTAGGGTCCGCTTGTGTACGGGTGATGATGCATTCATGCCTAACTCGTGGTGCCCAATCAGTGAGCATTGTAGGAAATGGGCATGGTATTCGGATGACGATGCTCCCAGGAAGACAGAACTCTAGGGGAATCTTCGCGTGGCATGTGAACAGTAGCAAGTATCTGCGAGGAGTCTGTGGGAGAATGATGATACGGCCCCCCAACGACGAGGCGTTCAGTAATGATGTTGTCTGAAAACACTTTCCAAGGATATCATAATCCCCCTTCCACCCTTCTCTTCCGTTCGAGGTTGTGTCGGGCAAGTTGCAAACTCCATTGGCGCTGAGAAAACCTGGCGACAATTCATCCGAGGTGGGAGCAGACCTAGCACTGGCCAAACTGCTCACAGCGGCATTGTTTCAAAGGAATACAGTGCACAGCTTCCTGTCCAAATATGACATGCCAGAGATACTCGAAGACCCGCCCACTCGTATCGTCATCTAGTGGCGTATCGAGGAGCCACTGACGGTAATGCTCGTAGTCCGCTTGGCTGCGTTTCAGAGCCTGCTTTTTCGATATCGCAAATTGCGAACAACAGGGTTGAGCGATAACCTTGGGTATGTCGGAATAATTCCCCCCAAACATGTATGGCCACGCTTCCCTCATGGCGTGCTCTGCCGTGCGGCGCTCGTCTTGTCGGTCGACTTGTATTTCTGCTGGGCAGCCCGGGTCAGGAATGCAGCGCATGTTGGCATATCCATGCTCTTCGAGGTATGCGAGCCTCAGAGACCTGATAGAATTGATTTGGTTGTGATTTTTACTGTCCGTATGCCACGCCGCGGGCCAGCCTTGCAGATGTGGATGAACGAAGACCATGTAGGATGGCAGAACGTCGTAGTGATCGATGATGAATGTGAGGTACGCCATAGCCTCTCTGCCCTTGTTGAGGGGTGGATGAAGCATTCCTCCATCTGGTTCATCCATGTAGTATATCGCCTGTTTCCAACTGGGCGGGCATCTTCGTCAGTACCCACACATCCATACAGAGGATCCCGCGTGACATACTCTTGCAGATTGTCAAAGACCCAACTCACATCTTCTCCGTGAGTCTTTGCCAGAATCACCGCTTTGTCCTCTGCCTCGGGTCCTGAGTAGATCCATGCTTTGGAACCATTGGGCTTCTTGAGGCCGTTAACTCTGTTAGATTCAATGCGAGGGCTCGATTTGTCGGACTGGTAACCCAGTCGAAATCTGACGGTCCCGCCAGTCTTCAACTTCCAGAGCAGATCTAGAGTCAGTAGGACGAGGATCGCGACCACGGATGCCAGGCGATACTGGAGCTTCGACAACAACATTGGGACATGGCAGCTCGCTTCTTGATAGCTTCGACACTGCAGCCGTGCGATATTCTGAGGACTCTCGAGAAGGACCGTGAAGGCAAACAGGTCTCATCCAGCATCCTATGAAGAATAGCGCGCACATGTTGTTGTGACTGCGGCTATACAATTGACTCGCGCGTTGGTCGATCTTGTTTGTTTTTTGGGTCTGAGCAGCGACAAAGACCCACCAGCATGGCTAACATTCGATAGTACCGAGTCCTCTGGAGGGCTTTAGAGACGCGGTTCAGCTGGCGAGATCATGAGTAGTCAATTGGCGACGGTGGATACATTGGGATAGACGCGTAGAACGTTCGAAGAGAACATCCGTCCTAGGTTCATGAGCTTGACAACGGGTTTATTGCTTGACAAAACACATAACTTTAGTGGTACAGAAGACATCTCCACCAATATCAGAGATCGCCCTCTTCGGTGGTGTTTGTTGAAAATATTGTGGGCGTGACGAACAATTTCCTTTCGCTCTCGCACTTGTACCAGGCGGCCACTAGCGCTTCAAGTTCCGTCAAAATAGTGGCCAAAAACACCCGATTCGGCAAACTGTTTACTCGTAATTATTATTACAAGAGTTGCCTTTGCATACTCGTACAGCAGTGTGCCATCTTCAAGTCTCTGCTGCAGCGCGCGTCCGTCGACAGGTCTGACGCTGAGGACTACCGTAAACATTGACCATCAAGGATACGAAGGATTGAAGGAACGCTGGACTGCGTCAGGCCACAGTATCCAAGATATTACAATTCAACATTTCCCGCGAGTTTGACGGACAGTGCCGCCGCTTTTGGAGGGCTTCTTCCCACGTCAGCCCCCAACCCTCCTCGGTTGACCTTCCTCGGTCATTTCGAGGATTATGGCGCCTCGAGGACGGTCCCTATATGGAGGAATCTTTATTCCTTCCTGGCCTCACAACCTCTCCAACCTCCGGCTTTTATACATCTGAACCACTTCATCCGGAACATCCTCTACTGATATTAATGTGGCGCCGTGATGATACCTTGTGCCATCACTTTCCTCCTCTACGCTTGCCTCTTCATCGCACTACTGACTCTGCTTTGGATAGGTGACACTTAACTCGAGTTATCGGGGGACTTGGGCTGATCACGTTATAGCCTTCTACGACCTAGTTTACTTCTGGTGTATTCGTAAGCTATATCTCGATATGGTACCTCGGGGACGCAGCTGCAATGCTTTGCGGCCTGGTCCCCGCCGTGAAGCAATTGCAGCTGCGTCCCGGTTACTGCAGATGGGGAACGAGCTCTGAAGCTCGATGGAGTCCGACTAAAGCTTGGAGGAGCAATTTCGTGAACATGTCGATGTACGTGATTGGAACATATGAGTGGCTAGGCGGAGACTTCTTACCGGTGTGTGCCTGGACTATTATCAGGTGGCTCGCTTTGTCATAGTTAGTCGGAACGGGCGAAGGAAGAGGCCGCAATGGCCGCCGCTATCGAAGCTGAGGACGGGTTTCAAATCATGATTGTTCCAAACAGCTGGAATTGACAGGTTGAAGGACCGTAAAATGCGCCATGTGGTTACTAGGTAGAGTAAGGATTGTTTTTGAAGGAGGATGGGGTAGAAGTCAAAAGCGGCGGCGGGCCCAGCCTGCGACCATACCCGAAGGGGCCGGGCCGCCTAAACCGCCGGCGGATTTACTTTACTTGTACCGAGTACACAAGCAATTGATGCAACGGAGGGGGTCGTCCTACATCCACATGCCTTGTTTCACCCTGTTTTTGAGTAACATTCCTGACTGTGCCCACATTGTACAGTAACCTAGGATCAGTGTCCTTTCCCTCATCATGGACGCCACGCTTTGCCAGTGCAGTCTCTCCCTCTGCGAAGAATCTATCCAAGCCCTCCGAGGAAAGATATGTCCAGATTATACTCAAGACGCTTATTACAGACCTTGATCGTGACCACTATTGTCACTGCAATCTTCCTATTATACGGACTACGACTCTCTCGTGCCTCTTCGTTAGTTGCGATTCCAATAGTCAAAAGTAGCTTCGACTGGTCCAACTACACTTACCGACATCCTGTCAAACCCTTTGCTCCTCTTCCGACAGGAAAGCCCCAAACATTTCCTGGGGTTCAACATAAATTTCGGCGGGAATCCCTATCTGCGGCGATACGGAGACGGTCACGGCAGCAGGCGATATTGAGAACTTTCAAGAAATGTTGGCAGAGCTACAAAACTCATGCATGGCTGAAAGATGAATTACAACCAATCTCGGCAAAGAGTAAGGATACACTTGGTGGATGGGCAGCCACCCTGGTCGACTCTCTCGACACTCTCTGGATCATGGGCCTCAAGCAGGAATTTCGTGAAGCTGTAGAGGCGGCTGCAGGCATTGACTGGGCGGCAACGTCGGATACCTCATGCAATATGTTTGAGATCAATATCAGACAGTTGGGAGGTCTACTCGCAGCATTCGACCTGAGCCAGGAGCCGGCTCTGTTGGCAAAAGCTATCGAGCTTGGGGACATGCTGTACGCGGGATTCGATACCCCGAACCACATGCCCCCTTTCTGGCTGGACTTTGAGAAGGCAAAGACAGGCCAACTAGTGGCAGATCAACACCAAAGTTCAGCCGCGTTAGGCTCGTTTGCCCTTGAGTTCACTCGCCTATCTCAGATTACAGGAGATCCGAAGTATTATGATGCTATCAGACGGGTGACCTTGACGTTTATCGAACATCAAGCCTCGACTCAGCTGCCGGGCATGTGGCCAACCTTCGTTAATGCCCGCTACCAGAGCTTTGTCGGGGATATGTTCACATTAGGAGCTCAAGCAGATTCCCTTTACGAGTACTTGCTTAAGCTCCATTACCTCTTGGGTGGCTTAGAGCCAGCTTACGAGAAAGCTTATAGGGATTCTATGGCCTCAGCGATCAAACATTTGCTGTTTAGGCCAATGCTTCCTAATGATACAGATATACTAGTCGCCGGCTCCGCAATTGTCATTGCCGGGACTGCCACACTTAGCCCGGAAGGTCAACACCTAAGCTGCTATACTGGTGGAATGTTCGTCCTGGGGGGAAAGCTCCTTTCGCTTCCAGAGCATGTCGACATTGGTGCAAAATTAACACAGGGTTGTATCTACGCCTACAATGCATTTCCAACTGGTATCATGCCCGAGACCTTCCGGATGCGGCCCTGTCCATTGCTCCAAGAGTGCGCGTGGGACGAGACAATGTCTTCTAGGTCACTACCAGAAGGGTTTGTTTCGGTCTCCGATCGATCCTACTCGCTTCGTCCAGAGGCTCTTGAAAGTGTGTTCATACTCTACCGGACAACTGGGGATCCGAAATTACTAGACGCCGCGTGGACTATGTTCGAATCCATACAAGCTGCCACGGAGACCGAATACGCCAACGCTGCCATCATCGATGTGACTGTGGCTGGTAAGCCATTGAAGAAGGATTCGATGGAGGTAAGAGCTGTCCAAAACTTCCGGGGCTGCAAACCTGTGCTGAGAATTCCACAGAGCTTTTGGCTGGCAGAAACGCTCAAGTATCTCTATCTCATTTTCTCGCCGCCTGATCTTGTCAGCCTGGATGAATACGTCCTGAATACCGAGGCACATCCCTTGAAACGTCCGAGGTGAACTTGTCGCTGGTGATCGGAAAACTCGAGGTTTCAATGTCGTGAGAGCCTCTCCAGCATCACAGCGTGGGACCTTGAAGCTGAGATCGGAACTCGGCCAACCACTGAACGCGAACAACGCGCCTGTGGCCACTGTATTTTACGTGACACGCGACAAGGCTGGAGCCAAGACGACCCAGTTTTTAAGCGAGTCTACACCACACGTCCAACTTAGGGCGGCACCATGATTATCCCAATATGGATGACTTTGGCAGCATACATCCTAATATACGAGAAACACTTGCCTAGTATCCAGTATCTAAGCCTGCTCATCATGTTCACGTTCCTCTGCGCACTTTTCTTCTCAACTGTCAGAATGCGAACACTGGAATTGCGCGTGAGGACCCACATTCAATCGCCAGGGTTTATGAGACGTGGATATCTCGAGTCACCAGGCGCACGTGATATAATGCCGCTCAACGGCGTTATCTCATGTGCCTCAGGACAAAGGGTCAAACCTCAAGATTGACAGTTTGAATAGCTCTCACATATTTTGGCTACGGCATGGTCGTACTCTAGAGAAGACTATAGCAGATATATACCAGTCTATCAGGAAGGATGTACAGGTACCGAGTACACTACTGGGAGAGGAGCATGCAATGCTGGTTTGCAAATCTCGGCGAAAGTATTTTCCGTCCCGCCGCCTTCGGATGAACCGTTCCGACCTTCCGCTTGTCGGGATCAGGCTCAGGCTGAGGCTTTGGCGGCCTTTCAATTTTGCCTGGTCCATTCAGTAACAAGCATTGACGCGCCACAGGGCCATTACACCAACACGTCGTGGACATTCGCGGACCAAGTTTGCTGGTCATATTCTCCCTTGTCCGATTTTCCTGTACTTGTCTCCCCTCGACCAGAGTTGTTTTGCTGTCATGGATCGAAGCCTAGACGAAACCATTGCGGAACGCCAGGTCCGTCCCTGCAACTGACCCTACCGCTAGCTTCTGATGCTGATGATCCTCCAGAGAGCAGACACACGCTCTCGCAGAGCGCCTCCACCGCAGCAGCAGCAGCGCCGTAGAGAATACAACTACCCTCGCGATGGCGTCAGAAAGGTGGGCGACACAGTCTCTCGTTTGCCCGCCCGCGTCAGATCTGACTCTCGTGGTGGTCAGGTCCGAACATCCTCTCCTCTCCTCTAGTACCCGCCTGTCCCGCCAGTACGATTGATCGCCGCATCATCTCGACTTACCTCACATGTGTTGCTCCGATAATTCGACGCGCTTCAGGCCAGGGACAGTTTGACAGACGAGCTAACCTAGATATTCCTCCCCCACAGCCTGCTAGGGATGATCGCACGAACTTAGATAAGTAAGGGACCACACGCACACACACATAGGCGCAGTGAAAAGTCAGGGGGCTAAACCGTCTGCAGTGATTGGGTTCACGACCGATACGATGACGAACCAGACAGTATGGAGCTGCATAAACACAATAGACAATGGGGAGAGTGACTGATGGTGGAAGCAGGCCGCCGCTACGATCGACCAAGGGAAAGCAATCACCGTCGCGATGAAGATCGCTCGGCAGAACGCGACAGGTAAGACTCGGTTGTCGTGAATGATTAGACCAGGGCTGATGGTTCAGGAAACCCCCTCCAGCCAAACTCAGAGTCGACAATCTACATTACGACCTGACAGAGGATGATATTTGGGTATGTCGGTTCACGTCCCGCCGGCCTTCTGGTCCTGACATGGTATAGGACCTTTTCCAACGCATTGCTCCGGTGAAGGAAGCTCGATTACGCTATGACCGCGCTGGCCGTTCTGAAGGGGTCGCCTTTGTCACATATGAGCATGTTGCCGACGCAAGAGCTGCGATCCGCGAATTTGACGGTGCCAACGCCAAAGGACAGCCAATCCATCTCACACTCCTCCCACTCCCGAGACGGGACAACCCGTTTGACCGCGTGGAGAACCCCAAAAGCCTGTTCGACAGAATTGAGGCACCGGCTAGCCGCAGTCGACGACGAAGTGAAAGTCCGATGGAAGAACTTGACGAAGAGCGAAGAAATCGCCGCGCCCCCCGACGGGGAGGCCCGAGAGACCGAAGGAGTGACACCACCAAACCACCTCCAGAGAACATTGATCGTTACATCCCAGGTCAGCGCGACAGCCGAAGTTCAAGTCACCGCGGAGGACGGAGACCGGGTGAACGGAGGGAGCGCGCCGGCCGAGATGGAGAGGGCCATAAATTGGTGAACGGTAGGCCTCGAAAGACCGCGGAAGAACTTGATGCAGAGATGGACGACTATTGGGGACATGGCAACACGCACGAGGGCACATCGGCCAACAGTGCCCCCGGGGAGCAAGAAGCTCAACCCGTCGCTGGGGATGACATCGACATGATTGAGTAAAGGATGACTGACTGTCAAGGACCCCCCAAAAAAGGCAATTCTGTAAAAGTAGTTCCTCCGTGCAGAGGAACCGGGAGCGGAGGATGGGGGAAAGCCCCTTCACCTTCAGAAGCCCGCAGGAAAAGGCATGAAAAGGAATTGGCGAATCCCAGACGAGATTGAAAATCCAGACTGTGATTCTTTGTGTGAAAGCTTTAAAAAAAAAGATTTGGATTTGAACAAGAGAGCAGAAATTCCACTCGTCTAACTTAACCCAGCTTGGCCTGCACAAAGTCTTCGACAGCCTTCAGCCCTTCTTCGGCGCCACTCCCCTTGACGCTCTTGGGGAACATGATGTAGCCATGAGGACCCCCGGGCACGATTTTAACCACCGACTCCGCCCCGGCCATCAGCCACTTCATGCTCATGAACATTGTGTCGTCCAGGAGACAGTCCTCCGTGCCGCAGGTGAAGAGGGCAGGGGGCAACTTTCCCCTCAGCGGCTCCAAGTCGGCGAACAGCGGGGATATGGACGGGTGTCTCTTCTCGTCGTGGCTCATGCCGGGGAGAAAGGCGTCGATATAGTGGTCCATCAGGTCCCGATCCAGGATCAATATCTGCGGTCGTTTAAAGTTGTATACTTGCGGGGTCCATATCATCGAGTAACACCCACAGTGTAGCAGGAGGCCCTTGAAGCGGAAGTCCGAGTACTTTGAGTCCTGGTGTTGCAGGAGGTGAAGAGTGATGAGCATGCTTAAATGTCCACCAGCGGACTCTCCGCCCACAAAACCCAACGAGGCCCCAAACTGAGCCTCGGCGTTGTCAACTAACCATTCCGCGGCGTCGAAACAGTCGTGAGGGCCTGCAGGATACGGGTCCTCAGGCGCGAGGCGGTAGCCGACCGATATACACAACATGCCCGTGGTGTCTGCGATTTCCTGCAAGGTGGGATCTTGCGACTTTTCGTCCTGAAGAACCCAGCCACCGCCGTGAATGTGAAGAAATACCGATTTTACCGGGTTTCCGTTCTGAGGGCGCAGGATTCGACAGGGGATGGCGCGGCCAACATCCCGGCTTGGAATGGAGAACTCCTGCGCAGTATCAAGATAGACCGCTTTAGGAAGGGGTGTCTCTCCGGCAGCGCGCATTTCGCGATAGCGTTTGGCGCCGACCTGTTTTGCAGAAAGAGACGGTTGTGGTTGGTACAGGTATTGGTCCAGAACCGGAGTCTCTATGGGGACAAAACAGAGGCAGGGTGTGCGTTATGCCCTACCCATGAAACTCACCTCGTACCATTTGGGCCCGTGTGCCATGATATCCATCAGTCCCTGATTGAACGCTTTGGTCTCTTCTGAGATGGCGGCTGGGTGGAACTTGCTGGTCTCGAGGGTGACAGCATTATGGGCATCCATACTTAGGACTTGTTATGGTATCGGCGGGCAACAGGGTCAATATTCGAGGAGTCGCGAGGTTTATCAATCGCAAACAGAGGACGTTAGTGTTGGTAAAAGACTTCTTTGACCTCCCACTCTCAAGACTGTGACATTGTTTTGAGTGGACTTCTCCACTTGGAGGTTGATCAGCATAGGAGCCGAGGACATCTCCATACGAATCGGATCATGAGTGCTGTATCTCCGACTGTCAGCATTGTATGTTCTCTGTGGGGGATCGAACGTCTTTAGGTATCTCTTTTCTGCAATGCGTTTGCATTGCCGCCCTTCAAGGTACAAGAGGGGGGTAGGAAATAAGGGACACGTGCAGGCAGGCAATATGCACATAGCGCGTTTATGCTTCTCCGTGGATAATTACGTCGGAGTATAAAATTCACTAACGCAGTCATCTTCGCCTCCGAATTTTAGTCTGTCATTGCTCTATATCAAGGCAGCATTATCCTGTATCCAACAACTGTCCTTTAAAGTCTCGCCATGGATGAGGATGCATTCAAAGATTACCTGCCGGCCTCATTCGGGACAACTGGGGGTGAATTCGATGTCGAATCCCAGATGGAGACAGTGAGGAGGAAAGTAGCCGGTCTGCCTGAGCCCAAGGGCAAGGATTCGGCCAGTTCGAAAGGTGACAGCGACTCGGACGACGACTCCGATGACGACTCAGAAGATGAAGACGAATTTCCTGTTTCTCATGAGATCGTCTTCAAAACCCATGATCGTGCCGTCACCACAATCTCGTTGGACTCGTCTGGTTCGCGGATGATCACCGGCTCGACAGACTGCACAGTCAAACTATATGACTTTGCTGCCATGGCGCCCAACACTCTACGAGCTTTCAAGTCTGTGGACCCTACATTCACAAAGGGCTCGGCGTCTTCGGAGACTCATCCGGTGCATACCGCCAAATTCAACCCGAATTCACCAAGTCAGGTTCTCGTCGTCTCGGCCACTTCCCAAGCCAGGATATTATCCCGCGACGGCGAAACACAGACCGAGTTCGTCAAGGGCGACATGTACCTCCGCGACATGAACATGACCAAAGGCCACATCAGTGAAATCACCTGTGGGACGTGGCATCCTTATGCCTATGATCTCTGCGTCACTGCCGGAACCGATAGCACCCTGCGCATTTGGGACGTGAATGTTCGGAATAAACAGAAAGAGGTCATCGTCCACAAATCAAAGCTTGCGGGCTCCGCTGGACGAAGTCGAATGACCGCTGTCGCGTGGGGTAGTCAGGTTCAAGGCGGGAATAGTCTTCTTGTCGCTGCCGCGCTGGATGGCTCTCTGCTCATGTGGGGAGGAGACGGACCTCACCACAGACCTAGTGGCGAGATCACGCAAGCTCATACGAGCGACTCTTGGACAAGCGGCATAGACATCAGTGCCGATGGACGACTGGTCGTCACGAGGGGAGGCGATGACACGATTAAGCTATGGGACACCCGCAAATTCAAACAACCCGTCAATACCGCAACTCACACCTCGACATCAAGCCAATACCCAACTTCGAACATCTTATTCGCTCCAAATGCATCCTCTATTGTCACTGGCTCTGAGACTGGGGACCTTTACATTCTCAACCCAGCAACATTGAAGCCCGAGCTCGTTACTCCCGTCACCCCCGGGTCACCTTTGGTCAGCGTCCTCTGGCATGACAAATTGAACCAAATAATCACCGGCAGTGCCAACGGCGAAACGCACGTTCTTTTCAATCCAAAAATTTCCACAAAAGGCGCGGTAATGGTAATGTCCAAGCCACCTAAGCGTCGCCACATAGACGATGACCCAACCCTCACCACGGACATGTCCCAAGGGCTGTCGAGCGACGCGATCATCAACCCAGGGACCGCCAGTGAGGCCATTCAGGGTAGCACGTTTGCCTCGAGGCACCCAACCATCGGGCTCACGGCGTCAGGAAAATCGCGCGATCCGAGGAGACCACACATTCCCGCCACCACGCCGTTTGGCAAGAGCCAGCCCGATGAGCGCCACATCAAGGAACGGATCCCGCTCAGCACGATGAGAGAAGAAGATCCGAGAGAAGCCCTTTTGAAATATGCCGACAAGGCAGAGAAGGATCCTATGTTTACGAAGGCATGGAAAACCACACAGCCCAAAACCATTTATGCAGAATTAAGCGACGACGAGGAAGAAGATGCTGGACCACAAAAGAAGAAGCAGAGAACGTAACTCTTGAGGTTTGACCCTTTGCGAGGACACATGATACAATGTCGCTGGACGGCGTTATATCACGTGCTTCAAGACAACGGCTCACGAGAAAATGTGAGACCATCTTGTTGCTTGGGAGGATAAGACAACTTTTTGAGGATATCAAGAGGATAAAACTCCTATCGAAGTATGAAGAGAAACCGTCGATCCCAATTCACACAGGCCCGCCATAAAAACGTATACTGTACAGGCGGAGTCGCTGAGGGCCAAACCGAACTTCTTCTCCTCCATCTGGTGGACATGCAAGACTCTTCAAACATCCTTTGCCGGCTTGCCGGTAATGGCTTCCATAATTCCCTTGCGGGATGGACGAACAAGCCGCTTGATACCCATCCAAGGAGTATTCATCGGGGATTCGCCTGTGTAAATCAGAGTGTCGTACAAGAAGCCGCCAAAGGTGCATCCAATGAAGGGGCAGATCATGGGAACCTGGGAATTTTCCATGTCAGCAACGTATGCAAATGGCGAGAAAACAAGGACAACGCACCCAGAAATAGTATCCTCCGGCGCTCCACACTTCATGGCCATAGCCCACGAAATAGGTGAATAGCCTGGGACCAAAATCTCGAGCCAGATTAATGGCATAGCCGGTCTCCCAGCCAAGGGTTGCTCCAATGCCGAAGATCAAGAAGAACAATCCGAGAGGAACCATTACACCCGCTCCCAGGTTCGCATCGTCCTTCAAGGCAAAGATGACAAACACCAGCACGGAGCTCGAGATGATCTCGGAAAACACTTGCCCCGTCTTTGTCAGGAACGGTTGTGGGTAGGTGCAGAAGACGCCCGCCGTGGCATGGTCCGAGAAGCCGGGGACGGTGCGGATCGACGAGCCCCCTTCATACGCGTCGATCGCCGACTTGTAGTTGCCGTAGATGACGGCCGCGCCGCAGAAGCAGCCCAGCACCTGAGCAGCCGCGTAAATGGGGAACTTGTACCACGGAAACTTGCGATACAGGCAGTTCACAAATGTGATGGCCGGGTTTAAATGGCCTCCTGCGCAACCTGCGACGTAGACACCCAGCATGACACCGATGCCCCACCTGTTGGACAGAAGAAGTCAGCAAATTGGCCAGGTGTTTTGTGAGGAGGGAACGCATTTCACGATTCACAGGCCTCACATGCATTGAAGAAGGGGAGTGGGATCTTGGAGGATTGGCAGTGATGGACTGGGAGACGAGAGAGAAGCAAGACACGTACCCCCAGGATATGGACTGATATTCACCCTTGTTTTGACTGCTCGGGGGTAGATTGGGATTCGCACTCAATGTCACCTGCGCCACGCTGCCGTCGCCAAACAGGATCATGATGAATGTGCCCATGAACTCGGCGAACGGGTCTCTCAAATGGTGCCTGATGCGACTCCACAGCAGGTTCTTGTGGTGCTGGTAGTCTTCCTCCGCCTCGCTGTATTTGAGCGCATTGTCGATAGGCGGGCCATGCTCTTGATGATACGGGTAGGGCACTTGTGGGTTAGGGTCCATGCTCCGCGCGTGTTGTTCGGCATCGTGTTCGCGGTGGGCAAACGTGACTTCGTCCGAAGCCCGGTCCGACGACGAAGAGCCGGCGGTGCGCATGTGGGGGAGGTGGAAGGGGTGTTCTTTTTGTTTTTCGAGATTGTCCATGGTGGGACAGAATCTTAGAACTCACGCTTTGTCTCTAGAATGGGGGCCTGGCTTCTATGACTGAGGCTGAATGGACATATGGGGACAAATGCAAAAGGGAGGAGAAAGAGAAGTCAATGTAAGGATCCAGACGGGGTCGCGACATGTTTGACTTCATATGTATGACTTCAGTCAGCTATTGTGTCGTATCGCCTACCTCTGAATGCGGTCGTCAGGCCAGACGTTCCTATCAGATGACAAGCCCACAACTGTGGTTCGGGAAGACTAGCATGGAGGACTCGATAGAAAAGGCCGCAAAATGGATACTACCTCCCGCGGCAGGGGTGTAGAGCAATAGCTTCATCGGCTCTTGCACGGAAAGGTCCTTTCATTTTCTATTCCGTCACGAGTGTTGATTGGTTCAAAGCATTTTGATATCTCATGGCACTGGGTGGCTGGTGACACGCGGGCCCGTTGGCTCAAAGGCGTGGTCAGCTTCATCATAGCAATTGCGGGATGTGCATGGGGAATTCCGACAAGGAGGACGGTGTTTGAACTGATCACTGATGATGCAGATCGACGTCAGTGGCAATGGTATCCCTGAGCGGAGTGGAGATGGAGGTTCTCCTTCTGACGGACGAAGCGCATCGCGAAAGAAGGCGTGGTTGGGCCTACTAGACGTCATTCAATGCCGAGCCCATCCATCGCAAAGAGCGGAGAGTGCCAAGATCGTATGGTCAGAGGGGGATCGACGCATCGTCTGTGGACGGTCTTCGGAGGGGTCATTAGCCTGCGGGGGCGGAGGATGTAAATCGAATTCTTCTTCTGATCGCTGATAGTACTGGATCGTAAACACCAATGAAGGGAGAGACTGACCTGGTGAGAGGGTTGTCTTTCGGTCCCTCGTGTTGATGGTGTCCCGAATCCACTTGTGCTCCTGGCGACCACGGGCCTGGGAAGAATTCCCGCTCTTTTGCAGCCGGTATGACCAGAGCAGTGGTTTTGTGTACCTGTTAGCTTTTGTTCATTCGACAATGTGGATTTTCCTCGTGTTTCTGAAGCCGCTTTCGTTTTGGATCCTGTCGGCCAATGGGGCGTAGTTCACACCGAAGGGGTTTAAATGCCCGGTATTGTGTGAAAGATGCCTGCAAGGATGAGGGATGTCTCAGCACTTGGTGTATTTCCGCAGACGATGTCGCTTGCGCGCCGGATATAACGTCTGAGCGGGTGGGTATCTCGTCGATGGAAGGGAAATGCCGACTCCGAGATCAGTCACAACATGACGTCAAGTTTCCGACGGAGAGATGCGACATGGGAGCAAGTGAGTTGCCCCCGTTAGCTGTCTGGAGGTCTACTCAAAGGGATATGGGGATTTCTGTTTGATGAGACCACGAGATAATGTTCAACTTGATACAAACAGCACCTTGATGGAATCTAGGTAAAGGGGAAGATATTGAACAAGAGTCTTGGAGGTACAAGTCCTCGAAAAGAACCGCATGCTGCTTATCGGCACGTGATGATAAAAATGACGACTTGAGCTAGTCATATACAGCATCGCAGTTTGAGCTTCATCCAGACACGCCTTCCTATTCTTCCTTCTGGCGCCAGGATATCATGTTGACTAATTCACGATTTGACCATATCAAGTCGCGGAACTGCCCACTGCCTGTTATGAAGCGGTTGGGGCTCTATCAGTGGCAGACTACCCTATTGGCGCACCCTCCTGACGGCCTGATGGAACCTGTACAGCCGCCTCCACTATTGTCGGATGAGGGGTAAACAGAGCAAAGATTACTAGATGTGGTCCATTTTTTTGCTCGGTCGAGCGCCGCAGTCTGAGATTCGGTTTTTGTTGACATTGCCATCTGCTCAGACTACATCTCCTGAGCCCTGTAGGAGAACTGACCTCTTCGTTAGCTGTTTCGGAACAACAATTCTTCAACCCTCAAAGGTCGAGTCTCGTTATCTGCATCCATCCCTCCGCTCGCTTCCTCTGTCACCATGGCCGATACAGCAACCAGAGCAGCCGAGACTCTCCGCTCAAAGCAGAAACCTTTGAAAGACAAATACCGATCCGACCCTTCTTCCGCTCTCGTTACCTTGTCCTCCAGTGGCACTCTTGACCCTACCTCAACCAGCCTAACATGTTCCCTTTCGTCGAGCACCGCTGCGCGAAAAGTTGCTGGTCTACATCGAGCTGCAGGTGGGGAAGGATTTGATGCCTCGGGCGAATTGTGCTCGGGAGACATGCTGCTCGAATCGCTGGTGGCTTGCTTTGGTGTCACGGTTCGCGCCGTGGCTACGAGTCTAGGCATTCCTATCAACAATGGAACAATTACAGCAGAAGGAGATCTCGACTTTCGCGGCACCATGGGCATCAAGGACCCTGAGGGCAATCCTGTGCCGGTTGGATTCACGACCATCAGGCTGATTGTGCGGCTCGATGTTGACCAGGAGAACAAGTCCAAGGTGGACAAGCTTGTCGAGCTGAGTGAGAGGTACTGCGTGGTTTTGCAAACGATAAAAGGAGGCGTCCGTGTCGAAACCAAACTGGGGCACGTAGGGGACGTGGCCCCCAATGCACGAAAGGATGAAGACGACGCTGTCGATCAAGGCAAGGGGGAAGGCATGTCGGACATTCCGCCCAATGAAAATGTCCTCAAGGTGAACTGAGTCTCATCTCTCGAGGAATTGCATTCATGGCGAAGTTTGCTCATGCCATATACGAGTACGACGACATCCTGATTTCCTCGTCGATTTCCCTCATTGTGGTGTATACTAGTGCAGTAGCTTCTTCCTGATCACAGTCCGTCCTCCTCGAAATTGTGTCTGGTGTGGCTGTGTGGCTGGTGTGAGGACGAGATCAGCCAATGGCAATCGAGATCCCTGTCATCCACGGTGGCTGTGTCGCTCGTCTCCAGCCACAACGTTATTCTAACCGAACTGCGTCTCCAATCCATCGTCAGATCAGGCCACCCACCGGCTTCAGCTAATCCCCATCCTGCCATCAGAACAAGGCTGCCTGCTCTTACTAGTACGCTCCTTGTACCTCGTGCATATCTCAACGGCTAGTGTGGTCCGCGGCTTCTTCCCGAAAGCCTATAAGTGTCCCAATCCTCAATCGCCCCCAGCGCTTCAGCTTGACCTCGATCACCTTTCACCTCACCGACAACCTTGAGAGATCAAAGACCAAAGGACTTGTCGCCGCCGGAGGATTGCCGCTCTGAACACCATGTCTAGTCAAGACTATTACTACAATAATCCCAACAACAACAACAATCAGTATCCCGAGCAGCACGGTTACAACAACCCCGGCGACCAAGGTTATCAGCAATGGCAATCTCCATCTGGCCCTCCTCATGGATACGGTGACCAGCCGTACAATCAAGGCTACGAGCAGAATAGACCATATGACTATGCGTCTCCGCCGCCACAAGACTACCAGCAGCCATACGGTCCTCACGGAGGTTACCAAGCCCCGAATGACCAATATTCCCATCACGCAAACCAATATACTTCCCCTCCACCCGAACATTCGTATCATCAATCCAATTATCCCACTCAAACCCCTGACTACGGGTATGGCGACCAGGCTCAACGCGGCCACTCACCTCATCCACCTCCTTATCAAAGTCAATATGACACTTTTACGCCGCCGCCAGGCCCACCACAATCTCACATGGGCGATGCTTATCCTCCACAACACGGCGCCCCGCTTGACCCCAATGCTCCAGTCTCCCAGGATCGCGGCCTCATGGGCGCTGTAGCTGGGGGTGCTCTGGGTGCATACGGTGGCCATAAAGTAAATCATGGGTTCCTCGGGGCGGTAGGAGGTGCTATAGCTGGCTCTCTGGCGGAGGATGCCCTCAAAAAGCACAAGAAGGGCAAGAAGGAGAAGAAGAACAAAGCCGACCGCCCTGCAGGGCTCCGTCGGGACTCTTCGTCATCTAGCTCGTCCTCCTCGAGCAGCAGTTCATCGGACGACGAAAAGAAGAAAAAGAAGAAATACGGCGTGGCTGCCGCTGGCGTGGCGGGCACTGCTGCGTATGGGATGAACCAACATTCAAAACATCAGCAAGGCCAAAGGTCAGCCGCGCCAACGCATGGCAACTTCTCTTCTTCTTCGAACAGCATCACGCTGGACAGGGACTACGACCTCATCGCCTCCTGTACCAACGTCCATGGCGAGCACAAGCTGTCCTCTATCTCGCTGAACGACTGCCTGACCAACTCACATGGTCATTTTGCCTGGTATCGAGGAGGCAACTTCGGAGCCAGCGCACGAAATGTCAGGTTGATTGAGAACGGCAGAGTTCTGGAGGCTGAACTGGGTACCGGGGACGGCAGATGGAACAGGGACTGGATTAACCTGGACGAGCGCATAAGCAACAACGACGGAGAGCTGATATTTCTCCACTAGTCTGACCTAGCAGCAGTTGAGAAACTAAAGCTGTGGATGGATATCACGATGTGCATGTGTTTGGGAAGTTATTTTGACAATGAAATGTATGGTTTGATTGAATCTTTTGGACAACGACTCGGTTTCATTGCTTCTCAGGAGTGAGTGACCGATGGAGAATTCCGTTTAGATTGCAATTTGTTTCCCTGACATGATGCTGGAACCTCTACCCTTCTTTTCTGATACTCACGAACGAGATTAGCCGCAGAGCGACCTTCCTGTCAATACTCATTGGTCTTATTCGTGGTTTGATGTCTCTGGTTCCCCCATTCGACATTTCATTCCTACGTCCTGCCCTTGGATATGGAGGCCTGGGGGCCAGCCCTGATATGTTAATATGTTGACAGGCATCTCTCCGTCCAGAGCGATTGCACAACCTATCACCTGGCTCACCGGCTGTTGGGTACGAGTCCTACCATGGCATCACTACACAGGGCAGACCTGTCGTCTGTGGTGGACAGAAACATCGGTTGTGACTGACGTCGACGGCAGCAGCACCACACCTGGTCCGAACGCTCCATGTCTGGCGGCCCAACGACGGAACCAGGCCTAAGAGACATGACTGTGTGTGCCCGCTTCACAGCCTTCTGATTTCACATGGTCTTTCGTTGGCTGCCGTCAGAGGGCACGTGGGAGCCTTCTCCTTCTCCAGCGTTGGGCATGGCGTGATGTCTCTGTATCTCTGGTGTCAAGCCCCAGAACCAAATGGCAGTGATTCCTTCAGGTGAGAGTTGCGGTGATTGTTCCAGTTCTTTACAAAATATTTCCTTTCTCTCTCTCTCTCTCTCTCTCCTCCAAGACCACCTTGTGACCCGGAGGTAGCATTCGACTGCCATATATGACCTGATCGCTCAGTCTCACATATCTACAGCATCGAACTTCTTACCGAGGCAGAATACATACGCCATTACCCTCCCCCTTCACGCCGGTTTTACTCCCAACATGGTACATATGTAGTCGAAGGGGCGAAAGTAACCAACCACGTGACACGGGAGACAAGGCTGCATCTTTCAGGGATTTTCTTGGCTCGTAGGACGCGGCATCCACGGACGGCACCACCACCACCACCACCAGCCGAGGACTGAGGTATTGTATTGTATATGTACTCGGCACGAAAGGGGAACGAGGACAAAGGGAACGAATGAGTGGGCTGATGAGTTTCGGACATACCGCATCGCTGGTTGCGGGGAATGGGAATCTGTCTCCCAACTCCACAGGACACAATACAACACATATCCATGTGCTCGTCTTTTATCAGCCCTTTGCCAGCACTGTGTTGAAACGACAGGACTTGTGCGAAATTAAAAGACAGAAAGATTGCGGGAAAAGAAAATCCATTCTATTGAAACATTGCCCAAGTTCTCAAGTTCGGGAGGGATGGCTCCCTCGTCTCCCTCCTCCAGCCCGGTCATATACTCTCATACATCCCTCCCCCCTCCGTCCCTCCCCTCAAATAACACGACAACTCGCGCTCGGACCCCTCCTGCACACCCCCCTCTTGCCTCCTCCTCCCTTCCCCTCCCCCTCCCTCCCTCCCCCTCACCAGCAGGACCGCCTTGCCTGAAGTGGTCGCCCTGACAGAGCCTCGTACTCAACATGTCAAAGTTGAGCGCGGGCTGCCTCCGCCGCCGCATATTCACGCCGGTGAACATCCTCCACATAGTAGGAGGTGCCACCTTGGGCGTTGCTGAAATGCAGCGGCGTAACGGACGCCACTCCCAATGCACCCGCCCCTGTGCCCGCCAGACGCGGGTCCGTCGGTGACGGGGGTGGAGACGGAGCCTGCTGGTTCGACACCGAGGTCGACGCAGCCGTTGCAGGCAGAGGAAGCTGAGGCCGGGTTTGGGGCGGAAGGGCGCTGGTATGAGCGCCCCTCCGCGCCCTGGTGCGCTGGGCACCAGGCCTTGTCAACCCGGGGTATTCCCCCAGCTTCTCCGCAATCCATTCGTCGTGACTCTTGTTGTCAACGTCCGAAATGATTGTGTCTCTCGCCACCCCCTTGTGCCACCAAGCAGGATGCAGATCTTTCGGGACTCGGCGATAGTCCTCTGGACCATTGCCGAGCCCGCGCCGCAGCGCCAGAGTCTGCATCCGCTTGCGAAGTTCGAGGACCAACATCTGGTGGTCGGATGGGAGGGGCACGGGCGCGACATAACCGCCCAAGAAGTGGTCAATTGGCAGACCGCTGTCGACATATCCACGGATGGATTTGTCGTTGCCGAGGACAGGCTTGAGAAGGCGGTTGTTCGGGAGGTCCACCACCATGCACGTGTTGAGCAACAATTGTTCACGAGTCCTCTTGGAAATCAAGTCGACTTCCCACGCAGTGGGATGCTGGCGGGTTGAGGTGAATGGCGGAGCCCAGATGTATTCTCGGAACCGCAGGCGTCGCATATTAAAAGTGTTGCCTTGCGGCGTCCTCGTGCCAGCCAGCTGGTAAACACGAGCCATGATATCGCTCATGTCCACTCGCGGGTCAAGGCGAAGCCACAACTCCATTAGCATCCCAGACACATTGGGCGCTATCCACCTTGGCAAGTGGCTGAAGTACCTCAGCCGTCTTCCCCCATTGCCTTGTTCGACTTGGCCGGTGGCTTGGTTCACAAGCAGAGGAGCATCGACGCCGTTCAACACACTGGGGTATGGTTCCATCTGAAATAGGACTGGATGCAAATTGTCCTCTGAGAGCATGTGAAATGGGTGAGGTGAATGCTGTCCATTGACGGGCTGTGGTGGGATTGCCTGCGAAACGTATCTGACGTCTGTGGTTGGGTCATATCCGAGAGAGTATGCTGGGAAAGGCTGCTGCGGTGGGGGATTCGGCATCGTGGTAGGGATTAATCTTTGACTGTCATCGACAACACCGGGTGCATTGAGACTCAGAGTCTTCGACAGCTGGGACTGAGCGAGCAAGGAAGCCATTTTTGTTTGTGTCTGAAAAGGTTCGTATGTTTTCTTTGTCGCTTTCAAGTCTCGGACGGTGTGGCAGATGTAGTTGGCAACGAACCCGAGACCAGGACCACACACGGTACAGCGTCAACCTCTTATTATTTCTGTTGTCTTGAGACTTGCTCTGTAGACTTTGCCAGTTCTGAGTTTTCTGGGTCTGTTTCAGGTGCAGACAGAGACGCGATCGTCGAGGCAAATACTCTCCAGATGGCGTGAAAGAGAAACTGAGGTAGCTGCTGTCTGTAATTTGGGTTTGGTAGACTTGACCGGCGTGACTGATGAGGTAGAGTTTGTATGTGTGAGAAGGATGGAGGCTGCTGTGAACGCACAATCTAGTGGCAGAGATCTCTTGCAGGCTGTGGTCTGAAAGGGGAGGATTGATGGCTGGGATCAGAAGTTCTTGAGATGAACGGAAGTCCTTTGCTGGCACTGAGACAAAAGCTATGAGATAAGTTTGGACTGAGAGTCGAGGGCAAGATGATTGTGCGACGTAGATTGTCTCCGTTGCAGAGGATCAAAGGTGAAGCTGGTTTTCTGGTACTGTCGAGAGAGAAACAGGTCGAGATTCAGATTCGAAGCCTGTACCAGAGCAAGGAAAAGGCAGTCTTAGAAGGCAGTTGAGGCAGTCGAGAGGGTTGAGGCAGTCGAGACAGTTGAGGCAGTTTGACAGTTCGATAGAAAGAATCCCTGAAAGTTTCTTGTTTTGATGTGTGTTGCCAGAATCAAAACTGTGATGAGCTCTGTTGTGCCAGCTGTGCGCAACTTCTGGTTGCTTCACAGAATTGACAAGGCTGAGTCCTCGTGAAGACTAGACCGCAGCCTCGCGTCTCAAATTCATTCGTCGACCATTGTGCGCAGTCTCACTCTTCGTTCCTTAATTTGGTCTGCAGTGCCACGTGTGGTCGCACTTCTTTCTTGCCATTGTTCTACCTCTTTGTCTTTCCAAGGCATGACCTAGCATCCTCAAGACCACAAGGCAGCCTTGTATGACGGTCTCATCAAGCAAGGGTATTGTCCATCAATTATGTCAACCCCGTTCATTGACGCGAGAATAGGTAATCCACCTACTGCCTTTGGCGCCCTGTTATCTTTGGCTGACGACAAGCCTTAAAGCGACGAAGGCTCTCGTTATCATATATCATATACCTCTCAGCGCAGTTTGCACTTTGTGGAAGGTGTGCAGTCTGCTCATAACGCCGTCCCGTGTGAACTCGCTGCGACAAGTTCAGTCGGAAAGGACTATTGACTGTAACGTCGGCCGAGCTGGGGATCCAGTGGCATAACAATCGCTTCAAAGGAAGTCCTGGTGAAGTGCAAGCTCGAACTGTTAAGCTATCGTTGGTTTGCCATCGTACACCTCTGTTGCTCAGACGCTTCTGTGGACAAAGCCATGGATAGTGCTGGGTGCAGTCTGGTTCTGCTGCATGACTGGTTGCAATCCTTCACATTCTCTTTCTTTCGCTCGCATTGGCTTCTCTCGCCCGTGTCTCGGCGCAAATTTCGAAGCTTGGGGCCTTCACGGTCCGAAAGCTGATGCATCGTGGAGTAGGACCAGGGTGGTAGGTGATCAGCGCGCCCCCACTGAAACTTTGCGGTATGTGTCCCGGATTCAGCCAGAGGCCGCGATGGTATCATGAAGCCGAGTGACAGGACTACTCGCTAATCCACGTGGTAGAATCACCGACGCAGTGCTGCTAGCTGTGGTGTTCACTTCTCTTCACCAAATGGATAGTTGAACTTCAGAAGGCCGTTCAAGCCGCCCACCCAGCCATCATCTCCATCGGCACCTGCGCTGATTGTCCTCATTATGCAGGGAATGCCGCCAGTGAAGGTCCCTCGGTCGGTTGTGATCTCTTCCGCAGAGACTCGAACCTCTGTGCCCACACCGATGCCTTGTGTGCGGCCTATGCCATCGATACTGACATCAACCTCCCGACCTCTGTTCTTATCGCTCAACTTCAAGGTGATGGGGGTGGTCGATGGCAGAACAAGGGGGCGAAAACTTAGACTTCGCGGACAGATTGGCGTCAACAACAAGGATGGAACGAGGGGGTGGACGATGCTCCCGCCACTGCTGAGGCTGTATGCTGTGCTCCCAGTTGGTGTGGAAACAATCATGCCATCGGCGACTGCTTCAGTGAGGAATCTACCGCCCACATAAACATTGACGATGGCAAGATGGGGGTCTCGACCTCGGTGTATGATAACCTCGTTCATCGCATACATGTCGTCAGAGAAACCCCCATTACTGCTGAGTCGGTTCCCATTTGCATCGAAGACGCCAATCTTCAGACGTTGTCGGACCAAAACTCTTGCGCCTCTTCCAGGCCCCATGGATTTCCCACGGACAGACGACCAGCCAGTGTAATCATTTGGGCCGTCCAAGTCGTTTGAAGCTTCGCGTTCAATGACGGCATGTCGCTCAGAGGCAGCACCCGACATATATACTTCGCGGATGGCCCGTTTGTATTCGGAAAATTTCCACTCACTCAAAAACCCGAGTGTACCCATGCTGAATGACAGGATAGGTGGCACGTGGGAGGAGGTGGCGAACAGTGATGCCGCGTGCAAGATGGTTCCATCACCGCCGAAGGTGACAACAAGGTCGACTTTGTCCTGATATTGCAAGTGTGAGTGGTTTAGTTCAGGTAGAGTAAAGTGCCGTCCAAGGCGCTCTTCCCCAATTCCCGCCGAGACCCTGGGCTCGACCACGATATTCACATCGGGATACGTCGACGAAACATGTCTGGTAAAGTCCAGAAGAGCGTCCGTCGTTGCGTCTGAGCAGTCCTTTTTTATCAGCAAAAAATTCCGGGGTGGTTTGGACCATTCGAGACAAAGAAGTTCCTTTGCTGGGGTGTCCCTGAGACGAAATGTTCTCTTAGACGGAAGATCATTCAAGGAGTGACTGGTTGCTTGCGAAGAAGTTGAGTAGGAGGCGCGGGCGCGCTCTGAGGATGGCGGGAGAGGGTTCGAGGCCGTCTTCAATTGCGATGGTTTACTGAGATGCGACATGGTGGCGTTCCTTATTCGGCCCAGAAGACGTCCAGTGGTGGCGAGGCCACGACGGCTTCTGGCAGAAGATATTGTCGCCATAATGGAGCCTGTTTGTGACCTGATGCGAGTCGGAGAATGCGTTGAAAGAGAAGGCTAGATCGTCAGATCCAGCCATAGATCGTTATCGTTGTCGGCGACAAATGGAAGAATATATCCATGAGGAGTCAAAGGAAAAGAGCAAACTGAATTTATCTGGTCTTCCCAGTCATTCTAGACATTGTCACCTGTCAGACGGACGAAGCTTCGACGATAAAGAATGAAACCATGCACGAAGGAGAGAGCACCTGATGATGAGGGTTTCGGTAATTGATGTGGTCGTCGATGCCAAGCACGTGATATCTGGCCTCTCACGTGACAAGACGGTCTCTGCTTAGTCGCCCCGGAAATAGGCGGAAATGTCTAGGCGTTAGGGGGCTTGGGGGTGTTCCTGCACCTTGGATACCTCTAAAAAGGCTACCCACGTACACCCTGTCCCGCCTATCAGAAATCCTGCGGGTGCCTACGCGATACCTCTATACGAGGTACGGTTAGTCACATCGCTGGGAGTTGCCGCAGTCCACCAACCTCAACTTCACTCCCGGCCTATTCCAGACTTGCAGTACATACTCGTATCGGGAACCAACTAGGTACCAACTAGGTACAGAGGCATCAGCACCAATAACACGTCTGCCTGTTGGATGAATTGTCGTTGGACACAAAATTCACAAACTCTCACAATTTCCACCTTCCGACTCCTTGATTGTCCGCTCTATGCATCCCACCTTTCCTGACGGTCATTCTTGGATACATCTATCACCGCCCATCGTCTAGTGTCGATGGCGTTTCTGTTCCCTATTGTTCACATTCGCTTTGCCTAGTGCTGACGAAACCCGTCCATGACAGTCATTGAATTATCGTTGTAACACAGACTTGACGTCCTCCGTTACCTGCTCACAGGTGAACCATGGCGACCGAAGACCATTCCCTCCGAAAGCGGATCCCTCAGTCCTCACACACGGCCGAGTCGAGCGATGGTCTAGGTGATAGCAGCAGGCCTGGCGGCAAGATACCGCATCCAGCAGGCGAAGTCAAATACAATGTCCTGAGCCAGATCCTTCGTGCACTTCTACTACTTACCTGGTTCAATTGTGGCGCAGTCTGTATCAATGTCACCCAATTCCTCGGGGCACCATTATATTGGCTAAACAAAGATTATTATTATGCATACATGGCGTTGACCAAGCAATCGTTTGCTATCATGGGAATCGCAGGGACACGGTGGTTCTCCCCTACGAAGGTGCGCGTGAGTTGGGACAAGGATCTACGAGGACAATTCCGGAAAACATCGGCGGGCAGGCTCGAGACGGCGTTTCCTGAACGGCTGGTATATATCGCCAATCATCAAGTGTACACCGAGTGGTTGTACCTCTGGTGGATTGCCTACACTAGTAGGATGCATGGCCACATCTTCATCATTCTTAAAGAGTCATTGAAGTACGTACCGGTCCTAGGTCCTGGCATGATGTTTTATGGATTCATTTTCATGGCACGCAAATGGATTTCGGATAAGCCTCGCTTGAAGCATCGGCTCGAGAAGCTCAAGACCCGACATAGCGGTCCCATGTCTGGCTCAGATGGACTGGACCCCATGTGGCTGCTGATTTTCCCCGAGGGCACCAATCTCTCTCAAAATATGAAGCAGGGAAGTGCCAAGTGGGCTGCAAAACAAGGTATACCTGACATGAGGCATCAGCTTCTGCCACGGAGCACTGGTCTATTGTTCTGTCTCCAGGAATTGCAGGGCACTGTCGATTGGGTCTACGACTGTACCATTGCCTACGAGGGCACACCGTCAGTGCATGACTGTCCCCTTTTTTGTCACGGTAGAAAAGCTGACCCGGCCGCAGAAAGGGAGGGTTCGCCCCAGATATCTTCACGATTCGATCGACGTATCTGCAGGGTCGACCGCCGAAGAGCGTCAACATGTATTGGCGTCGGTTCGCAATGTCGTCAATCCCTCTGTCAGACGCCAAGGAGTTTGAGCTTTGGCTGATCGAACGCTGGCGAGAGAAGGACGAGATGCTGGAGCAATGGTACAACACCGGACGTTTCCCCTCGGACGCGGAATCTGCCGATGCTAAGCACGGAGTGTCCGAAGAGGGCTTCATCGAGACCGAAATGACACTCAATCACTGGATGGAAATCGGCCAGATTTATGTGGTTCTGGCAACATTCGCACTAGTGGTCAATGTGGTGGTCAAATCTTTTGGTATGTTTGGAAGGCTGCTGAAATAAATTCCGGGGGTCCATGTTTTGGCTGGAAACGGCGTTGGGCAGAGCTTGAGCGACGGTCCATGGACCACCACGTTGCATACAATTGGAACTGGCGCGAAGAATGCTGGCAGTTTGGACGGATTGGGACCAGGGATGGAACAATTGGTTGGTGTTGGATCTCCACAAGTTCCGAGGGCGAACGGGACGTGTTTGAGGCGAACCACGGCAAGAGGGCCAGGTTAACGCCAGGAACGACAGAGTACCGGACTAGAACGTGGGCGCTGCATGGGCTCTGCATGGGCACTTGGAATGCTGAATGACTTTTTCCCGGTCCTTTCTCCCTTTCTCCCTGGTTCGTCAGCTCATAGGTTGCCTCGACGAGAGGGATAGCTTGACGGCATTGTGCGTCACAAAGGTCAAAGGGGTCTCCTGGGAGGCTTATCCTGCCGCTGTACTATGGATAGAGCAGGAAATTAGTAGATTTCAAGTGTTCCGTCCGTCGCCTTTGTCCTCATAGCCTCTACCAAACTCACATAACAAAAGACGCCACGGGGAAATGCCAAGGCTCGAGGGGGGCCTTGCCAAGCACCGAGATCCGATCCCCGCTAGTGTCGGTCTTTCGCTTCCCCCCTGCGCTTGACTACAAGCTTGACTAGCAGACTAGGTACTCGGTTCTCGTACTTCTACTACTACTACGACCACTACTGAATAGGTACTCGGCCCTGTCAAAGCATCTTCCCAAATTGCATCTTGTCCTTCCGGACCTAGCTTCCCCTTGCTGGGGTTCCCGGGCAAAATCCTGCGAACCAGTCCCCCGACCTCCCGCCCTACTAGTCAGTACGCCGGCCATGCGAGCCTGAGACTTTCTAGGATTGAGCAACTGGGCTCGAGCTCTTCCACTGCCCTTCCGTCAGGCTCCACATGAAGCGAAAGTCTCTTACCGTCGCGCCCATGTCAAGATCGCATCTTATATTAGACTATGCCAGGTCCTTAGAGAAGAGGGGGAAAGCTTGATTCAATGTCGAGAAACTCACCATCAGAGACTGACTTATAGCACACGAGGACGATGTCTCGTTACGTACTTCTGTGAATCCACTAGCAATGTGGCAGAGTATCAGCCTCTGCCTCTCGATCGGGACGCCATGCCGAGCAGTCCCTGGACCAGATGAACCTGGTATCCCTTGAAATGAGTGGTCCCGTCAAAATCTGTCAAATGTTTCAGCCTCACATGCATCTCTGTTCTGTTGGACATTGCCAGCATATTTGCCCCAGTTTGCCATGCCCGAACGGGTGAGGATATGCCGTTCCACGAAGTTCTCCAGAGCGCCGACCACCGGTCGCCGAAAAGAGTGACCGCCATTTCTGTACCAGTCAATCCATACCATGTTGGTGGTGAGCTGAAAATGTTTGCTATGTCAATCACATTGTTCTGATATCCGCAAGAACATGGGGATACGGTTGGCCTCTAGCTTCAAAAGGCCAAATGGCCAAATGTTCAATCTCGCTTGAATACTACAGATTCGAACGGGGAACGAATTGTCTCCCACAAGTATTGAGTTTAGAGCAACACCGACTGCCGCTGCCGCTACCTGTCACGGTTGACAGCGGCCTCGTGGCAGTAGGTAGCAGGTCGAAAGGTTCTCTGCCGTTCCCCAGCAGGTCCACTGCCTGTTTCCATCCGCATACTCGTCCACCAACGACTAAACGCCTTTATGGATACGGGGCACTGAACACTGGCTGGACCCCAACAGGTGTCGGACTCTATTGAGCACACTTAACTGTGGCGTCCAGGAGGGCAAAAGAGCCAGCATCAGGCAGCCTTTCCTCTGTCTTACATCACTCGATCTCCCTTCTCCTTGTTGAGAGGGGGGCTTGCAAAGGCTCTGGCCAGTGGAGAGGAGGTCCGCCATTGCTCATCTGTGTCCTGATACTTATGGTAGTGGCGCTGCAAGGGGACCAAAGGGAGAAATGAGCGGTCTCAAACCCTTCATTCCATGAGGCTGAATGGAAGGTGAGTTGGATTTCCGCGTGGTTGATATAAATATCGTGTCCTCCCAGCCGTCTCAGTTCTTTCTTCAGGAATTTTAGGTTACTCAAGAGCTGTACAGCAGAAGCGGAAACCTCACCCCATCGTCGTCCCGTTCCCACCGATATAATTTCGTCCTACTCTCCACCTACATCGAGACAGCTTCACCACGAGGCTCAAGCACCATGGCTCCCCCTCCAGCACCCAAACCCCAGATCCCTACTACCTTCAACGGACCTATGCAGGTCATCGGTGCCGGCCTTCCTCGTTGTGCAACAACCACTCTCAAAGAAATGCTCGAGAACAAATCGCTCCTCAACGTAGGACCAACCATGCACATGAACCGCTGCCTCTCCTCCCCTATGAACATGCGCCTCCTCTACGACGCCCTTCGCGAAAAGGACACGCAAAGACGTCGGGCCATCCTTTACAAGCTCTTCGCTGGCTGCGCGGCAACAGCAGACTTCCCCGGCCATCTGTTCGTCGAAGACCTGATCGAGATGTACCCCGATGCCAAAGTGGTACTGAACATCCGCAAGGGCGGTGCTGCCGATTGGGAGACCAGCATGAAATCGACCATCGCCCCGTTCATGAGCTGGCAATACCGAGTGGCTTGCTTCTGGAGCGTCCCGGATTACTGGCACTATCAGTGCGAGATCGAATGGCAACGATTCTGTAAGGAGAAGTTTGGCGCAGACAATTTCTGGAGCCAAGAGGTGTACGACAAACACAATGCCTGGGTGGTGAAGCTGTGCCAGGAAAGAGGCCGGGAAGTCCTTCTTTGGGAACCCGCCATGGGCTGGGCGCCGTTGTGTGAGTACTTGGGCAAGAAGGAGCCCGAGATCGACGTCCCGAGGACCAATGATCGGGGCAAGATGGAGAAGGTGGTCAGTTGGAGGATCAGTCTGGGGTTGAAGCTCTGGATGAGCAAGATTTGTGTGCCAGTTGCCGTTTCTGTCCTGGGCGGGTATGGGGTGGTGAAGGCGATGCAACTGTAAGGGAGTCTGGTGTGGTAGATGGAACGCAAGGGCGAGGGACTGGCTTTTGTGTTGGTTTTCAATATGTATTTGCTGTTGGTATAAAGGTAGAGCGGGTAATGCTTGGGTCCTGTGGCGTCTGAGGAGCTGTCTGGATACTTTGGCCGTTTCTGGGTTGATAATAATTGACTCCTTGGTTTGATTATAGTCGGTCGTCGGGATATGTGAAACAAAGAACTATACTCGGTAGTCAGTGGTGAGAATGTATTAGTATTAAAGGCTTTCCCTCCAACCAAGATATCCACTCTTCTCCCAACTCCCTTCAAAGCTCCCAATCACTGTTCACGACTGTTTACACATCAGCCCCGGAATCAGCGCAGTCGCGTACATGACCGCGGTGATGGGCATCAGCTCGGCCATACGCCCTTGCATCTTCTTGGTCGGCACGGGAACCAGGCCCGTGTCTTCCCAGGTTCTGCAGATCAAGTCGGGAAGTTCGCGAATGTCGGCGTCGACCAGTTCGTCTTCGCGGCACAGGCCGTCCTCGTCGGTCGCGCTGGAGAGGGCGGCCTTGAGCCCGAGCGCGGTCCCGAACTCGCGGAACGCGAGGCGTCGATCCACCGGCTGGTCAAAGTAGTCGTTCTCTAACAGCTGCTTGACGCAGCCGATGGCGCGAGACGTCAGGTGGGTGGCCCACTCCTCCTCGGGCGTGCACCAGTGCGCGGTCCACAACGTCATGCCCAGGTCCAGAGTATCCGCGGAGGTGTAGTCGCGGAGTTTCTTGTCGACGATCCTCTTGAACAGGGAGACCTCGTCGCTCAGGATCTCTGGGTCGTCAGGGTTCGTGGACTGGAGGAGCTGGTACGTGACGTAGCCGTCGAGCGGGTCGAGGTTGCCCTCGGACAGGACGAGGGGCTGCGAGAGATCCGTGCTGAGTTTCCAGAACATGCGCGGCCGGTGCGACTCGGTGTTGGACATGAAGTGTGGGAGGACGGCCTGTGCCATGGTGATGGCCTGGTCGTTGTACCATCTGTCCCCGCTGACCACGCTCATGCGGTTGAGGGCGAACATCCACACGGTGAGATAGTGGAAGTATTGGCCATCGCCGTCCTCGCCGGACTCGTCGTGTTTGCCGATCCGGAGCCCCCCTTTGAGGGGGTACTCGTCCGTGGCGCCGGGCAGACGTGATTTGCCGTTGCGCGTGTAACCCAAGATGTTATGGACGGTGGTGATGAGGTTCTTCGCAAAGATGAGGTAGCGGTCCTCGTTGGTGAGCTGATGCAGGGTCAGGAAGTTGACGACGGCGAACCCGTCGGTCCAGAGATAGCGGCCTCGATGGCCCTCGGCCGCCGGCGGAGGTGTCCATTTGGCGAGATTCTGGTCTGTTGCTTCCGGTAATGGCCCATAGATGGACTCCATGGCCTGGAGGAATTTCGGGAGGTTTTCCCTGTCGTCGGATGCCATGGCGGGATAATTTGTCGGGGTTAGGTAAGCAAGGCCGAGATAAAACTCAAGAATATGAGATCGTCTTTCCGGGTGCGTGAGAGATGACAAGCTATTGTGAGCATTGATGCACGGTCGAAGATGGATGGAACGGCATCAAACACGCCCAACTGATGAAGGCATTTGGACTCGCAGACAGGTGATTGAGCGTGAGGAGCTTGGAGTCAGTGATGCAAGATGACCTTCAATTATTAACCGGATAGACCCCTGCGATAGAGGGAGAATACAAGTAGGGAGGCAGGCTTCTCTCGTGGTTTTTGTTGATGATATGAGCGACAATGATGTATTGATATCGATGGATCTACAAATTATCATGCCACACACATCTTGGGTGTGTGCCACATGTCACAAGATTTGGTAGCCATGCAATCGCCCATACCAAGTCCCAGTGATACCAGTAGTGCCAGGCTGTCCAAGTACGTGCCAGTATACTTGTAAATGGGTGGAGCCTGAGACTTCCTCAAAACTCGCATGCGATTAGTCGATGGTCCCGGAACCGGCAAAGTTTATCCGGCTCCGGCCGAAAGAGGGAAGCACTCTGCTCCATTGCGCAATCTTGGCAGCACTTGGCACGGATGCCCCTCACTGCGCATGGCGATTTGCATCATCCGAGCCCCTCATTTCCAGGTTCAATTGCTTCATCGTACATTGAAACGTCCGCCTGTAGGAGGGTTCGTTCTTCTTAACTCCACCGGCGCTCTGATTACTTCCTTGGGGTTCTTCCTTTCGTGAAAACTCTTCCGGTTTCCATCTTCTTTGAACAAGCTCGTCATCATCTTCGCTTCACTCTGGTACATTCTGCAATAGTCACCTATACTCGCACAATCACCATCTAAGCCGCCAAAATGGTCAAAGCAGGTCAGTCATTCTCCAAAACACCGGTACCTGGGCTCTACGGGCTGTCCCGCCCATGAGTCCTTGTTCTGTCAGCATCAAATCAGTCCGGCTAGAGCACTCTTCCATCTGCGCGTTGAGACTCAAGCCGTTCCAGCTCATCCCATCTACGCCCTTTCCCGAACCTCATCGTCACTGACACCTTTCCTCCTTAGTTGCTGTCATCCGTGGAGACTCCAAGATCACCGGCCAGGTGACCTTCGAGCAGACCTCCGAGTCGTCTCCCACCACCATCACCTGGGACATCCAGGGCCACGACCCCAACGCCGAGCGTGGCATGCACGTCCACCAATTCGGTGACAACACCAACGGCTGCACCAGCGCTGGTCCTCACTGTACGTCTCCCCAGCGCTATCGGACCGGAAGGCTCCAAGAGAGAGAGAAAAAAGGAAGGGCGAGATACTGATGCTAGATTTCCTTCTCAGACAACCCTCATGGAAAGTCCCACGGAGCCCCAACCGATCAGGATCGACACGTCGGTGACTTGGGTAACATCAAGACTGATGCTCAGGGCAACGCCAAGGGCAGCGTCAGCGACAGCTTTGTCAAGCTGATTGGCGAGCACAGCGTTCTCGGCGTACGTATATCCTATCCAATGGACCCTTCTCAGCATTTCCTTCCTAGTTCTATTCCCATGGCCACGCCCATATTTGGCAACCGTTTGACCAGGAACTAACATGGTTGATAGCGAACCATCGTTGTCCACGCGGGTACTGATGACCTCGGCAAGGGCGGGAATGAAGAGAGCAAGAAGACCGGCAACGCGGGTCCTCGACCTGCTTGCGGGGTCATCGGCATTGCCGCATAAGTGACATGGTACCGACACGAAAGCCCTCGAGCACCATGTCGCCATTGTCCATTCCGATGGGAACCAACATCGGACTCGTCCACTGGCAGATGAAACTGCAGGAGAGGAAGATCTTGAAAGACACGAAAATTCGACGACCGGGATCACAGTCAATTGTGTCAGGATACTGAGAGTTGAACAAGATCAATGGCAGACATGGGATGCTCTGGTTTGTGTGTCTCGAAGTTACGCTCTTAAAACCAAAAGTGGCTTCCAGCTATCTTCCTGTACGCAATAAAGGGTCCAATATAGATAGCAACAAATTGTAAGCACAGATTATGATATCTACCACCCACAGTCATGTCCGTCCGTCTGAAGTTATCATTATATATATGCTGTTTGTAGGGGTATTTTCCGCACGGTGTTTGAACTCCAATCCGTAGCACAGCCAGGCTCCAGAACGTCTAAGCCGCAACGACAAAGGCAGAAGAGACCCACCCCGCGCCCTCCAAAGATGCAAAGCAAGGTGTCTTGATGCTCCCAAAACAAAATGGTAACAAGCCTGCCAGTAGCGGAGTCGAATATGCCAAATCATCCGCCCACCTCCAAGCAAGCTTCCGTGTCGCACATCGTGAAAGCAAATTGGATAAATAGCATTGAGTGGTCGCATTGTGGAGCTTGGAGGAACAGCCTCAAGCGGTCTCATCCTCATCTCCTGACAGGGACTCGAGGCTGAAGCTGGAGCCGTTTTACACCTCCGTCGCAGTCACGAATCTCTCCATTGCTGGCCGCTCGCTTTCCCCGTTCCGCTCCCCCGTCTCCGAAATCGTCAGTTTCTGGGCCTCGATCGCTAGTCCTTTGCTCGCGTCGCTCGCCACAAGCACTTCGGGGTTTCCCTCTCCGTGGACCGTGGCGTTACCGTTCATGTGACCATTGGCGGTGGCTGGGATGGCTGAGATTGATTCTTGAGCAAGTTTTGCCTCGATAGCGGTCGTCATTGCGATGGAGTGTGCAGGAAGAGGACCAGGTTCAGGTTGGGATGGCGGATGAGGAAGCGGTTCTGACTTTGACGGCGCTGTCGATTGTGCTTCTGTGTGTGGAGTTTGTGCTTGCTGCTCCGAATTCGTTTCGGTCGCAATAATATTCGCAACTGTGGCTCCTCCAGCCGCTGCAGCTGAAGCTTGTTCAGCTTCATGATGGGGTGAGGCAGTTCCATTGAGCACTGGCGGCCTCTCGCTCGAAGACACTTTTTTGTCCGGATGGACGGGATTTTCCGTGTAGTCCGCCGCGTAGACAACAGGCTTCATCTTTTCAATGTCTCGATTTGGGCGCCTGAGTTTGCCCTTTTCAGATCCGACGGGCACTCTCTGCCCGTCAAGCCAAAGGCAGGGCCCGGTGACCCAGCCTTTGTTCCCATCCCTCTCCAAAGCTGCCCGGGTTTCATCGTCCAGATCGGGTAGATCACCCCATTCCCAGTTGAGATCGCCGCCATAACGCTTTGGGAAGTCCTTGGTTTCCATAAATTTTTCCAAGGTAGGTTTCACGTCATTTTTGCTGAGAATGAAGATTTTGGAGACGGTTACGGGGTCGAACCAACGTTTGATCCAGCCCCAGACTGTTGGAAAGAAACCGGGCGCGCCGATTATCTGGCCACAGTTAGCTCGTTCTACACGGGAACTCCAAGTGGAGGGTTTGCTCACAAAAATCCTATCCAGGGTTTCGGGGTAATGTGCTGTTGCTAAGACAGAGGCATCCTGCATATGGGCCTTTAAATTCCAGAACTGTGTCAAACCCACCCCCGAAATATCGACAATATTTGTAGAGTTTGTCACAGGGACTTCAGGATTCGGTCTCTCGAGTGTAGAAACGAGCGGCAGGACGAAGTTGAGCAGATTCTGGTATAGGGCGAACAGGGGTAGCAGTTTGGCGGGTGTGGAGAGATTCTTGTGGTTTGGAAGGCTGTCCTTGTAAGCCTGCGAGTCTTTCTGGTATCTCTGCACGTTTTTGCTGTCAAGGCCTTTGATCAAGAACACGTATATGGGAATGCCTCGTCTGTCCCGGTGGCCGGTCCATTGGGGATACTGTCATTTTGAAAAACTGTCAGATAGCTGTCGCAAATCTCACGGCTTGTTGCCACCGAATTTGCTGGCTTACCATCAGCCGAGCCTTCTCATACGACTCAATATCAAAGTTGTCATAAAGCTCTTCTACCCGTTGCTCTTTGAGCCATTGCTCCGTGTCGGTAAACTGCCCAATTGCACCTTTGACGTCGAACTTCCGGGCGCGTAAGTATCGACTGTAATGCACAAGTTAGCGGGGAATCAACGCGTTGTTTGCATATAGCTCAAGATGGGATCGTACAGTAGAGTTGCATCATCATGGCTGGGTTTGCCATTGACACCATCGGGCTTCCACCATCCCCCTTCTTGCAGGCGCTGCTTAAACTCTTGGAGCCTTTGTTCTTGGATAGGATTTAAATGATTCAGGGTGCCGTTTAGAGGGTCTGCAGTGGTCGTTCTCGTCAAGCTCGGGTGTGCATGTGTACCAACGGAATGATCCGACGTTTGCGATTGACCGGTCAGGGTTCGGTAGAGGGTGCTCATCTCGGTGTTGAAGGGTGTTGCGAAGTATCCAAGGAAATAGTGCTGCGGGCAAAGGTTTTGGAGACCCTAGGATTGGTGGGCAGGGTACTTGGTACAGATAGATAGGTAACACCTCTGGACTGCTTGTAATGGAGTGACCAAAGAATAATCTGGATATCAATAATTCATTATAATAGGAGGAATGGATGGTGTTTGCAGTCGACAGCTTCTACACCGCAGGGACGAAAGATGTACGAGGTATGATATTAGGCGTGCCAAAGAGAAGCCCTTTTGCTCAAGAAACCCTTTTTTGGGCCATGATAAAATTATCTTAGCGACCGAACGGGCTGGCCGGAACGAATGTCCAAGAAGGCCCAAGGGGGACGGGAAATACAGGGGCACCAGGGGAGAAAACGATGACCGTGGTGATGGGATGAAGGAACAAATCAACAAATCCGATTGAACTGGAAAGGTGACGCTGATATCATCCTGCCACCTGCGACCCTCCAAACTGCGGCTTTCGACCTGGCGACTTGGCAATCTGCATCACCACTTTTTATTCCTTTGTTGTGCAGCAATCCATGCACCGTCCACAGTGGTCAAGAGTGTCCAGGCAAGTTGTCCAGGGCCTTCGCCACCCCCAGAACTGACTCGCCTACAGGCTTCGGCTATCCCTGGACTCGTCCCTATCCCCCCTCCGACGCCTCAACCTAGTCGGTGCCCAGTCTGCCCAGTCCATCCTGTCCACTCGGCGACTCGGAGAGCGAAGGGCATAAAATGATCCCGAGTCACGGTATGCGGATGCATACATCGGCCGAGAAGTTGGAGTTACCATGGCTCAACACCCACTATTACAGACCTAAAGCAATAAAATAAGGTGCACAGAACCATTGATCTGCGTCATTTTCCCACTGGCACACACCGGCGTCTTTGGTTGGGACCACGGTCAACTCCATCCTCGACCCTTTTCCGACTTTGTCAGGGTACCAGACGCGCCCTGGCAATGTTGATGATTACGATGATGATAATTAGCGGGGTTCTGATGGATTCTGGTGACACTGGCGGCTCCAGATGATGCTCTATTTTCTGCTTCTGATACTTCACGCGTACGCTCGTACTTGTACACCATCGAACATCAACCTCCACAGTCACAACGAGGGTGTGCAAAGTTCTTGTCCGCCTCGGCTCCTTGCCGCCTACGCCTGCCAACACTTTATCACGCCTTTAACCGTCCTATTCCTTGCACCTACGAGTATCAGATGAGCGGCGATCGAATGCAGAACGACCACGCTCACACAATTCTTGGTCACAATTGGAGTAAATGTTCACCCTTGTCAGCTGAAGTAATGCTTGAATCGCCTCAAGTAAGCAAGACCCGTTTGGGGACTGTGTCGAGAGGCTATCCACCATCCCAAGATAGCCGACGAGGCTGCCAACCCCAAGGACTGATATGCAGCCGGCTTTTCAACCTCTTTCTCTCCTCGGCTTTCAACTCTCTCATGAAAAGACAAATATGTTGTCGGGTCGATAGAATAGGTGTCGGCCCAAACATCCCTGGATAATCAAGCCCTATCATGCACACAGTAACTCCCTCCGCCTGTGTCTTGTTGCAGTTGATTCTGGATCTGCTACTCATATTTTCGAACCTCGTTGTCGACATGTATTTTATCATCCTATCATTCTGGAGAGCCGCGGATGGGCTTTGTGAGAAGAACGGCATGGCATCTGCTCGTATAGCTCATTTGCTGGTTCATCCTCTTCCTGACGAGCCTCTGGAGGGAAAAAGAATGGCACAGTCTGACAGAATGTAGATGCCCTCATAAAAGCGATGAGGCGGGCGCCAGATCAAATATAGCTGATATTATTGAGCATAAGGGGCCATTATACCTAGTGATTTGAGCCAACATTTAGTATTTCTCGTCAGACTGTTTCAAATGACATGTTAAGATGAACGGTGAAGCGTAGATGCTACGAACGCAACGCTAGCGCCACCTCCAACCGACTCGTCACGGCACTCGATCTCAATTGCATCCTTCTTCATACAGCCTTGAACTTCCTCCACTGACCATCCCACTGGAAGAGCCCAGCCGCCTCTTCTCCCTTCCTTAGGTACTGCGTCAGCTCCTCGCGCAGCTCCGGCAGCCCGTGCCCGCCATGGCCAAACCCGTCTGGAAAGGCAACCACCCCGTCCGGCAAATCAACGCAGCACCGCCGTTTTACAGATTCTGCGCAACAGGATTAGGCGCTGCCATGTGGTTCTTTGTGAGTTCTTATACTGATACACCGCGCGCCGGTGACTCCCCCTGTGGGTTGCTGAGCTGACGATTGGGGACCTCCAGCTGTTCTATAGAGCGAAGAAAGACGGCCCTGCCCTGATCGGCCTGAAGCACCCTTGGGACCACTAGATTACGAACAATGCGGTTTGGCGCGGGGTCGAGAAAATGAGCAACAAAATATGAGGTGAAAGGAGGGGGGGAAACTCTGGTGGAAAGCAGATCGGGGCACGAAGAGAGAGGAAGAAGTCTGAAGGTCATCAGCTGTCGAGACCAACATCACAGCCAGAAATAGTACGACCCAAACAGCCACCCATTGTATATATGGCTGTCAAAACATGGACCGTCGTTAGTTACTGTGTGGAAACCCAGATCAAGAGGGCTTTATGCAGCGGATCCAGAGAGGGGAGATCAAAGCATATACTGTTTTTCGCGTTCCCAGATATCGCTTCTGCCCATAAGACAAGGTTCAATACCTACCTACATATGTAAGAAGAGATTCTGAAGGTCAACGAGTGAGATCCCAGTCATTCAGCCATCAACCATCCCTCTTGGACGTTTCGACTCTCCCTTCTCCGTCTTCCACGCAAGAAAGAACTAAAACCCTCCCCAGTGGATGAAACCCTTCGCATTCCAGTAGCCGTGCGCGCGATGGTCGAAACAGGCTGGATAGAGTACGAAATGCGTAGATGATTTATGACTGCCATACGGAAGAAGAGGTACAGACCAGCTGGATAAAAAGGATGCTTCGGCATCTTCGTTTGGTTTCTCTCTAGATACTCTTCTCTTTTGCTCTAACCAATGAATACACATCATACATACATACAGGTCCCTTATGTGCTTATCTGAATGTCCTCGGCGATGAGCTTGTACTGCTTTCTCTTCTTGGGGTGTCCAGGTCTCAGCCTCGACTTGAGTCGTCCAATGAATTTCGCCAGTAGGGGAAAGAAGTATCGCTCAGCTAGGTAGGCAACGGCAAACCCTGCCACAGCCAACACCAGCAAGAAAACTTCATAGTCTGCCGTCATCTCCGTCAGATCCATGAAATCCGCCAACCACTTGGCCGGGTCTAGAAGCATGTATAGAGAAATCAGGAGTGCCGCCACAATCGTGACGCAAAAGGGGACGTTCGTCGCCAGAGACTGTCGGAATGGGGGGCCAACGCTGAGGACGACACTGGAAAGTATATACTGGAAGCACGATACCAAAAACAAGGCAGTGTTTTGAGAGTTGTCGACATTGGACTTTTCTTTGTCCAGTCGCGGTGGTATGTACCATGGTTGTTGTTGAACCGTCTCGAACGCGACCAGTTGAACAAGAACCGAAAGCAAGATCTGACCCAGCAGCGGCGTCAAGACCTTTCGGGATACGAGGCTTGCGGTCGGGCGTTTCTTGCTCAGAACGGGATATGCACCAGTCCAACCCATAAATATTGCCAGTGGCAAGATTAACGCAAGATCGATGAAGAGGAACTGGAAATCTCCGAGGTTTGATGCCGACGCGTAGAGGAAGCTGACGGACGTGAACTGAATGGCCGAGTACAAGCTCATGTACTTGAAGCAGCAGAAGCTGGTCACCAAAGCAGCACGGCCTTCCTTGATCAGAGCGGGCACGCAGGAAATATCAAAGATATGGCTGGTGAACGGCGCAGCGACAGAGGCTTCCGCTTCCGAAAGTGAGACGCCAACGTCTGCAGCCTTGAGCGCGCCACAGTCATTCGCGCCATCACCACAGAATCCACAGCAGTAGTCAATGCTTTGGAGCTTCTCAACAAGCTCGTGCTTCTCGTCGGGAGACATCCGAGCGAAGACTGCGCCTTTGACGAGCATCCGCTGCAACACTTCCGGGGATGCAAAATCAATGACCCAACGGAAAGCATCGCCAGTGACTGCCAGGGTGTAATCACCGATGGCGATCGCATCATATGGAGCCGCATTGTCGTCCTCGGCCGGTAATGGCTGAGGTAGCAGAGTGTTTTCATCAAGTTGATAGATTTGATTGTCAACGCTTTCCCAGCAAATGCGTGCTCTAGCATCCATCTTGTCTCCCTCGACGAAATGAGGAACGAAGCAGTGTGCATTGCGATCAATAATGCCGCACTCCCTCGCCACGCTAATAGCTGTGAGGATGTTGTCTCCTGTACACATGACATTGCGGATCTTGGCCTCGTTCAGTTCTTCGATGATCTCGGTGGTGATTTCCTTGAGTTTGTTTTCGAAAATGATGAAGCCGATCAGTGAAAGACGCGACTCAGCTTCAGCCCGTTCCATGCTCTGAACATCGTCCCAACTCATTCTCGAAATATATTTCGAGGCGCAGGCAATGACTCGGAAACCTTTGTGGGTGTAGTAGTTGAGCAGGTCGTCAAAATCGTCAGGAATGCTCGATGCTGTGCAGATATCCTTCATGACCTCTGGTGCACCTTTGACGTAGATATTGACTCCCGGGTCACAGTGCTGCCGCACGATGACACTGGCTCGTCGCAAATGCGAGGCGAACTCGAAAGAATGCAAGATGCCCAGTTCCACCCGCACCGGGTTCTCGTTGTCCTGAGAATCTTCCAAGTCATACTCGAAACCATGTGGAGGACGTGCCACACTGGGTGCTGTTTGATGGGTTCCAGGTTCGATAAAGTGGCTCGTGTTACGAGAACCCTCCTCGAATGACCACTCTGTAAATTGAAACATTTTGAGATCAAGAGGGTCGCCAATCAGTTCGTCTTCGACCAGTCGAAGGGAGTGACAAGTAGCCATTGAGTAGAGCATGTTTTTATTCACCCGGTAGTCGACCGTCGGATCACGATCGTAGGACGCTGGAGGAAGAAGTTCACGTGCCCCCTCCAGAATGTCGCCGAAGCGTATTTCCGGATGTTGTACAAGCCGGACACCAAGGACATCGAGGCCGTCTTCGGTCAACGTCCCAGTCTTGTCGAAACAGACAACATCAAGTTTGCCGGCAACATTGACTCTCTGTGGGCTGATGCAGAAGATCTGTTGCTTTCTGAGGCGTGCCAGGGCAAAGTTCGTTCCGATGGTCAGAGTGGCTGGTAGAGCGGGAGGCACTACGATCGTGATGAGATCCAATGCTCTGACAATGATCAAGTGCCAGGCGAGACCGAGCTTGACAAAATTGATGAATGAAGCAATGAATCCAACCGCGGCGATCATGCCCATAACTGAAATGTACCGAAATGAATCACGGTAGAACTTGAAGCCTGATGGCTTAGGGAAGAGCATGGACCGCACAAGAGCACCTTTGGTTGTGTTGAATCCAGTACGAACCACCATAGCAAGAGCAACGGCTTCGTCGTCCTCAGTATCCTGCGGGCGTCTGGCACGAATGATCTTCGTGCCGCAGAATAGGAAGTGACGAGCTACACTCGGATGGATTGATGTTGCACCAAGATCAATGTACGGCAGAGCCTCGTCGGTAATAGGAATTTTTGATACGGGAATAGATTCGCCTGCGAAGTTAGCTTAGAGAGAGAGAGAGAGAGAGAGAGAGAGAGGAAACGGCCTTGAAGCTTACCGGTGAGCATGCTTTCATTGATGATACAATCGCCTGCAAGGAGCAGACTGTCACAAGGAAGCTGTGCAAGAGACGGGTCGGAGACCTCATACACGTCCCCAGGGACAAGGTCACTAGAAAGCGCAGAACGCCCTAAGCCGGGATCAGTACCAGCCTGGCTCTCATGTCACACGAACTTACAGAAGCCGTTGCGGAGCACACGAACGTCGCACTCAAAGCGCGAGATTTCCCTCAGTCGTCGCATTGTCTGTGAGCACATCAGTATCTTCATTGACTCGAGCTAGAATCACAATAGCATTTACCGAACGAGTCTCCACGACCGTGGTAGTGATGGAGAAGACCGAAATAAGAAATATTGCCGCAGCATAGTAGTAGTACTCGTCCATTGACCAGAGAATGAGGCTGGCGACCTGGAAGATGTAAAAGGGGTGAAAAGCCTTGCCAAAAGTCAGCGCTCGAAGGATTATGGAAACAGGGACCGCCAAACCTCGTCGAGCAGTAACTCTGGGATGGTCTTTTGTTGAATTTCAATCATATTCTTGCCAAAGACTTGGTCTCTTGGGTCTCTTTCTTCAGTGTCAAGACCCTCCCGAAGAGCTTTGACTGACACCCATTGCGGATCCCACCAGTCGTTGTTCAAGACGAACTTATCCTCAACCGGGTAATACAGGAGCCTCATGTACCTGTAGTCAAGATACCGTAGGTGCTGCAATTCTGCGTCGTTGTCGTATCGATATCCATTGAGCTTTTCCTTGCCGGAGCGTGTGAAAACGGTCGACATGGGATGGCCATAGTCCTCGGAAACCACATAATGAACGGTAAATTCACCCCATTGATTCTGAAATCTCTTAGCCTTCTTCTTGGGACGGTGTCGCTCTGGGCCATAGCTCACCTCTACGACAACCCAAGAGCACTTTCTGAGGGGTGCTGGAGATCCAACGAGAGATATGCGCCACCTAGGCACCCAGCGAAAGACCAGATATCCAATGCCCGCAGTGAAGACACAGATCGCCAGATAGGCCAGGTAGCCGATAGTGGACGTCGTAAACCCAGCAATGGCCATGGTTAGATCCTCATTTTCAATGTATAGTTTTTGACTGAAGTTGCCGCCCTCCTCGTGTTTCTGGGTGTCACTCCTCGCCGAATCGTGCCTATAAAGGAGAGGCTGGTCTGCCGATGTCCGATATCTGCTTGAACTCTTGCGGCGGGAGGTATCAAACTCGAGGCCAGCCTCCAAGTCTCGGTCCTCATCGGGTATGTGGCCCTGCTCTTCGTCGCTCTCAACAGCTTCTTCGTCCGAGAAAACGTTCGGCGATTCTTGGTCTTGCTCTGTGAAGTACGTGAATGAACTGATCGACCCGGCTCGCCTTCGAGGTAGCCTATACGCAAATCCCGTCACGGAAGAGGGTACAGATTCCGCTACACAACCAGGTCAATGCGCATCCACTATGCGACAACTGTTGGGTGGAATACTTACATATGGGCCCCGAAAACACATCAGTGGTCGACATCTCCACATCGCTGACGATGCTTGCAGTGCTCAAGTTCGAATCTCTTCTGTGCATTCTTCCCGCACTCGAGCTCCTCCTGGAGGGGCGTCGAGGTGCGCCCTCATGTTGGGAGCTGCTGTCCATGGTGTGAAGTGCCACTGGCACAATGTTCGCTCGCGTCTCAGCTCATGCTTGACTCGGATAGCACAAGGGCGACACTAGGTGATGGGTGGTTTGGTGCAGTTACAGCATGCATAGATATGAATGTCATTGGGGGCCAAACATGGAGAGGTATGATGTAGGCATGATGCGGGCAGATAGTGAAGTTTTCTGCAGCCTTTCCACCCTCAATGGCAACCCCCTGCCTAGGGCACTCTCTCCCCCATTTGTACCCAAAATAATCCTACATTTACGAACATTTGATGGTTAGGGAATACTGCATGTAGTCTACAAGGGGTTTGCCACAATAAATTCGTCTCCAACATTTGCTGTAGACAACCGATAGCTGGGACTTTATTTCGACGCAGGTCACTGCAGGGGGTTGCGCACTGCGCACTTTGGCACTCAACTGAATTAATACGGTGCAGCGGTGCAGTGGCACTGCGCTAGTTCCCCCACCAGCAAAGCGTGGGACTCGGAGGCAAAACTGATTTATTGCCTGTGCATTTCACACGGCCTGGCCAAAAATCTTCAATCCTTCACTCAATTTTCTCTGCTCTTGTCACCCTCGTTCGTTTCGGAAGAAAGGAACCCTCTTCTACAAAACCCCCCGGGAGTCGTCTTCGGAGTGTCTCTTCGACAGCCACGGAACCGCCAGCCGGAAAGCTCTCAAAAGGCCCAACGTCAACTCAACGTTTACATTTCTCGCCCAACAAGCCACGAAACTCAACCTCAGACTGTACCCCTTGAATTGAGAGCAAAATGGCCGAAATACCAAAGGCACGAAATCTGACCGCGCCTACACCGCAGAACAGTATGTCTTCACCGTTTGCTAGATGTTGCATGTTACTCACCGTCCTTCAGCGCCTGCATCAAATGCGCCCATTTCCTCACACGCCGCTGCTCCTAACGTGAGCTCTATCGCCGAAGGTAAGGGAAATGGAAGAAAAAAAAATCGTCTCATCTCGGACATCAGGTTGACCCGTCACAGAGGATCTCGAGCGTGTTTCCGCTGCCTCAATACTTGCAAACAACCCCGCTCTTGTCTCCATGATGCAGCAAAAGCTCGGGTCTCTTGTCGGCCGATCTTCAGGATACGTCGAATCCTTGCCAGCTCCCGTCCGCCGTCGTGTTACGGGATTGAAGGGCATCCAAAAGGACCACGCCAAGTTGGAGTCAGAATTCCAAGAAGAGGTCCTCCAGCTTGAGAAGAAATACTTTGCCAAATTCACTCCACTCTACGAGAAGCGCGCCGCCATTGTCAACGGCGAAGTGGAGCCCACTGATCAAGAAGTCGAAGCTGGCAAAGCCGAGGAGGAAGAAGAACCCGAAGAAGATTCAGACAAGGAGGAGAAGACGGCTGCAGAGGACATGAAGGGCATCCCAGAGTTCTGGCTCTCGGCCATGAAGAACCAGATTTCGCTTGCCGAGCTGATCACGGACCGCGACGAAGAAGCCCTCCGCTCCTTGACCGACATCCGCATGGAATACCTCGATCGCCCAGGATTCCGCTTGATCTTCGAGTTTGCCCCCAATGATTTCTTCACCAACAAGACCATTTCAAAAACATACTATTACCAAGAAGAGAGTGGTTACGGTGGCGACTTCATCTATGATCACGCCGAGGGCGACAACATCGACTGGAAAGCGGGCAAGGATCTTACTGTCCGTGTTGAGAGCAAGAAGCAACGAAACAAGAGTAAGTCATGTCCTTGCTCCGAGAGGCCAATCACTAACCATATGGTATAGCCACCAAGCAGACCCGAGTGATCAAGAAGACCGTCCCCACAGAGTCATTCTTCAACTTTTTCTCGCCACCTGCTGCCCCAGGGGAAGGAGACGAGGTTGCTTCAGACATCGAAGAACGACTCGAGCTTGATTATCAACTGGGCGAAGACATCAAAGAGAAATTAATTCCTCGTGCCATCGATTGGTTCACGGGTGAGGCATTGGCCTACGAGGAATTCGAGGATGCCGAAGACGCCGAGTTCGACGATGAGGACGATGAGGATGACGAGGATGAGGAAGAAGCCGAGTCTGACGAAGACGACGAGGAAGAAGGGGGAAAGCCTCGGTCCCAACAAACTTCAGAATGTAAGAACCAGTAAATGGAGCCAGGCAACCCTTGTGATGAATCTACAATCTGGGTAGATGTGCTTTGCGAGCAGCAGGCGAGCGGGTCTATGTGATGTTGTCGAGAGAAGCAGATCGGAAGGACACGGTCCCAATCTGTGAGATCGAGTCCCGGACTGACCCGCTCCACGCATAACGGGCGTTCTGAGAATGATGCTGTGATGATCGATTCGTCGATAATAGGTGGAAGGGCACAGCGGGCGACTCCAAGTCCAACGGCGTCCTTCTACAAGTCTCTAGATGAATTTGCGGTTCCAAGTTTGAAGACGGCGTTCATGGGTATCATCACAATTGAGAAGAGCAACAGATTTCCTTGTATTCATTCCGTGACAATGCCAGTCCAGTATTCCCCTAACACCACATTTGGAGATAACAACAATTTTTGCTTCGAGCAGGAGGTCTATATAGGCAATGCAATCAAAAGGGCGAATTGGTTCGTGCATGTAGGATGTGGCGCAGGCGCAGGTGCTCATCTTGTTTGCTGCAACTAAGATCTGTGTAATGTCCCGTTTGAGACCGTCTGGGGGAAGATCTTTGGAAGACGCAAGGAAGGCTGCCACAAGCGTCTCGGGGCCAACCCTCGAGGATGCAGATATTGTACCGAGCACACCGTAGTGTGGAAAAAAGGGGGTTGCCACTTTGTGATGCCCATCAGCGCACGAGCAGTGGGCGTGCGGACAATTTCTGAAGGGTCTTGGTGGATGCTGAACTGGTGCCAGGGGGTTGAGGATGAAGCTCACGCTTGTGATGAACAGGGAAAGGCGTCAGATGACGAGTGGCTTGCCGGAAGAACAGCGACGGCCGTTTGGTTTCTTTGGGGCCTCTGGCTGTGGGCTTCGGGGCTAGTGAGGCCAACCAGTTGCTGGCTGGGGCTTGTGGTTGTGCTTGGGACGCATGGGGGAGCGCGTCTCGTAGACGACCGAGTCCCTGAGAAACTTTCTGACATCTCGCAGGTCAACTGAGTGTCTCGCCCAAGAATTCACAGCCGCACCTAAGACCCCAGACCGTTATTGTCGACGGTCAGGTCAACACCACATTGATCTTACTTTGATTCCATCTCTCATCTGTGAACCCGAAGATTCCACACATTCTTTAACATCTTGTCGCTCCTTTCCACTCCAGGAGAGCGGCCAGCATCTCCCCCGTGTGTCTGAACACGTCTATCCCTCCACCAGATTCTCCTCCCAGTCTCCGAATACATGGCTGCCCTCGTCTCCGACAGTTGAGAGTCTCTATCCATAAGTCCATCAGCAACCGCCCACGATGGCGAGTTGGGAGATTGGCACTCGGGCCTGGTTCCCTAACCAGACCGAGGGCTTCATTCCCGGTGAGCTCACGGAGAGAAAAGATCTGGGTGATGGGAAGATCGCCCTTGTCTTCAGTCTCTCCGATGAGTCCAAGCAAACAGTCGAGACGACCGAGACTGCCCTCCTCGACACCCATAATGCATCCTTACCTCCCCTCATGAACCCTCCCATGTTCGAGGCAGCCGAAGACTTGACCAATCTATCCCATCTGAACGAGCCGGCCATCCTGCAGGCAATCAAGCTCCGATATGCGCAGAAAGAGATATACACCTACAGCGGGATTGTGCTGATAGCGACCAACCCTTTTGCGCGGGTGGACTCACTGTATGTCCCTCAGATGGTGCAGGTGTACGCCGGCAAGCAACGAGCATCGCAAGCACCCCATCTGTTTGCAATTGCGGAAGAAGCGTATACGGACATGTTGCGGGACTCGAGGAACCAGACTGTCGTCGTTTCCGGCGAGTCGGGTGCCGGGAAAACAGTCAGTGCCAAATACATCATGCGGTACTTTGCAACTCGAGGGGCCCCAGGCCAGGCCAGCAAGGGCACAAAAACACGAGCAGACGCCATCAGTGAGACCGAAGAGCAGATCCTGGCTACCAACCCGGTCATGGAAGCCTTCGGCAATGCCAAAACGACGCGAAACGACAATTCTTCACGATTTGGAAAATACATTGAAATCATGTTTGACCAGAACACCGACATCATTGGGGCCCGGATAAGGACATATCTGCTTGAGCGATCACGACTTGTCTTTCAGCCATTGAAGGAGAGAAATTACCACATCTTCTACCAACTTGTAGCGGGAGCAACAGAAGAAGAGAAACAAGAATTGGGCCTGGTTCCCGTGGAAGAGTTTGACTATCTGAATCAAGGCAATGAGCCGACGATTGACGGCGTCGACGACGCCGCCGAATTTGCAGCCACAAGGAAGTCCTTGACCACAATTAACGTCTCCGAAGCCACTCAAAGAGAGATCTTCCGGGTTCTTGCCGCTCTCCTGCACATTGGAAATATCAAAATCACCGCCACGCGTTCGGACTCTAGCCTTTCCGCCAGTGAGCCATCAGTGGTCCGCGCCTGCGCCATACTGGGTATCGACGCGACGGATTTTGCTAAATGGACGGTCAAGAAGCAACTCATCACGCGCGGGGAGAAAATCACCTCCAATCTGACGCAGCAACAGGCCACCGTCGTGCGCGATTCCGTGGCCAAGTTCATCTACTCTAGCCTGTTCGACTGGCTGGTGGAAACCATCAATCACGGTCTCGCGACCGAGGATGTCCTCCAACGGCTGAATACTTTCATCGGTGTGCTGGATATTTACGGCTTTGAGCATTTCGCGAAGAACTCTTTCGAACAGTTTTGCATCAACTACGCCAACGAGAAGCTGCAGCAGGAATTCAACCAGCATGTGTTCAAACTTGAGCAGGAAGAATACATGCGTGAAGAGATCGACTGGACTTTTATTGATTTTTCGGATAATCAACCATGTATCGATCTCATTGAAGGCAAACTGGGTATTTTGTCTCTGTTGGACGAGGAATCTCGACTTCCCATGGGGTCGGACGAACAATTTGTTCACAAACTGCATCATCATTTTGCGGCGGACAAGCAGAAATTCTACAAGAAACCGAGATTTGGCAAATCAGCATTCACAGTTTGTCATTATGCGCTCGATGTTACCTACGAGTCCGATGGTTTCATTGACAAGAACCGCGATACTGTGCCGGATGAGCAGATGGAAGTGCTTAAGAAGTCTACAAATGCCTTCTTGGTTGACGTGCTGGACGTTGCTGCGGCGGTGAGAGAAAAGGACACCGCTCAGACATCCTCGAAAACCGTCGCCCCTGGAGGAGGCCGCCGAGTCGGCGTCGCTGTTAATCGCAAACCAACTCTGGGAGGCATCTTCAAGAGCTCTCTCATTGAACTCATGCAAACCATCAACTCCACCGATGCGCACTACATTCGGTGTATCAAACCCAACGAGGCAAAAGAGTCCTGGAAGTTCGAAGGGCCGATGGTGTTGAGTCAGCTGCGTGCCTGTGGTGTTCTGGAAACCGTGCGCATCAGTACTGCCGGCTACCCTACACGATGGACCTACGAAGAATTTGCTCTCAGGTACTACATGTTGTGCCGTTCGAATGAATGGACGACCGAGATCCGTACCATGGCACAGAATATTCTTGTCAAAGCCCTAGGAAAGACCGCCCACGAGAAATCCGACAAGTACCAACTCGGTCTGACCAAGATTTTCTTCCGCGCAGGCATGTTGGCCTTTTTAGAGAACCTTCGTTCGGCTCGTTTGAAGGAATGTGCCATCATGATCCAGAAGAACTTGCGGGCCAAATACTACCGGCACAAGTACCTGGATGCCCGACAGTCGATTCTCAACTTCCAGGCTGCTACACGCGCATTCTTGGCTCGAAGAAAAGCCGAAGAGACAAGACAGACCAAGGCGGCGACCGACATTCAAAGAGTGTGGCGAGGACAGAAAGTGCGCAAAGAATATACGCAAATCAGGAGCGACCTCATTCTATTCGAATCCATTGCCAAAGGTTATCTTTGCAGGAAGAATATCCTGGAGACCCGCATTGGAAATGCCGCGGTCGTCATTCAACGGGCTTTCCGTTCGTGGCGAGCATTACGTGTTTGGCGGCAATACCGCAGAAAGGTCGTCATTATACAGAACTTGTGGCGTGGCAGGGTCGCCCGGCGCGACTATAAGAAGATGCGTGAAGAGGCTCGAGATCTCAAACAGATCTCCTACAAACTTGAAAACAAGGTCGTCGAGCTTACGCAGTCTCTCGGCGCGCTCAAGCGAGAGAACAAGTCCTTGGTGTCGCAATTGGAGAACTACGAAAATCAACTGAAATCTTGGAGGTCGCGGCACAATGCTCTGGAGACGCGGTCGCGTGAGCTTCAGAGCGAGGCGAACCAGGCTGGTATTGTAGCAGCACGCTTGGCTGCCTTGGAGGAAGAACATGCCAAATTGCAAACGAGCCATGATGAACATATGGGCAACGCGAAGCGCTTGCAAGAAGAAGAGCGCAAGCTCCGGGAATCGCTCAAGATTTCCAATGCAGAGCTCGAGACATTGCGACAATCCGTGTCCACGCATGAAAGTGAGAGGGGCACTCTACGACAACAGATCAACGAATTGCAGGATCAGCTTGAGATTGCCAGACGAGCGCCACCTCCGGCAGCAACGAACGGCGTCAACGGAGAATATACCAACGGCACATCTCAACTTGCAAACGGCCTTATCAACCTCGTCTCTTCTAAGAAGCCTCTCAAGCGGCGCAGTGCAGGGGCGGCCGAACGAAGCGAACTTGATAGATACAGTGCAGCATATAGCGCACGTCCTGTTTCGATGGCGATCGACTCTCACACCAAGACTCTGTCTGGCTCTACGTTCAACCCCGGTTTGGATAGTGTCGAGATGGAGCTCGAGAACCTTCTTGCCCAGGAAGAAGAGCTCAATGATGAAGTCACCATGGGTCTTATCCGAGGCATCAAGATCCCTCAACCAGGCGCTAACCCTGCGCCGACAGACAAAGAGGTCCTGTTCCCCTCTTACCTCATCAATTTGGTAACGTCCGAGATGTGGAACAACGGCTTCGTCAAGGAATCGGAGCGCTTCCTCGCCAACGTCATGCAGTCCATTCAGCAAGAGGTGATGCAACATGAAGGTGACGAAGCGATCAATCCTGGGGCATTCTGGTTGTCGAATGTGCACGAGATGCTGTCCTTTGTCTTCCTCGCCGAAGACTGGTATGAGGCGCAGAAGACGGACAACTACGAGTACGACCGACTACTGGAAATTGTCAAGCACGACTTGGAATCCCTCGAGTTCAACATCTATCACACGTGGATGAAAGTGTTGAAGAAGAAGCTGCACAAGATGATTGTGCCGGCCATCATCGAATCACAGTCGCTGCCCGGATTCGTCACCAATGAAAGCAACCGTTTCCTGGGCAAACTGCTGCCCTCGAACAATACTCCCGCCTATAGCATGGACAACCTCCTGAGCCTCCTGAACAACGTGTTCAAGGCCATGAAAGCGTACTATCTCGAAGACAGCATCATCACCCAAACAGTGACTGAGCTCCTCCGTCTGGTGGGCGTGACGGCGTTCAACGATCTGTTGATGCGTCGCAACTTCCTGTCGTGGAAACGTGGTCTGCAGATCAACTACAACATCACTCGGATCGAGGAGTGGTGCAAGTCTCACGACATGCCTGAGGGGACTCTTCAACTCGAGCATCTCATGCAGGCTACCAAGTTGCTCCAGCTCAAAAAGGCTACGCTCAATGACATCGAAATCATCCAGGACATCTGCTGGATGCTGTCGCCTAATCAAATCCAGAAGTTGCTCAACCAGTATCTCGTCGCCGACTATGAACAGCCCATTAATGGTGAGATCATGAAAGCTGTCGCGTCGAGGGTGACGGAGAAGAGCGATGTCCTGTTGCTCGCTCCTGTCGACATGGAAGACAGTGGACCCTATGAGATTGCTGAGCCGAGAGTCATTACCGCGCTGGAGACGTATACTCCATCATGTAAGTGATCTGCCGCTTTCCCTCCAAGACTACTCGACATTGTACTGACATGGGAAATCAATAGGGCTCCAGACACCACGTCTTAAACGGCTGGCGGAAATCGTGTCCGCGCAAGCTATGGCTCAGCAAGAACAGGGAGGCATTCCCGACGGGGCGATTGGGGAACCCGAAGCCATGATGGCGCAGTGAAAGGGTCGACTCGGTCCCGGCACGGCCCCGGGATAAACTTCGTCGCGGAGGCGAGAATCAAAAGCAACGTTTCTGATGATTACATATGGAGGAAACAGCCACCTAATCCATGATTGGTTGGCATCTATGGTCTCGACATTGAGCGAGGGGGAGACAAAGCTAGAGTTCAGGAGCCTCGTCATGGACATGTTTCTCGGCCAGGAAGCAGAGACCAACAAGGCCGAGGCGAGTAATTATATACACACCTTTTTTGGGCATAGCACTGCGGAGTTTTTCCTCGAGCACTTGGGCCTCCTGTGCTTCTGGCAAAGGAGGGGAGGGCCCTTGCTAATTTTGGGCGCGGCGTTTTCTGCGGCTTCTGTATCTCTCTCTCTTTCCCTCTCTCTCTGACTATGGTCAATGTTAATGTCGGGGTGGAGCAGTAAGAGGCAAAGGAATCAGACTCGATGTCTCGGTCTTTTTTGTTCTCTTCCCATTGTTGTTATTATCGTGACTGTCATTGACCCACCGGTACGTGATACATTGATCCGATATTACGCAGGTACACGTATGTTTGTAAGAGGTACAAAGTAATTGTCCCGTTAGTCAGAGACCTTCCACCTCTCTAGGTATATCAGCCAATAACCATAGCTGTATTTTATACTAGTGGGTCCTGTGTGGTTGGTCTCCACTATTTATTCCCGTCCGTGTGAGGAGGATCCACTTGATCGACGCCAATTCCGCATCAATGTCTCCTCGTACTCTAGCCTGCCACCCCGCCTACGGTGCCTACCAGCCAGCATGTATAATCGATCTCCATTCCAGGAGTGGATTGTACATTGTGCGAGCCCCGTGTTATCGACACTCTCGCAGATAAATATTCAAGCACGAGCTTCAGTTGTTTATTTTACCAAATACAATGATTCGATACCCTTCCATGCTCGGCCTGCAGTTCACACCAGGAATTTAGGGGGAAAAGGGTTACGAGGAGGTCCCTAGATAGCCAATGGTGGCTTAATACTCTCCTGCCAAATCAGGTGCGTCCCAGTTCGCGCGCAACAGCACCCGCAGGTCGTCGCGCCAAAAGAACTTCTGGCCCAGGCACTCGAGGTCCCACCAGGCCCAGTCGCGCAGCTCCGGCAGGGTGTCGCGCATCTTGGCCAGCAGCCGGGCGCCGTCGGCCGACAGCTCGGGCGAGTTCTGGGCCATGGCCCACGAGTCGATGGCGACGAGCCAGATCCAGATCAAACAGTCGCGCTCGGTGCGGGCGCTGGAGACCCGGAACGTGGGCAGCCGGGCCGTCAGCTGCGTCGTGGCCGAGTGGTAGATGCACGCCTTGGGCCGGAGGCGGTTGGCCCGGTTGGCGCAGTAGCGGAACAGGGCGAGGCAGATCATCTTCTCCAGCGACGGACCCCCGGGCCCGTCGGGCGTGCGGAACGCCGTGCACGCGTCCCAGAAATTCCACGCCTGGCCCGCCACGGGGCGGTAGACCTTGGTGCGCTCCTTCCCTTGCTTTTCGCGGTACGTCGCATCCTGCGGGCTCCAGTCCTGCTTGACGCTGATCCTGTGGATGATCTGGAGCGTCTCGGACGAGAGGACCCCCGCCCGGGCGAGGTTGCGGAACCCGCACGGCAGCTTGTCGATGATCTTGACGTCGTCGTCGAACCGGAACCGGGGCGCTTGTCGTATCACCAACAACTTCTCGGTGGCAGGTTCGCTGGTCGGTGAGTCGGCCGGCTGGTCGCCGGAGAGGGAGAGGAGTCTGTCGAGAAATCAGTGTCCGAGGTGCAAACCGGCAATGTTTTATCACGGTAGAGAGACGGGCCATCTGAACACCGAGATAGCACAGGCGCTTACACTGTCAAGGTCGCCCGAGCTGAACTGTCCACCCCCAGGCAGTCGACGCCGCCTCGCGACGCCACCATTTGGTCGACCTGGGCGCGATGGGCCTTGAAGGCCGCGTCGTTTCCTAGCCCTCGCTCGAACATGGCCAGGTACAGGATCGTCAGAATGGCACCGTCGTCGGCCCGGGCGTTGGGTCTCGCCAGCCTGGCTCTCAGCTTGGACATGGCCTGTCCCGCATGGACAAAGGCATCTTGTGGCAAGAGAGATCCGGGACACGCGATGGCAGTGTGAGCCACTTTGGTCAGGCCGAGGATGACGTGGAAGAAGTCCTCGTATTTGGCCATATTCTCGAGGACCCACTGCCCGTAGACATTGACGACGTTGAAGGCTTCGTTGATTGACGCCACTGCAGTCACCCATCAGCTTGGTTCTGAGCTCATCGCACATGTATAGAGGAGCTTCTCCTCAAAGGGGACAGCCCACCCGTCGGCATGACATAGTGTATAACTGGACTCATGTTAAAGACTCATCGCGTAGAGACAGAGGTTCCAGACACTTACGAAAGTCGATGGCGAGCGAGGCACCATAACGATCATATCCAGGAATACAATCGAATGGGTCAACTCGTGCCCCCCTTGTCCAATGCCACGGGCCTGGCGACATCAATTCCTTCTCGGACTTGCCATGTCGAGCCACAGGGTCCATCCCGGGCCCTTCAGGCTCGGTCTTGTACCGGTTGGTGTCGTTGTCTGGGGCCACAAGTCGCCCAATGCTCATTGTCTTGGTATCCTGCTCCTCTTCTGCCAACAGCTGCTCGATCCGGATTCGAGGCGAGTGGGAACACAGGTTGTCTCCGTCGTACGATGGACCCCATCCATTCTGCTTGCTGGGAGCCGTTTCGGCGCCCCGGTGTCCGAGATAATGCGGATATGTCGGTGCAGACCAGCAATGCTTGTTCAAGACAATCGTGTTGGCATTGTTTCGATGCCTGAACTTGGCAGCGTGTGAGCGTGCTTTGGACCGAAGGAGCTCATAGTCGTTCCGCGACCGGCTTTTGTCGGGGACATAGGGGATGTACGACAAGTGAATGGGCATGGCCTGACGGGAATACTTTGTGATCCCGACTCAACGTCTGTCTGTATGAGATGAGGTCGGAGATGATGTCGAGAGATCTGGGTGTGTCTCGTCGAGTTCGTTCAAGCTTATATGCACGATCGAGACACACCGCGGCCGCCTCTCCGCCAGGAGCAGGTCCTCCACCATCCAGAGAGGGATCGATTCTGCAGCGCCATTGTGGTTCTAGAGCGATTGCGGGCAATCTCTTGACGAGTGAAGTTCTTCGCTAGAGAAAGCTTCGCCGAAGGATCGATGGAGGATGCCCGAGCGAATGAAGACGCATGTCGTGTTGGTACCCCAGAGAACGAGCGAACGAGCCGACGCACGCATTGTCGAGGGTGGAATGACACTCGACTGGTGCACCTGTTGAACCGATCTCTGAACTTCGGCATGCGGCATCCCTCAACCCACCTCCTTCTGGATCCGGTATTGGGCTTGTGGTTGGAAAGGTAGAAGAAAGTCACCGGCTTGTCTTCAGTGATCAGCACCCAACTGACTTGGGGGTCGGAAGTAAGCGGTTGGGCGGTTAGTAATCGCCTAGTTGATGGGCTGTCATGCCGGTGCAAGCATGATTGATGTGGCTTGTCTCGAAGCAGTTTCGGGGTCAGGGTCAGGGTCAGGGTCGGATGCTGTATACCGTAATAAGAAAGAATATTGGTGTTGGAGGAGGTGGTCCCAGCCTGAAGTTTTCGGTACACAAAGACTGGCGCAGCTGGATTGTTTGCTCGCAGCTCCCTTCAGCCGTGTCTCATGTATCGGCAAGGGCTTAGCGAGGTGTGTTGGTGACAGATCAATCGGGCCTAGATTAGGCATCCGTACGAATTCTGGGAGAATTGACAGTGCCATGCGTGATGCACGGAGAATGAGGGTCAAGTTTGCTGATCAGGCTGAATCCACGGGCTTTGTGGACGCTACGACTTGCAACGGTGCCATCACGACTAGTGCCTCTGGTGGTCAATCGAGGCAACAAACATGCAAGCCGAATCCGCCCCCGTCACCAATAACTAATGCTTGTCTGGTGAATTTGGATCCTCTATTGGCCCCCAGACGTTGCCCCAGGCTGGTTGGTTTGACTCCAGGAGACGAAGATTAAAGCTGGCCTCAGACTTTGTTTCGAGGCCTGATCCAGGGTCGATCTCGAAATTCGGATCTCATTCTTTCTTTTCTCGCTCCCCATCAGCTCTTCCCTCCATTCAGCTTGGGGGATCGACAAACTCGGAGCCTCAGCCTGACATTGATGGGCCAGCCCAGCTCCCACCTCCCACCTCCCACCTCCACTCGCGCCTTGTTGTGCTTGTGTTCGGGTGGGATGCGGAAGGGACTCTTCCCAAAGCTTGGATTGGGTCGTTTGCCTGCAATAAGACAAAGGGTTGAGAAATGAGGCGCTCAGCCGATGATCGACCAGGGCTGCAATGACTTTTCTCCCCCCCAGCCCTCTTACTTTCTTCTCACCGTGACAGCCGAAGAGCGCGGCGCCACAAGCTCAAACGCCACCTGGAGGTCCGGATTATGCAGAAACATGAGGAGGTGGTCAAAGAAATCAGGCGCAGGTTTTCAGCGCTTCGCCATCTGGGTTTCGTCGAGGACGCGCGGGACTCGCCACGCAGCCATGCACGGGTCAGAGACACTGTCAACGGCGTGTCCTGGGCACTCGCGTGTCAAGCCCCTGGTCTCCTTCCCTGTCGGGCGGTGTATCTAGCCCTGCGCCCCGAAAGCTGCCTGATAGATGATAAACCCCCCCTCACGGGGGAAAAGAAGATCTCAAGATGTGATCTGTCCATCTAGACAAACTCTGTATTAACCCATGAAGCCCCTCGATTTTTCTTGTGGATCGATCGTGTTCCAGTCACAGCCATGACGGCCCTGTGTGGTTACAAGAATGGAGATTTGAGTGAGTGGTTTCCTCTGAGGCGCCTTGAGCCTCACGGGTCATTTTTGCCTATCAAGGGTCGCCCAGATTGCTGATCAACCCCCCCTCCCCCCCTCCAGACTCACCCGTCGCCTGTCAATCGGGCTTCGGTTGTGTGGAATGGGAGTTTCCAGGCATCTTTGGATGTACAAGCGGCATCAACACCATCCTGCCGACGACATGTGTGGAAGCAGAAGCGCAGGGTCCAACGCCCACGATCGGGGCCATTACCTGGTAAGGCTTTCTCTCTTCTTTCTTTCTTCTTTGGTGGAAGACACTGTCCCTCGTTTCAAGTGAGGATGCAAAACACTGACGGGAGAAACCTGTGGCAGTGACTCCGACGCACCGTACTGTGCGACCGTCTCCCTGTATTGGAGCGACTACTACTACACGCACTGGGAGTGTGCCACGCGATCCGCCGAGGTGATAACGATCCTGGCCGTCCCAACCGTCACTGGCCACGGCGACCCTTCGACGCAGTACCTCAACGCAGCTTTTTCCGACCCAACTGCCAGTCCCTCGGGGGGAGGAGGTGGGGGCAACGGCACCAACGGCGATGACTCGTCCTCCAGCCCAGGCAGCGGCTCGGGCGGTGGTGGTGGCAACAACATCGGGACCATCATCGGGGCCGTTGCGGGCGTGGTAGCCGCCCTCGCCGCGATCGGACTGTGGATCTGCACCAAACACCACTTCCACAGGCAGCGGCAACACGATCGAAACCTGGGCGGGAGTCGAGACATGGTGGTGCGGAACAACCGCGACATGATGACTGTGGCAGGGCAGCTTGAGCGCGGGGGACCCGTGAATGTCTACGTCAACGAGCTTCACTACCACGACCATACAGGAAGGGGAGGTCCGCTGAGGTTGGCCAGTTGAGTTGAGTCTGGGACGGGAGAATTGTCACTCTCAACCTCGTTTATGACTTGACGAATAGAAAAGGCCCGTCGACCATCACGGTATTTTGTTAATTGGACTGGATCCACATAGAAAACTGGATATATCGAAAAGACATCATTATTACTGTGAAAGGAGTTTTTGTGTGTTTGGTTGTTTGGCTGTTTGGCTGTCTGGTTGTATTTGCCCTTTGTGAGAACTTACGGTAATAATAATATTATCGGCTCCACACAGGGCCGAAAAGGGCAATATACCCGGTATCCACAAGTATATGCCCACATCGGGAAAAGGGAGTACTCCATAGTGCATTGAAGCAGCGCGTGGGCGGATATTTGGTAGAGAAGCAACCCAGTACGATACGTGTGTTATTACCGGCAGCTCAGGAATATCCGAATCAAAGGCTCGATCGTGTCATGTGGCTTTTATTGTCGACACCAATGAGTCGCGCGAGGTACGTGGGTTGTATATAATATATACCTCCACGACTGACAAATGTGCCGTGGCTCTCCCGGACACCCCCCGCTCGACCCTCACTGACCGGCTGAGGCTTGCCCGACCTTCTTCAACGCCTCCTTGCCCTGTTCCGCCGCCTCGGTGAACCCCGCGACCAACACGCTATAGTCCAGCGTGGCCAGGAGGAAAGTCATGCCCAAGCCCGCGCGGGTCGCTATCATCTCTGGAGTCGTCGCCATGGAGCCGACGACCTTGCCGTGCTTCTGGGCCGCGGCGAGCACTCCCGACAGGGCCTGCGTGAACTCGGGCTCGGGCCCGTCCACGCCGCCCGGCAGTCCGAGGGACAGACGCAGGTCGTACGGGCCGATGAAGGTGCCGGACACGCCGGGCACGGCCAGGATGGCGTCGGCGTTCTGAATGCCCTCGGCGGACTCGATAATGGGGAGGATGGCGACCCCGTCATCCTGCGCCATGTCGTAGTAGGTGCCGAACTGCGTGCCGTGGAGCTGTCGGCCAAAGGGGGCGTTGAAGGGACCGAAGCTCCGTTTGCCCCGCGGCGGGTAGATGGCGTGCGAGATGATGCGCTCCATCTCGGCCGCGTTGTTGACCATCGGGATGATGATGCCCGCCGCGCCGCTGTCCAGTGCCCACTTGACCCATTCGACGTCGTGGGACGGCACGCGCACAATGGCCAAGCAGTTGCCCTTGGACGCGGCCACCACGCTGTGCACCATGTAAGTCATCTGCTCCGCCGACATGGGCGCGTGCTCCATGTCGATCATGACAAAGTCAAACGCCTGCGCTGCGAGCATGGCGACGATGGGGCTTTGGACTGTCAGCACCGTGCCCAGCAACGCCCGGCCCAGCCGTTTATGCTGGTCTCGGAAGCGAGCGATGCCCCCTTCGCCGGGCGTATGGGTCGGCTGCGATTTGAACATGACGATTGACCGGTCTTGAATGTTGACTTGTCTTCAGTCAAACGTGAGCTGAGTGAGCCTTGTCAGCCCTTTGAACGATCCACGTAAGGAATCCACACAAGGACTCTTCTTTTGCTGGGACGAGGAGATTGGGGGGATGGCAATCGGACAGTCAGTATGTTCGATACCGTGGCCAAGAGGGGTCCCTGGATTGAGGTTGTTGGTAAATCTGGGGAGACTTACAGGAACCTGGGGAACCGACCCTCGGTTGTCGGTAACCACCAAGTACATGTATGTACTTCACGTTCCAGGGAGGTTGGATGGCGATGGAATCGGAGAAGCGACACGCTCTCGGGCCGTGATATCCGTAGCATGTTTGTATGCTTGTATCGTGATTGACTGGCTGGTCGGGAATCAATCTCCTGCAGTCGCCTGTGGGTTGTCGGTTACTGACTCTGATATTATGATATGCTTCCACGCGCTGTGATTTCCAAAGAGATACACGAGGACCAACTCGACAGGTGAATGCAACAGTGCAATGGCCGTAGCCTACAGATTTATCCATTACATCGTGTCTCCTGGGAACCTCTATGGGAGACCTTGTTGCCAGTACGTCGAAACATCATTCTCCCCGTAAGCCGTGGACCCGGTATCAAAGACCGAAACCCGTCGCATATCCCGCCTATACTTCCCCTCGTACTCCCCGTGGGTTGCTCTATGCAACACGGCACAGTTGTCCCAGATGGCAACGTCGTTGTTATCCTGCCAATGATGCACAAACTTGTACTTGTCTTGCTGGACATGCTCGAATAGCTCTTTGAGTAATTTCTGGCCCTTCTCCAGATCCATCCCGTCAATATGATGGGTGTAAGACGTGACGTAGAGATTCATTCGACCAGACTGCTCGTGTAGCTGAGCAATCTTGTGCTTCGCCAGAGGGTGGTCCATCGGGTTGATATGGAGGAAAAGGGGCGAGTCCGGATTGGCCGTCTTTCGGTTGTGGAACAGCGAGTTGCAGCCGACGAGGCCCTCAATCTCCTTTTTCTTCTCCTCTGGGAGATCGTCATACGCGGTCCGGGTGTCCAAGTACTCGGTATGGCCCCCAGTGCCTTTCGGGGGAAGTTCGACACCGCGCAAGATGGAAACACCGGTGCGACGAGGGTTGAAGGCTCCATCCGCATGCCATAGCGCATTACCGTTGGCAGACGCGGTGCGGTTGGGGTCTTTGACCGTCACGACCTCGTTCTTGTCGTCCAGGTTACCCACGTCGAAAATCTCGTCGTTGGGGATCCTCATGGCCCTTCCCGCCAGCCGATGAGCCCTGACGCTGTCTAGTTCCCCGAATCGTCGGCCAAGGGCAATGGCCGAGTCGTCGTCTAACGCAGTCTTGCGAAGGACGACGACGCCGTACTTGTGGACAGTGTCTCTAAGTTCTTCGAACAGGGCATCATCGATTGGCTTGGAGAAGTCAATGCCTTCGACTTCGGCGGCAAAGGTTTCAGCAAGGGGTGTAATCTGCAGCCTGGTGACACTCGGCATATTGGCTGGACAATGGAGCTATGATTTGGGTGGAATTGTTGTAGGAGTCTTGCACGAAACGATGAGACAGACTGCCCTTGGATCGAGCTGAGGTGAATAGTATATATTCCCCACTGTCGGCACTCTGCTTTCGTTCCCATCTGACTTCGGATGTCAAGGCCCGTTTGACTCTCAATCCCTCGAGTTCACTTCCCCGCCCGGCGCTCTGACCTCCGCGGTTCTTCGGAATGATAACATGGAGAAAGGAAAAACTTTGCCACGCCAGTCGTGTGGATATGTCGCTTCTCGAGGAGACGAGGACGGACGGGGTATATTCGATCTCCTGACTTCGGTCGCCAAAGAAGTATATAACAAGTCACACTGGGCTGTTGATCCCCAGGTCAAGCAGACGTCGCGACTGGTATCCTTGATGATCCATCCTGGATACTCCAATTGCTGGAAAGGGCGTCTCTCTCCTAACGTCCAACATTAAAAGCGTGATGCTGAAGCCAGCCTGCGTCCCAAGCATGTCACACACGAGTATGTCCATGTGCGGACACCCGCAGTACTCGCGGTACGTCAAGACTGCGGGGACCCCAGACTCTGACTTTTGACTCCAACTCTGGGGTTTTCCGTGGAAAATGCTCGCCGTCTGCCGTTCCCTATTCACCTACAGCCTCGGGAACATGCTTCTTGGCCTCTTTACGGATTTGGTATGCCGAGTATGTCGTGTTCCAGCGGTTGGAGGTGAAATCATCGTACCCTGTCGCCTGTCTGCGGTGCTTCTCTCCTCTCCGCTTCGACCCCCTCGTCCCGAAGCATCTGAAGCGAGAGATGTTGTGGAGCGGGCTCAGGAAGGGTCAAGCCCATTAGCCAAGAATCTAGGCCGGTCAATTTGGGACTTCCAGACGGGATATATCATGCTGCACGTTGTCTGTGAACACTCCTTTCCTTGACTGAGTTCTCACGGCTCGTTCCAATATACGTTCGGTATCAGATGCAAGCAGGCGAGGTACTTGCGTCGCGACGAGCAGCGTCAGCTCTGCCAGACGAAGACGCTCCAGGCACCAAGCGACAGAAGATATCTCCCTCAGCGCGGCCTCGCGCTTCGCTAGCTTGCCACAGCTGTCGTCAGCGCAAGATTCGAGTTAGTGACGAATAGCTTCCTATTTGGAGAATACGAACTCATCTTCAACCTAGTGTGATATTCAACGCCTTCCTACCGGGTCTACGTGTAGCGCATGCCGCATTTCCGACATTGACTGTCGCGTCAGCCAGTTCTCGGACCGTAGAAAGTGTGTTAGGTGGATTTTGGCATGGCTGAGCTCGATGAGCTGACACTTGGTTCTCAGGCACGGTTCTCGCGAGCACATTGCTGCACTTCAGGAGCAGATCCGATCGCTGGACGTTCTGATCCGCCAAATCGTTCCCGATGGCAATACATCGCTTGGCAGTAGTCAGGGAGAGAGTGCGCCACTGTTGAAATCGCCGACAGCTGCGGCTGCAACCACCAGACCCAGCCTTGACGATATACGGGGGCCACAAGACGCGACTCTGATCGCCGCTCAGCGAGCCTCATCGGCAGTCGTGCAGCCAAGCACAAACAGTCATGAGTCCCCTCGAGCCAATCAAGGTCAACAGTCTTCTGCTGAGTGCGTCGCTCTTCATGCCTTGTTTGCATTGCCTCCCAAAGCTGTGTGAAGTGCTGACTTGTCAAGGCAACCGGGCCCCGCCGACAATGAAAGGCAACGGCGAAGCCACACGCCTCGAGTTCACTCTGGAGTCAATGGCGAGGGCGAGGTTTCCGAGGAATCTGGCATATACTTTGGCCCGTCATGCCAACTCCATGTGTCGTCGCCTTCTGATGTGGTGAAAAGTGTGTCGGGTATCCATGCTCCAGGGACCCAGATTGACATGGACTCGGATCGCCTAAAAACCCTCCTGTTCAACAACTACTGCAACTTCCAGACCCTTTCAGTCACCATCATTCACCCCGAGCTCTTTTTGTCCCACCGAGCGCGAGGCTTGCGATCCCAGCATTACTCCCGGTTTCTGGAAAACTCCATGATGGCGTGCAGCGCGCGCTTGAGTACTTCGGTTGCGGTCCGCGCGTTGGGATCCAGCTATGCGATGCGTGCAAAGTCGGAAATCGTGTCAGAGTTGGAAGATCCAAATGTGGCGACGCTGCAGGGTATGCTGCTCCTCAGTGACTACGAGATGACTGAAGGACGCGACCGAGTTGGCTGGATGTACTGTGGTGAGGTCTCCTTTCCCTCATCATCGTGTGTCAGCGACCCTGATCAAAGTACTAGGTATCGCTTGTCGGCTCGTGGTTGACCTGGGTCTACACCATGCTTGGAGTAAGAGCGGTGACCAAGATGCCTCGAACGTCCATGGAGCGAGGTTCCGCGGCTCCGTGACGTTGGGCTGCTTCGTCTACGAGACCCTTTGGAGCATGTACCTGGGACGTCCAAGTCACATAGCCATGCTGGGCCCGTCTCTGTCCTCGTATGCCGACCATGTATCTGACAATCTGACTCTGAGGGCGTGGTTTGACTTGTGTGTATTGATCGCCGAGATTACGACCATCCTCGACAAGGACTCGCTTATACAGGCAGGCACTCTGAATCGACTGTCAGAACTCGACGGCAGGTTGCGCAGGTGGTATTCGTCAGTGCCCGCAGACATTGCCCTTGATTATGACAACGTCTCTGCTCTTGACGCCGTGGCGTATGGTCTGCATATGCAGTACCTACGGGTGCAGATGCTGTTACATTCTCTTCCCATCTCAAGCCACCGGAAGCGCAAACAAAGCGACGGCAAGGACCAACCCCCAGTCCTTCGCAATTGGACCGCCGAATCTTCCAGGCAGCTTGTGCATCACAACGCGCTGAAGATTGCCCAGTTGGGTATCACCTACGGACAGATTTTCGGGGTGGAAAAGACGCCTTCTGTGATGCTGGACAATCTGTACGTGGCGGCGACCGTCTTAATCTCCAACATCTTGGGGGCCGAGCACTCTTCCATAGACGAGAACGACCTTCGGTGGCTTCGATTGCTGGATGAGATGCTGAAAGACCTTCAGCCGCATTTTCATATCACCGCCAGGATGAGGAGGACCCTGGCTCGCATCGTGGAAGGCTGTCCCCTGCTTGCCGGTGCCTTTATGGACGACGTGCAGACGTCACCGGTACAATATGGTTCCAAGCATGGGGGCTTGGACAATGCACATGGCGGTGGTTGGGGTTCTCTGGAGGCTGCCGTCAATGACTTTGTCCTCGACCCCAGTCTGTTCAACCTCGTGGACTTTGAGCTGGTCGGTGACGGCGGCGACGGCGTGAATCGCGGCTAGTAAGGACTCTAAAAAGGCTTGTGGAGGTGGACTATGGCAGACTCGAATGAGTACTTCATAGCTACACGAGACGCCCAGAATGAGTGTCCCTTACCAGCAATCGACTGATTGAGTGCCAGTTCTTGAACGATTGGAGGTGGTTTGCGTCAGAAGGGATGTGGCGCGTGGTTGAGTTCGCTCACGTCCAGAATTGTATGTATCGTGGCAATCTGTGGAGGTACGTACGTATGTAGAGGAATGGAACGGGCTATTGCTCGGTAGCTAATTATGAAGGCCTTCGCTTTGTTGCTGGTTGGGTGCGGAAAGACCCTTCGACCCCATCCACGTCCCGCACCACCAGCGCTACTCGTCGCCCGCATTTTCTTATGTATTGAATAAATATTTTTTGGCGGCACAGGTTGACAAAGGATTCTGAACACAAGAAACCCTGGCCTGAAGACCTGACCTCTCTACCTGTACCCTACTCCGACTTCTGCATTCTGGTCGAAAGTGCCACAAAATGCGCACTCTTCCCAACATCATCATAACAGGCACTCCCGGCGTCGGCAAGACCACCACATGCACACAACTCCTCAGTCTAGCCTCGTCCTCCACGCCCACCATTAACCTCAAGCACCTCTCGATCAACGACCTCGTCAAGTCCCGCTCCTGCCACTCCGGCTACGATGAAGATCTGCAGACTCTGATCGTGGACGATGACAAACTCATGGACGAGGTGGAGAAAGACATTTCCGACGGCGAAGGCGAAGGTGGATGGGTCATTGATTGGCATTCCACCGCTGGGTTCGCCGTGCGCTGGGTCGACCTCGTGGTCGTGCTGAGGTGTGAAGAGACGAGTGTCCTCTACGACCGCCTCATGGCGCGAGGCTACAAAGATGCCAAAGTGCAGGAGAACATGGACGCCGAGATCTTTGGCGTTGTGACCGAGGAGGCCAAAGAGGGATGGGGAGAGGAGGAAGATGGCAGGGTCGTTGAACTCAAAAGCGTGAATGCAGACGACATCGATGAGAATGCCGAGCGCATTCTGCAGTGGGTGAAGAACTGGATTAAAGATCATACTACGAATGGGAACGAGGGTTAGGGGCAGTGGGATGGCATCAGTTCGACTGGGGATTCCTTTATTCTTGGATGACCCACGTCACAAAAGTCTACGATTCTATTTGTGTCAGGCAGTTATGGCTACGGCTCCAGCTCACCCCCAGCCAGCCAGGCTTTCAGTTTGGCCAGAGCCTTGCCCCGATGCGAGATCAAGTTCTACGCCAGGAATGTGGTTAGCCATGTCGCCCATTACAAGGACAAGGGGGGCCGAGGTCGAAGGGGTACATACTTTCTTCTCCTTCTCCATCTCGGCGTATGTCTGACCATCCTCGAACTCGAAGACGGCATCCCAGCCTATTAGAGTTCGCGGTCAGAAATTACCCACTGCAAATTGCACGCAGGCTTCACATGGAACCATTTTCGCAAGGGGAAGTTCGCATACCAAAAATTGGAGGCCCTCTGGCCGGCACGATCTTTCCCTGACATCGGCCCTGGAACAGAATCGGCTCATGGCCAGGTCCTGCACAGTACGCAAACGTACAAACCGCGAAGGCGGTCTTATCTTCGTATGCGGCGAGCATCTTGTTGAGACCGTCGTGACCGAGGGCCTGGAGGAAGTATTTGCTATGGTGGAGGAGGTACAGCGTTAGTCGTTGCCGAAGAAGGTAACAATGCTCTGTGCAGGAGAAGGGGTGATGAAGAGGACAGTGACTGGTTCGTCTGGGGATTCTGTTCAATGGCACGTTTCAGGGGAGTGTGAGCTCACATATAAGGCCCGGGTAACCCTTTGAGGGCCTGGAACTCCAGCGCCGTGTCTTCCGTGAGGACTGGGCCATTCACCTAGCCGGTGCACGGGCTGTTAGCATGCACCTTCCGCAGACACAAGATCCAATGTAGAATATTTCATCCATTAAGTGGACTATAATCATTCATGAGAAGACACTCACCGCCCTCGCGGCCCTCGAGGCCTTGTCCCTCGCGACCTCCTCAATGGTACCCTGGATCTCGGCGCCCTCGACATTGCGGCTCTGCAGCTCCAGGCCGGCCACGTCGCCGAGGATCGCGCGGACTTCGGCCAGCTTGTTGGCGTTGCCGGTGATGAAGTTCAGGACCTTGGGCCGTTGGTATACCGGTTGCGGGTCCTGGGACGCTGGAGCCAGGGACATGTTCTATCTTTGCTCTTGCGAAGAAAAGAGATAGGAGGGCGGGAGAGAGGGTATCCTTTGTGAAAGGGTCTAGGTGATCTGGTAGTGGTATAATTTTCTGTGCTGGAGAGAAAAAAGAAAGAAAAAACATATGCTAGGGATGAGCGAAAGGTGTTCACTGGCGGGTCCAATGTAAGTGCCAGTGTTCAAAACGAACCCAAGAAGACCTGTCCACTTTGCTCGACTTGATTTCCTAGACTGTAGATGTGTGCTGTAGAGAGCAGCGGGTTGTATTCGGTATATCTTGTGTCACATCTATTCGGCGCGATAGCAAAAGCGAGAATTTGAAATGACTCAAACTGCGCAAGGCTGCGCGGCCACAAGGCTACGAGGCTACATCCTAACCACAGCTAGCCAGGCAAGTCGAACTCTGAGCTTCCACCAGTAACAAATATTTGGTCCGAGAACAAGTAATGAGCAACAACAGCATACAAACCAGAACGCTCATACCAATTTGCTGAAGAAGCCTATCAATAGGCCTCTAGAGATGCCCCCACTGTGTCATACCTAATCCATCCATGCTGCCGGTCAGCCTTCGAAGTAGTCATTTGTTCTAACAAACTCCTCCATCGTCCCAGTTGCAATGCAATATCAAAAGAAGCCCTTGTAGGAGATGTCCAAGCCGCAATGAATGAGTTTAACAATGCTCGCGTTCCGTGCCCTTCGGTAATGATAGTCCGTGTGTCATGTTCCCCGCATGTTATGACTGCCTCGTTTTCAACTTCAAGAGCTCAAAGTCCTTATACTTCTCCAGGTATCTCTCGCCCCTTCGGTGAGCTTTCAAGAGCTTTTCAGGCTCAGCACATCGGAACGTAGTGTTGCGTGAAAAGGCGAGTTTCTTGAGTGCTGGGCTCGGGTTGAACATGGGATCGAAAACGACCAAGTTGACAACACCATTCAACCTTTGCTCGACCCCCACGATGGTCATGGAATGGCCATGATGTTGAAAGTAGATCGGCGGCTGGTCCGTAATAACGACTTTGTCAACGCTAGCTTTGGTCGAGTCGTCGTCGAAATACTCGCAGACAGCGAGAAGCATTGTTTCGAAGCCCTCGACCTCTTTTGTAGTGGTGTACGCGGTTGCCTCGCATGGTACATCGAGACTCATGAACAATGCTTGCGCCTCCGGTGTGCCAATGTATTTGCGGGTGAATCTGATGCCGCCAGTTTCCACACGTCCGCCAGAGTTGAAGCCCAGGTCCCAAGCGTTTTCGATCATGTCTTGAACCTTCAGTATAGATGGCAGTCTTCCCCTGAAGTTCTCTGCGCCATTAGCATCCGCACCCTGGATGTAGGACACCAGCATCTGAATATTGCGATAGCCGCAGAAGCCACCTTCCCTTGGCATTTTGCACACATGGAGAACTTGAGGACTGCAATAGAATGCACGTTCGACCGTTCTGTCCAGCTGAGACAGCCGAGAGAGTACAGGTACGAGATTGGGCGTCTCATTGGCAATGGTTTCGACCTTGATCAACGTGCCGTCGGGGCCGATCCTGTTAGTGATCGTGACTTTGGCGCCCTCCTCGAGCATGCGGCGCAGCCAGCCCGGCATCTGCTGCTCGTGAGCATAGGGACCGAGTTCCGACCGCTGCAAACGATTAGCTTACTATTCAACGTTAGATTTGGTCCACACTCACTCCAAGCCGTTTTGTCTTCCCGAGTTTGGAAGAGACGGCCGAAAGAGCTGATTTCCTCTTAGGAGACGCGGGAGTGCCGAGGAAGATATCCTTGAGAGATGGACCGCGCCTCTTTTCGCTGCGAGGAGGAGGAGGGGACGGTTTGTCAGGAAGTTGGCCATAGTTTCGAAGAGACTTTGGGATATGAGTGCTGAACGAGTTGGACACATCGACTAAGGGACGTTGGGCAGTTGACCGAAGGGTCGAAAGCTCAACGTCTTTGCTAGGTATATCGGCCTCATCCATGGAAATATTCTCCTGAGCATGCATGTCGGAATGGGCATCGAGCTCGAGAAAATGTACGCGTTCGCCACAGACACATTGTACCCATGATTCTTCCTTTCCGGCTCGAGAAGTTGAGGGGAGCTGTGGTGGATTCGTTGCACTTTCCGGCATCCCATTTTCATCACGGGCAGGAACATTGGGACGGTCTGGTAGGGCCAGTTCGGCAGGCAAGCCTGCTTCCTCAAAGGCAAGAAGTTGAGCCAGATCAGCATCGCTCAGCTGAGGTGCAGCATTGTAGGGTTGCTGACGGTCAGGCTGCTGGCCGCCATGCCGATGTTGCACGTGCCTTTCGAGGGCGTCAAAATCATGGGTGCCGAAGCGGCAAAAGGGGCAAGTTAGATATTGTTCGCGATTTTCGGTGGCCATCATGACCCATGGGATATGATAGAATTAGAGATGGCGCGAGAGGCTTAACAAGATTCCATCTTGTGCGGGATGGGATATCAGGCTGCCGGCGAGCCCAATCGGTCACTTCAACGGTGCCTGTCACTGGCTGCTACCTGCTGCCCACTAACAACCTTATCTTTTTCCACAGAAGTGATGAAGTGCAGCGAACGCATAGAGGGACAACGAATAATAGACGACAACAAAGTAGCTTTTCCGCCTCAATTCCGTGTGGCAGTGCTTAATTGGGGTGTGTTGTGTACTTGTATGCGGACAAGGAATGTCCGAGCAGGCTGAACAAGTGGGCGAATGGGGTATTGGGAGGGCCGCGTTGATCGCCAAGGGGAGTTTAAGGAGGATTCTCGGGTGGAAGCGCAAGAGGAACAATAAGGGCGTGCATAGGCGTGGAATGTCACTCTATCTTTAATTGTCCATGTCAGCAACAACTAATTCCCCCAGTCTTTGTTTGGCGTTACCTGATTCCTGGAAACGAAGCGCTGACGGTGACAGGCTGAGACTGAAGGGCTGCCACGGCCGCCCAAGATCAGTGGGGTGATTCACTCAGCCTTGTCTGGCCGCTTGGGTTGCATTCTAGGCGAGCAAGAAGGCGTGCTGGCAGGTTGAATTGGAGGACACCAAGGATGGGATCAGGGCCGTTAAAATGACAACATCCAGTAGACCTAGGCCATCACATGTAGAGGGTACCTATAGGTACAAGTACAGGTACCTGGAAGAGTGCCTACCAGTAGGTATCTACTAAGTAACTAATGTACCTGACTAAATCTGGTAACCACACACGAAATGACGCCACGGTTCTGGCCGCCACATTATTCGCCGAACGTGTAGCCGAGCACAGTGGGCTCACCTCACCGCCTCGAGGACCCCTCCAGAATTTTCAAAAATTCTGCCGCATCGAGTATTATGACTGACCTGACTCTCGTGCTAACTGAGAGACTTTTTCGAAAATCGGGCCCAGAATCGTCTCCGGCTGTGGCAGTGGGATACAATGCCAGTCACTAACTTGCTGCTCTCCCTCTAAAACAGCCCTTCGCTCTCGAATGATATTTACTTTCGTTTGTTGACTAGCTACCACACTCCTTCCACTGTCTCTCGTATGTCTCAGTGACGGTATTATGTTTCTCAGTCATTGCTTGCCACAGTCACCCTCCTCACAATGACCACGCCCTCTCTCTCTAACGGTGTGCGCGCCGAGGTCCCGCTCGTCAACGGGGTCAATGGCACCCGTACACCAAGGTCTCGTCCAGTTAATGTCTTGAAATTTGGCGGTATGTGTAATCATCGGACGCCGTGTTTGGGAAGCCGTCACTGACTCACCCAAGGAACTAGTGTTGGAAAATTCCCTTTGGATATTGTCAATGTCGTCAAATCTTGTTCCTTGGACACCGATGTTGCAATAGTCTGCTCAGCAGTGCGTATACTCACCGTCGGTCTCGCTGTTTTGCATGTACTGATCGACCAAATTTAGAGATCGAGCAGCACCAAGGCCGCAGGCACGACGAACCGTCTGTTGCGGGCGGCAGCCGAGGCAGAGAACCACCGATCCCAAGATTTCAAACGGTTAATCCAAGATGTTCGGGCCGATCACTTGGGGGCTGCTGAAACGTACATACAGTCCGAGAAGATACGGACGCAGTTACGGGCACGGTTTGAAGATGAGTGTTCGTTGGTGGAGCGGATATTGGAGGCTGCCCAGACTTTGGGCGAGACGAGTCCCAGATCCAGAGACAAGGTTATGAGCACAGGCGAAAAGCTCAGCTGTCACTTCATGGCAGCACTGCTGCAGGACCGAGGTATTGACGCCGAGTTCGTCGACCTGGCGGACGTGATTGATTTCAATGTCTCCCACGGTCTGGACCAGCAATTCTACGACAACATGGCATCGAATTTGGCAAAACGGCTCCAAGACATCCCTTCTGGGGTGGTGCCCGTAATTACAGGATACTTTGGCGCCATCCCGAGAGGTTTGTTGATGACAGTTGGTCGAGGATACACCGACCTGTGTGCCGCCCTCGTTGCCGTCGGCATAGGAGCCAACGAGCTACAAATATGGAAAGAAGTGGATGGCATATTTACGGCTGACCCGCGCAAAGTCCCGACAGCGCAACTGATTCCTCGGATAAGCCCAGCAGAGGCTGCTGAACTCACATTTTACGGATCCGAGGTCATTCACCCTTCCACCATGGACCAGGTCATCCGAGCACGGATACCTATTCGGATAAAGAACGTGATGAATCCACGAGGAGGGGGCACCATCGTCTATCCAGATTCTCCGTCAGAGCTGGCCTCCAAGTCGGCAGGGCACGACCCCACGCTCTTCCGTTCGAGGAGCCCTAGCCAGCTCTCGGAGGGTGAGACGCCGAAGCGCCCGACAGCAATTACCATGAAGCACAAGATCTTGGTCATGAATATCCACTCCAATAAACGAGCATTGTCCCATGGGTTCTTCGCCGGAATCTTTGCCACCCTCGACAAGTGGCGATTGTCGGTCGATGTCATTTCCACCAGCGAGGTGAATATGTCTATGGCCTTGCATTCGGAAGCGCCCCTCTACACGGGCGGAGGCGATGACGAATACCAGATCGTGGATCAGGATCTTCGGGGCGCGATCGAGGAATTGCAAAACTTTGGGACTGTGGACATCATTCCGGAAATGGCGATTGTCAGTCTCGTCGGGAAGCAGATGAAGAATATGATCGGCATTGCTGGAAAGATGTTCTCGACCCTGGGCTCGAATCATGTGAACATCGAAATGATCTCGCAAGGTATGGGCACCCATCATGGTTTGGAGAGGTGTATGTCAATGCTAACAGGGTGAGCAGGGGCTAGTGAGATCAACATCTCTTGTGTGATTGCAGAACGCGACGCCGATCGAGCTTTAAACATCTTGCACACCAACTTGTTTACCTTCCTCGAACCCTGATTGTGCTTTTTGAGCGATTGAGCAGCATCTAATACCATTTACGGGAGTCTTTGCATAGAAAAAAGAGGGGGGCACTAGTGGTGTCAAAAAGGAAAAATCCGGAACCCGGGGTTGGTCAATAAAATGGGAGGCACTTTGAAAAGGGTCTGAAATTTGGACATTCAGCTGGACACACACGGGCCCACCGTGGCGGTTATATTCGGAGATGTTGCGGGAAATGTCGATGACAGCAATTTGGAGTAGATGAAGAAACGAATTTCAACAGAGTGACATGATCACCACAAGCCACAACCATGACAGATGTCAATCAAAAAAAAATGAGAAGATCCAACATCTCCAGATGACATCAACCTGAGCCCAAGGGGTTTGTCCTTTTGGTAGAGTTCAGATGAGCCATTGTGGCAGTGCTTGACTTGATGAAGGAAGAACAGCTATAGCCCCGGGATTGACAACCCGAAGACGAGAGTTCTCTGCTACTATTTCCTAGAGAAGCAAGAAATATGCTGCGGAAATGAGTGTGAAGTTTCTGGAAAGGGAAAGTGAGACAAAGCGGCAACACGGCTAGAGTAGCACCCCGGAAGAGTAGTTGTTCCGCTCCGGAAGACGCGCTTGAAACGCGTCCTTCCCTCCACCAATCAAATCACGCCCAAGCTCTGGGATTCGCGCCACTCCCTCAACACCAAACCAGGGCACCAGGTGGGCAGACAACGGGCATTCCACGTCAGTCGAGTCCAATCGAGATGCCATTGATTGGATGTGGATAAGTCCAGCAGCACAGGCCCCGACCACTGCGAACCCTTCAGAATCAAGGCGTCCGTAGCGCCAAAGTCTCCTAAAGTCAAGGTCCATCACGGTTCGCGTCTTCACATTGGCCTCAGTCACCTGTCAGTTGCATCGAGACCTCGCATCGCAAACCCACGCCCTCGACGCCTCTCACTAATAGCCCACCAGGCCCGCGTCATTCCTGGCATTCCCGGCTCAAAGGTCGAACTCCTCTCACCCACACCTCCACCGAGCTCTTGAACTTTGTTCTTACCCGGTCCTGCTCTGCCCTCTTTTTCTGCCTGCAGTTCCCCTCTTAAGAACTGGCCTGCCTCCTCCCACGAACCAGCTTACTCTCACATCGATTTTTTACGCGATAACCTGGTAAACAAGCTACCCTTTACGATCTCCAGTCATCGCCAGCTTCACGGAATGCCTCGATTGATTCGATAGCTGCGATTCACCTCTCGACTTCTATCCCTTTCGACGGTTCAGCATTCATACCATCCGCACCCCCTCGGTACTCCGACGAGCGCTGCAACTGCGGCCTCGATCTTCCGCGCCCCTCCCGCACAGACACGCCCATACCTCCATCCACCTCCTTCGCCCTGAGATTTGATTCCTCTGGACGCCCTTGCTCACAGCTCGAGATCGTTCTCAAAAAGTGGCAGTTGCCTGTTTCCTCCGGGTTGTCGGCTCTGGACCACATCTCAGCCGCACCCTGCCGTCAACCTCAAAAAGTCGGTTAATGGAACCTCTGCACTTTAGCTTCACGCGACTTTTCCCATACACTTGGCTTGTCTTGTATCTGTGAATACTCTACACCACTTTTCGCCATGGCCTCGACGCGTCAACATCCCTTTGTACAGATCTATCAGGATCCCATGCCGCTTCCGTCGAACAATATCTCACATCTCAGCCGAAATCGACCGCGTCTGCAACCTTCGGCTATGCCTTTGCAGCCACTCAGAAACCCGCCAGCCGCTCACCCACGCCCAGAGGTCATCCTCAGTGCCCCAATGGCACCAGGCCAACAGTTATCCCCTCTCAAGAGCACACCCTTATCTCCTCAGCCACCTTACTACGGAGACCTCAACTATGTTGCGATCCCTCCGCCTATGACGGCAAACCATATGTACACTGACTCGCCGGCGAAGAGACATGCTATTCCATCCAGCCAGCAGTATCGTCCTGTCCAAATGGCACAGCCGATGTTTACCACCTTCGACATAAAACTTGATTCATATGACCAGGAAAACTTCGGGATGCCAACTACGCAAGATAATTTCGTTGACTTTCCAGAGCCCTCATACGTCCGCAAGCAGCCCCTAAAACGATCATACTCGGAAGCGCAGATGACCAACGACCGCCCTTTCAAGAAGCCTCGACAGGAAGATGAATCCGTCTTCCAGCTACCTAACCCGGAAGATATGCCTCCGGTCGAGGATGATGGAAATAAACCTGCCTACAGCTATGCTCAGATGATCGGAATGGCTATCCTTAGAGCACCAAATCGGCGGCTAACTTTGGCGCAAATCTACGACTGGATCTCGACTACATTCACCTATTACCGAGAAGACACCAAGCAAAGCTGGCATAACAGTATCAGACATAACCTATCTTTGCACAAAGCTTTCACTAAGCAAGAGAGGCCCAAGGGCGATGCCGGAAAGGGAAGCTATTGGGTCATTGAGCCAGGGATGGAGTCGCAGTTCATCAAGGATAGAAATCGCAGAGGGGCCAATATCACCCACATGACGATTAATGCCAATGCGATGCGTCCCGAGCCTCAGAAGATTGCCCAGCAGCTCTCGGACGCGCTCGCACCGAACCCCTTCCTTGGTCAATCCAGCGAACCACCCCGCCCTCAGACAGCTCCTGCCCTTCCGGAACTCTCATCAGATGCCACTCTTCCCGCCTCAGACCCCGCTCTGAACGAGCATGAGACTGCGGAATTTGAAGACACCGGCGCCGTCACGGCTCCAAAGTCGTCTCCCCCAGATGCCATTAATTCTTCGCCACCCGTGGTTGCGCCTCATCATCAACGCGCGATCTCTTCGCCGCCCACACGACAGCCGCGCCAATCTGTATCTCATCGACAGAACCCAAGTCTTACCAAGAACGATGACAGCGGATACTTTTCGTCCATTGAGTCGTCTGCTCTGCGGCCGAACAAGAATACCGTGATGCTCACCTCGGAACTGGACATTGAGCCTATGAGGAAGAAGAGAGGTCGCGCCGAAGAGGAGATTGTGCGAATCAGAAGCTCCTCGCATGATCTGACCCCGAGCCATGGGAGATTCCGGCCATCCACGGCGGAGGGTGCTCAGTTGTCGTCCCCCGTTCGTGTCAGCCCAGCGGTGAACCAGAATCCGGTGACTCCTGCTGTTATCTTCAAGAAACCCGCACGCCCTCCTCCTTCAGTGTCTCCAAACACGCAGCTTCTCCTGCATCGCAAAGCAATGCGCGAGTTTGCCAACTCACCGATCAAAAGCTCTGGACTCTTTTTGCTAGAAGAGGCAACATACAGTCCTCTCCGGTGGACGAGTCTGGCGCCATCGTCAGCCTATACCGAGGAATCTTTTGAAATCTTTTCTGATCCGGCGCTTGGTTTTACCCCAGGCACACCATTATGTGCCTCGTCACCATTGAAGGGATCTGTCTCTCGCCCAACCTATGGTCGATCAGCAACTTCTACCAATATCCTAACGGATGTGCTTGGCAGTGCCCAGAATCGCAACACCAAAACCCCAACCCGGAGCTCTCTTCTGCATCCCCGCGTACGAGCTACACAAAGTGGGTCGCCATTGAAAGCTTCCGCTTCGCATGGCTCCCTCTTCGATACACAAGATGATCTGTTTGACTTCAAGTCATTCGACAACGACAACTCGGATGACAATGACGAGGGTGTCGATATCCTTCAAGGATTTGGAAAGATTGGTGGAAAGTCGGCGAACGCGACCACTTCCACTGGCCATTCCCGTCGACCTTCTCTGGGTCGCAGCCTTACTTCACGCTTTTGATGTGTTAATGAACTTGGTTGATACCCGCTCGTCCACAGATGGCTGAGTGGACTAACTCTTCATGTCCTATGTTTTTCTTTTCAGGGAAAAATCTTGGTGATACCACCGGACCGTTGGATTCATCGAGGCTGGTAGCGGACGGACGCTCCGCTGCAGTTGTGCTCGGGCTCTTGGTGCCTGACCTGGACCGGACGAGCCTCATGTGCTCGGACCACGCCATGGCACAACTGCAGAGACAACTTTGCTATGATGTCAAGAGTTTACGAATTGTGATTATGCCCTTTTTTTTTTAATGACGATATGGGATTGTATGACAGTAATGGAGACTATTATGTGGGAGGAGCTGAAAGTGGCTCGACAACAAGCCCATAGATAGTTTAGCAGCAATGCAATGAGAATGCTCGTCTCGGCCCTTTGGGTCTGGGATGTCAGTCGATTCAATCCCACATGCTGTACTGGGTCCGTACAAGTACTTGTATGGTTATATTGACGAAGATCTCACGCCACGGGCCTCGCTTCGTCTCGCGCGAGGTTCCATGCGATGCAGGCTGAGTCATCATCAGACATCAACGCAGCTGGGTGGCAGCGCCAGCCTGCGCCAGGATGATCTTTCACGCGCCTGCAACCAATGGCCGTCGGGACAAAGTAAGCCAGCCCTCTGCAGCTCTACGAGGTACCTGCATTATTATATTGGTCAGCGTCGAGGCAGGATTGAAGTGGTCTTGTTCTGACTCGTTTGTTGTGGCATGAATACGAACAGGCTCACCCGAGGCGTCGGTTGCGGCATCCTGAGATACTGCGTTTCGAGGTATTCGACTATCGAGGCACGGAGCCTGACTACACGAGCGACATTGGGCAGAGGCATAGAGCTGAGGCCTTCCATGACTGATCACACCACCCGAAAGCCTTTTGCACAATCTCTACTCGATCAAGCACAAGTCGCGGGATTGTCCACGACGACACCGAGAAACAAGATGAGCCGCCGTACGCCCATAGCACCCCAGCGAGTCGATGCACCGCTCACCCAGTCGGCAACCTTCCTCGTCGTTTCCTTGACTGACAAGCGCGATGCCGTCAAGACGGTGCGCTCGACGCTGGCCAGTGTGGACGACCTCTCCAAGAACGTTGCTATTCGAGATCTGGATGCCGCCTTTGCGTGCACAGTCGGCATTGGCAGCAATGTCTGGGACAGTCTATTGCCCGGGGTTCCCAGACCGGCCGAGCTGCACCCCTTTCCCACCATTTCTGGAAAAGTCCACACGGCGGTTTCCACGCCTGGGGACCTGCTGTTTCACATTCGGGCTCAGCGCCGCGACCTGTGCTTCGAGTTCGAGCGCCAGCTGATGGATCGCTTGGGCGACAGTGTCAAGGTCGAGGATGACACCGTGGGGTTCCGGTACTTTGACGTTCGCGATCTTCTGGGTTTCGTGGACGGGACGGCGAACCCTGTGGGCGCTGCGGTCGACGACTCGGTCCTGGTGACGGAGGCAGACGACGCAGGCTCCGCAGGCGGCAGCTACGTCGTCGTGCAAAAGTATGTGCACGACTTGAGCAGGTGGCGAGGCTTGTCCACGGAGAAGCAAGAGGCAATCATTGGGCGCACGAAACTCGACAACATCGAGTTGGACGACGTCGCCGAGGACAAGCAAAAAGCTCACAAGCAACTAGCCAACATCTCGGGGGACGACGGAGCCGAGTTATCGATTTTGAGAGACAACATGCCCTTTGGCACACCCGGGAAAGGCGAGTATGGCACCTATTTCATCGGCTATTCGAGAAAGCTGTGGGTCATTGAGCAGATGCTGGACCGGATGTTTGTGGGTTCGCCGCCTGGGTTGCACGATCGCATTCTGGACTACTCGACGCCGTTGACGGGGACGACCTTTTTCGTACCCAGTGCCACTCTCCTGGGGTCTTTGGCTGATGACTAGCGGTTGAGAGTTGGAACTTATACTACTCTGCTCATCAACGGTAGGAGAGCCTGGAGGAAACGAGTGTGACTGAATACACCTTGCTTTCTTCTTCAAGCGGATGCTGCGTGGGATGCAAATATTACTCGAGAGAATCTCGCAAAGTCTTGCCTCATGTTGCCTCGCCTACAGCTTATCACGGATTATTAGAGACGCTTGAGCATCTGCAAGCTTATCGTCATTAAGGAGGTCCGAATCTAACCTTTCCATATGCATTTCTTATCGACTCGACTGGTTGTTGTAAATTATAATTCTATACCTCGTAATATGGCCCAAGTCTGGCAATGGCCTGTTAAAGCGGCGCACGGTGCTCGGGGATTTTCTTGGTGGCTCCGAAAACCATTGAAACTTTTCCTGAAGTCGCATCCGCTTCGCGCGTCTTGTCCCCCAGTCAATGCTCGGGAGTGTCAAAGCACGGACAATATCACAGCGGATTTTCAGAGAGGACACTCGCAGCGGGAGGTTCTGAGTCTGGTCAGAGGATCTCTGCCGCGGCACAAGTCCTCAAAGGACGACGAAAAGGATGTCGACGCCACGATGTCTCCGCATAGCTATTGAAGCATGCCGTCCCCAGAAGGTATGCGAGATCCTCACATCGCCAACATGGCGGAGAGAAGCTGTGCCCCAGGAAGATCCTTTCAGATGATAGCAGCAGCAGCGCTCTGGAGCTGTTCTGAACATGTTCACGATTGACTGACTTGTGTGTTCGATGTCCAGACCACCACCGTTCCGCTTCGACCCCGTCTTTCTGCGCCAGCCCATCGGCAACGATCGGTGCAGGCCTTTTGCTCGCATGCGCCGCGACCTGAAAAGAACAGCAGAGACAAATCGATAGAGACGGGGCCTGTTGATATCACAGCAGGCTTCCCAACTCCGGAGATCGGGTCATACAAAATCCAGGATGCCTACGAGGAAGGGAGAGCTCCGGTCCAAGAGAGCGGTAGAGAAGACGACTCGGCGGCAGCGACGGCTAAGCCCAAGCATACGCCGACTTCAACACACCGGTCCAAGCAGAGGGCGGACGTGGTGTCGGAGGCTCAAGCCCAGGATATAACACAATCACAATCGCCCGCAAAGCGAACTCCAAAAGCTACAAGGGACTCGCCATCCACGCCGCAGCTCTCTTCGTCTGAGAATGCGACCGCGGCACCCAGAGATGAAAATGCAAGACCCAACGTACCACCCAATGTCCTTGCCGCATACCGCACTCCGCTCTACCATCCTGTCACCCACGGGATCCCAGTGTGCCAGCTTCAGCTCCGCTCCTTCAGCACTCGCAACCTCGAGTTTTTCGCCGACTTCTGCGTCCGTGCCGCGTACTACCTATCGCTGCCCTGTCGGGGACCGACGCCCCTGCCGAAGAAGATCGAGCGATGGACGGTCCTCAAGAGCAACTTTGTGAATAAAAAGGCGCAAGAGAATTTTGAGAGAATTACAATGAAGAGGTTGATCACCGTGTACGATGGACATCCAGAAGTGGTCGAGACGTGGTTGGCGTTTGTGAGAAAATGGCAGTTTTATGGAGTAGGCATGAAAGCGAATCTATGGGGTTGGGAAGGTCTTGGTAAGTCTGGAAGAGACATGTTCATGCCTTTGCACCATTACACCATTACACCATTGTTTTTACCCCTTTGGCTACTGTGGACTGGTTACTGTGCGTCTGTGGTTTGCCTGTGGCTTTGCTGACATGTCTTGCTTTTTCAGATGTTGCATCCAAGATGGACCACGACTTCACCTCTCTCGAGAAAGAACTCGATAGCAAGCTGCGGCTGTTTGGGTTCAACAAGACAGCGGGCAAGAAGAATGATCTGCTTGATCTACTCGAGAGACAGGGACATAGGCGTGAGGGTATCGGCATGAGCGAGGTTCGGGAGAAGAGCAGGACGACTGAGGATCCCTGGTAAGGAGGTGGACTGGCTATTCGCATTCGCACCTTATTGCGCTCTGAGAGGGCTGGGGATACTCTTGTGTATAGATAGATGTACAATGAAGGCTCATGTAGCAGTGATACATTCGGCGGAGCGACACTGAGTGCCCTGCATGAACGTACCTACAACACATGCCTATCTCGCCATGTACTCTGAATACAGTGATCACCTCTAATAGTGGCTATAGGGATGTAACATGACTGATACTAGTACTCATACTCGTCCAGTCTGGTTCTCTCTCCTACTCCATCCAGGTGGGACGGAAAGGCGCCGGTAATAGAGTGTTCGTCCATACCATCCAAAGTAGGAAACAGTAGATTGCAGAATACAGGCTCGGATGATATCCTTGTTAGGTAATAGGCATTTGATGGTCGATACTATCTTCTTCTTCTCCCTCGACTACTTGCTCTCCATCATATATCATATGGTGGTAACAGTAGTAATATTTACCACAAGGCTGGCTGATCCATCGCATAGACGATTCGATGGTCCATGGCAAAAAGGGGCAAATGAATGACTCCGAAGAAGGAGGGAATTTGTTCCGCGCATCAACCAGCATCTGCGCCTCGACACCTTCTTAGCAAGTCGGAATGAACCATCTCCACATCAAATCCCACGTCGACTTTACTGCATCTTCATCTAGCATCTCCACGTATCTCCTAGTCAGCCCTCAGCTGGTTCTTTTGCGGGGTGAAAACCTTCGTGCATCGGCCCAATGGATCCCTCCCACCCATCCCACACTTTGACCCATGGTGCGCTGGGTTGCGGGTTTAGTCTCACATGGCTACTCGATACGGGTGCCAGTCGCCGGAACCCTGGGCGTTTGCGTGGAATAATTCCACAGGGTCACTGGGGGATGTCAATATGAGACACACAGACCGAGTACAGACGACGCAGTCTTGTGGTTCTTGATGCATGAACTTCTGCTGGTCTCTTGTCTCCTTGTCAGCCATCCCATCCAGCATTCACCATGTCTCCAGGCCGGATAGTCGCTGACAACGACTACGACTTCATCGTGTGGTCAGTATACTGTCGTTGAGACTGACGTGCTCCTGTCCGCTAACTGTGTCATCGTAGCGGCGGAGGCACGGCAGGCTGTGTCGTCGCGGGCAGAGTCGCCGAAGATGCCAACGCGCGGATCCTCGTCGTCGAGGCAGGCCCTCACAACAAAGATCTCGAGAACGTCCACATGACGGGCGGCTGGTCCAAGAACTTTGACTCGGACCTCGACTGGAATCTGGTCACCCCGCCCATGGACGGCGTCAACGGCAGACAAGTCAAGCTGAGCCGGGGAAAATTCCTGGGAGGGTCTAGTGGTGTCAATGGAACCCTCTGCATCAGAGGCAACAAGCAAGACTATGACGACTGGAAGTAAGGCTCCCAAATACTGCGGTTCGGAGCGTCCGACTCACTGAGTCAGTCTTCCAGGGTGGTCCGGAGATGATTTCTTCAAGTACATGCGCAAGGTTGGGGGATCCTACCCAGGAACAACGACATGCCAGCTGATGATGATGTGAAGGCCGAGACGTTCCATCCCAAACCGTGGTTTCAAACCGACGAGAAAGCCCACGGTTACGACGGCCCGCTCCACACCGAGCCGCACGATCTCGCGCCCATTTCGAACCTGTTACTGGAAAGCATGGAAGACATGGGCTTCCCGTTGGTCCACGACATGTTCAGCAATGGCGAGACTCCGCATGGCTGTGGCCACGTGCCCCGGACTGGTACGTACGACGCATCTACGGAGTTGCTGTTGTAGATGTAGATGGGAAGCTGACCCTGGCTTGCAAAGTCCACAAGGGCATCAGAACTACCGGAGCCGACTTTGTCACCAACGATCAACACAAGACCAATATTGACCTCCTGCTTGACACGGTCGTCGACAAAATCAACTTCGAGGAGAAGAATGGTGAACTACATGCCACAAGCGTGGTGCTCGTCGGCAAGGATGGCACTGCCAGAGAAGTCAGGGCCACAAAGGAGATCATTGTCTCTGGAGGTGAATGCCGGATCTACCCAGGGTATCCGATGACAACAGCTAATGTCTGAAAGGCGCATATTGTTCCCCGGCCATCCTTCTCCGCTCAGGAATTGGTCCCAAGGCTGAGTTGGTAAAGTTGGGCATCCAATGTCTAGTCGACTCCCCGGGAGTTGGGAAGAACTTGCTGGATCATCTTGTAGGCCGTGTCTCCTTTCGAGCGAGAGAGCCTGTCATGGCTGACTCGATGCAGATTGTGTTTGCTTTTTACGAAGTCACCAAGGAAGGACTGACCAACGACCATCTTGTGTACGCGACGTTCTGCATGACTGCGATTTCACCAACTAATCCTTTGGCCAGGTATCACGGTGACGCTGCCATGGCTGCATATATGCTATACAAGGAGAAAAAGGAGGGGATCCTCTCCACATTCCCCTTTGGCGCTTTCGCCTTTGCAAGGCTCGATGATCGCCTAAAAGATGAACCACTCTGGAAGGAAGCAAAGAGGGAGCCTGGCCGTGACCCGATGGGGTTGACTACCAAGCAGCCAAACATTGAGTTTTTCACCACTGAGGTGAGCTCTCCGCACATCATTCGAGCTTCTGTATCCTGCTGACCAAGGTCAAAAGCTGTACGGTGGGCCCAAGCAATATGATCAGTTCCCCATCGGTGAGTTTCAGAGCGTAAGTGGGTGCAGCCACGACGTCTGACCGACTACCTTTAGACAAGAAGCATGCCTTCGCCATGATCACGGAGCTATTCTCACCCCGGTCAAGGGGGACGGTGACTCTGAAGTCCAAAGACCCTCTAGAAAACCCGGTGGTGGACTGCAACTATCTCGCCGACCCGCTCGACATGCTGGTTCTGTCCGAGGGCTGCAGGCTCGGCAATGAGATTGTCATGAACCTGAACAAGGTTGCCAAACAAGAGATTGTGAAAGGGTCGTGGCCGTCAGGTGTGTACAACGGAGCCACCCGTGACCAGGAGCATAATGCTGACCACATGTCCAGACCTGACACATCATGCTTACACGAAACGGGAAGAATGGGAGCCTTATATTCGAAAAGAGGCCACCACATGCTATCACGCCGCAGGGACATGCAAGATGGGGCGGGATGGCGACAAGATGGCTGTTCTTGATGAAAAACTTCAGGTCCGCGGAGTCAAAGGCCTCCGTGTGGCTGATACCAGCGTGATGCCTACTCTGCACGGTGGCCACACTCAGATGCCTGCGTATGATGACTTCCCCAGGATGTTATTGGCTGATACTGACGCGTAGCAGGTACGGAATTGGCGAGAAGGCTGCGGATCTGATCAAAGAAAGATGGTCAAAAGCCTACGATGGAGGAAGGATGCCCTGACAAGCAGCCGTGGCTGGTATGGTGTTGTTGGCAAAGAAGCCCTGACCTCTTCATCCAGGGTGATTGCTGTGGCCAGCTCGTGCTTGTGACATACAGCAGAATCCAACCTGACAAGTGGGTTGTGTCATGCTTGAGCGAAGACTGGCGTATACATTCCTCGTATGTACGGAGTACTTGTTATCCGGGTACGGAAAATATAGTCTTGGCACAATCCATAGCTGTGGATCCAATCAAGTTCCAAAAGCGGCGCCTCTAGACCATCCTAATGTGGAAACGCGGTATTTTATTGATCCGTCGCCTGACTGTTGCGAGCTTTGTCCTTTGCTCTGAAAGACAACCGCTTTTTCCTCGTCCTCCTCTGGACATGTAAATTTAGTATTATTCCTATACCTGTATTTCCACTCGGCGTTTCTGTTTGGGGACGCGTACACTCCTTTGTTCTGTGAAATGCCCCGAGGCCTCGCGCATGCGTCAGTGAGGCTTCATTGTCCCCGGAAGATCCAGTTCCGCCGCAACCTCAGCAACCACGAGCAGCCACAGCTTGCTTCGGTGAAGAGGGTGTCCCTGGGCGAGGGGAGGCCACCCCGGAGGTCCGTCGAAGAGACAGCGCGCGATGGCTCTGCCAAAGGAAGAACGGCGGGGCAGGAGGATAATGATGACGGCAAAGACGAGATAGAGCAGCACTGGGCGCGCATGTCGCCGTCGTCCAGCAGCATCCGACGAGCGTTTTCCGGGATCCAGCCCACGGGCGTGCCTCACCTGGGCAACTACCTCGGGGCGCTGCGGCAGTGGAAGCGCCTGCACGACCAGTCGACCGACCCGAAATTCGCCATGCATTACCGCTACGAGCAGTACTTTTCCGTCGTCGACCTGCACGCCCTGACGGCCGAGACGCCGGCGTCCGAGCGTCTACGTCTGCGCAAGGAGTCGTACGCGGCCCTCCTGGCTCTGGGCCTGAACAACAACAGGAACACGACGCTGTTCTTCCAGTCCGATGTAAGGCCGTCGTGCGTCCCCAAATGTTTGTGGGGGTTCCTCGTCCGCTGAAATCGAACGACAGGTCCCGCAGCATGCGTCGTTGATGTGGATTTTGAGTACCATTGCCTCGACAGGGTACCTGTCCAGAATGACTCAGTGGAAGGTACGCGCAGAACCGCTCCACATGTTTAGCCGCGACGGATTGAGGACTGAAACTGTAACTTATAGAGCAAGTTGAACTTGCCCGAAAATGCCACCCTCGAAAGCGACGAAGCCACAGCGAAGCTCAAGCTCGGCCTGTTTTCGTACCCCGTCCTCCAAGCTGCCGATATATTGCTCTATCAGTTAGTGGGATTCTTGCTCTGGTTGGTAGTGTTGCCGCTGACTGTTCGACAGACCATCCATTGTGCCCGTGGGGGAGGATCAACTACAGCACATTGAGTTTACGCGGACATTGGCCCGGGGTTTCAACGCCCTGGTCAGGGAATCTGCAGGTGGGAATGTCTTCCGAATACCTTGGCCGGTAATATGTAAGGGTCCCCCAAATCGACTCTTTCACCCATTGGGGGTACTGACCAATATCACAGCCCCAGCCAAACGGGTCATGTCCCTGAAGCGCCCAGAGCAGAAGATGTCCAAGTCTGATCCGGATCCCAAATCTCGAATCCTGGTGACTGACAGCCCAGAGGAGATACACGCGAAGCTCCGAGGCGCCGTGACGGATTCAGAGCCGGGCATATCTTTCGATCCTCAACGGCGGCCAGGGGTATCCAACCTGGTCGAGATACTGCGACACGTGACCGAGTCGCGGGAATCCAGCGCATACATCGCCCAGGACAACGCCAACGTCAGCATGCGTGCGTTCAAGGAGATGATTGCGGACGAGATCATCTCGGCGTTGCGGGGCGTGCGCGACAACTTCCTCGCCATCATGGACTCTGGAAATGAGCGGCTTCGCGAGGAAATCGAATGGGGCGGCGCAAAGGCGCGACGCAAAGCCCGCACGACCCTCGACGAGGTCCAGCAGGCCCTGGGGCTGTTTGGGGTCACACTGTCGGAGGAGGAGGCGACCCGGATCCGGGAGCGCCGGAGACAAGCCGTGCGCAAGGACCTGGGTACCGACCTGAACATCGAATCCAACCCGTTTGAGTCCGAGGGGGAGGACGCGAGATTTGACGAGGACTTACCCGCCAGAAGCAAAGATCCAGGGCCACACCAAAAGGAGACTGTGGAGTCTGTCGAGCAAGGCAAGGTGTGATGGGGTTTCGATTCTGACATCTGCCGCTGGGAATTGTCCTGCGCAGCATCATTCGGAAACCAAGCGAACCTCTACAACAATTCCAGTACAGATGTAAAAGCAGCATCGGGCTTTTAGCAACCCTCTCATTCGGCCTCATGCGCGGATATTGTCACACAAGTAGTTCAGCATCTCAGCTGGAACCTGACGAGGCTGCCACCAAGAGGCACCGCAAGGCTCGGAACCCCTGACGTCATCGCACCGCCCGATTTCGCTCCCTTCTTTTTTGGTCGCCCGTGTAAATCTACAGTCAGTCACAGTCACGTACCTCATGGTGCTTATGTATGTACCAAAAACACCAGCTTCTACCCTCTTCTTCAATCAATCGATCACATACAAGTAGCTCCCCACAAGCATGAGACAGTCCCCTCCAAGGCAATAATAAACCGATACGCAAACCCATCTCATCTCTTATTTTTTTCCTTTGTGCGACTCAATGCCCCGAATACCGCAGCTCAGACCCGCCCTGCCGCGACGCACCTGTCTACCCTCGCGGCGTCGACACGTCTCGACCACCTCCCCCACGAGCACCCGCCTCCGTCATGAAAAGCACCGGCACGACGGCGGCGGTGACGACGTCGTGGATCTGGCGTTCCACCGGCACAATCCACCCGACAAGACGGCGACAAAGGGACCGGGTCCCATCATCATCATGCACGGGCTGTTCGGGTCGCAGCGCAACAACCGGACTCTGAGTAAGTAAGGAAGCACCTCACACCCACACACCTTTCCCCCCTTGACAGTTCGTCGCAGGTGTGCACGTTTGAGGAAACTTTCTGATCTGATACTCGTTGGTATAGAGCGCTAGCCAAAGACCTCTCGCGGCCCGTCTACACCATCGACCTCCGCAACCATGGCGACTCGCCTCACTCGCCCGTGCACACGTACACGGCCATGGCGCGGGACGTGGAGCATTTCCTCGACACGCACAAAATCCCCTCCCCAACACTGGTCGGCCACTCGATGGGTGCCAAGGTCGCCATGACGCTGGCCCTGCGCCAACCGGAGAGATACTCGGCGCTGGTGCCGGTGGACAACGCGCCCGTGGACGCGGCCCTGCGGGGGGACTTTAGCAAGTATCTGGACGCGATGAGGGAGATTGACGAGATGAGACCGCGGCCCAAGAGACAGAGCGACGCGGACAAGATCCTCGCAAAGTACGAGCCGGACCTGGCGATCCGCCAATTCCTCCTGACGAACCTGGTCAAGATGCCCGTCGTCCAGCCGGGAGGAGCAGGCGGCGGCGGCGGCGGCGGCCCCGCGCACTCCTCGCACCAGCACCACGGCGCACGCAAGGACAGGGACAAGCACGACGCGACGGAACTACGCTTCCGCATCCCGCTACACACGCTCGCCAAATCCCTCCCGAACCTAGCCGACTTCCCCTTCAAGGACCCGGACACGCACAAATACAAGGGCCCCACCTTGATCGCCCGGGGCACGAAGAGCCACTACGTCGCCGACGACACCTTGCCCGTCATCGGCCGCTTCTTCCCCAGATTCGAACTGCGCGACTTTGACTGCGGCCACTGGGTCATGAGCGAGAAGTTTGACGAGTTTCGCGCCGCGCTGGTCGAGTGGGTGGACCGCGTCGTCGACGAGACTTAGATGACCCGCACTCCCCTCCCCCACTTGCTGCAACATTGCATCTGTCCCTTCTCCACATCTGCGCCTTCCGACGCCCCACCCCTTGTTCACCTCTGTGGCTGCCTCGCCGGCACAAAAAAAAAAAAAAAA